CGGACCAGAGTGCAGCTCGGCCATGCTACAGGGGAGGGGAGGGGAGAAGCTGCAGCTGCCTGAGGCTCTTAACAGAGCGCTCGGGCAGCTGCAGTATTTAAAGGGCCGGCCCAGGAACGCGGCCGGCCCCCAGGTGCCGCGGCCCACCGGGAAATTTCCCGGTATCCCGGTGGGCCAGTCCGGCCCTGTTCTCTACCCATGAACAGCATGCTGGTGCTCTATGGGATCTCAATGAAAGCATAGCTGCAAACAAGCACATACTGCAGTTTTGATCTGCAGCACTGCTGTGGGCATAACCTCCTCCCTATAGGTAACCTGGTGGAGCACTATATTAATGACCTTTCTTAATATAAGGGCACTTCACACTGTAGCTGCCTATTAGATAAACAATCACAATGCCTCAAAAGTACATAAACCAGAACAATCTGTATGTTTATATATTTGTATAATAAAAAGATAAAATGAAATGATGATAGCTGCCATGTCTATTATTTGTGGCATAAAAAAAAGCAGATTCAATTTACAATGTGCTCTGCAAAGCTGCATCTGCTCTCTTACACAAGTTTATAAAGGGTTAATATATTCCACTGCGCTGAATATTGCGTGTTTGATTTTACCTGTTATCATAGTAACAGCAAAGCATTCCATATTTTGTAAAGCCTAGGCATAAAAACAGAAATGTTGTCATTTGACAACACACAGAACCAGCGTGTGCAAAGTGCAAATGCCTCTGAAACTGCTAGTGCCCTTTTTGTTTATTCTGCTTATCTACGGTTTGCCTTCATTTATTTGCCATTTGTTATTTTATATTCCTATTGTCAAGTGCTGCAGCGGATGTTGACACTCTGTATGTATATATAAAATAGTATTCCTATTCTGAGAGTGAAATGATATTTAAAATTAGTTTGCAATTATTTATCCACTTCCACACAGAAGTTTTACCATTATACCGATAATCAGTGTAATCACAGCTAAAACCATAGCGATCCCACGCCAAACAATCAATTGCTTCGTAGAAAGAACTTCTCCAACAACATTTCTTGCCCCAGTAATGGAATCTTTCTCCTGTGCTAAAGTGTTTTGAGTATCCTTTATGGAATCTTCTTCCCACTCTGACATATGGGTATACATTTCAACATAGTCCTCATCTGGTACTATACAATACCCGCCTGGAACAACATGAAAACTTAACGTCATACTGGGACAATCGAATGTGACAACATTTATAGGAATGTGCTAAAATCGTAGTTGATAATTTTAGATTAACAAATATCATGTATTTAATAAAAGTAAACTATGATGAAACGAACCGCACAGTTACAGAATTGTTTTCTATTTGCAGGATTAATTTACTTCATAAATTTGGTAATATAAGTCATTTTTCATTTTAAAAAATGCAAGTTTAATATCTCTGAAAAAAATCTGAACTACTGCTTCTTCAGTGAACTCATTAAAAAAAATTAGACGACAATATTTTCAAAAATAAAAACGAATAATGGCCAATGGAGTAAAGGAGTAAATCTTTCTGTCCAAATAAAATAACAAATCATTATGACTGCTAGGGATTTACACAAACAAATTTCACTTGTGGGTTTCATAGAATGTAAAGGCAGATAAGAACCATTCGGCCCATCTAGTCTGCCCAATATTTTCGAATACTTTTAATTAGTCCCTGGCCTTATCTTAAGTCTAGGATAGCCTTATGCCTACCCAACACATGCTTAAACTCCCTCACTGTGTTAACCTCTACCACTTCAGCTGGAAGGCTATTCCATGCATCCACTACCCTTTCAGTACAGGAATACTTCCGGATATTATTTTTAAACCTTTGCCCCTCTAATTTAAGACTATGTCCTCTTGTTGTGGTAGTTTTTCTTCTTTTAAATATAATCTCCTCCTTTACTGTGTTAATTCCCTTTATGTATTTAAATGTTTCTATCGTATCACCCCTGTCTCATCTTTTCTCCAAGCTATACATATTAAGTTCCTTTAACCTTTCTTTGTAAGTTTTATCCCACAATCCATGAACCAGTTTAGTAGCCCTTCTCTGAACTCTTTCTAAAGTATCAATATCCTTCTGGAGATACGGTCTCCAGTACTGTGTACAATACTTAAAGTGAGGTCTCACCAGTGTTATGTACAATGGCATGAGCTCTTCTCTCTTTCTACTGCTAATACCACTCGCTCAAGCATTCTGCTAGCATTTCCTGCTGCTCTATTACATTGTCTTCCTACCTTTTAGTCATCTGAAATATGACTTTCGGTTTACATTTACAACAGGTTATGTGATATATGATGAATTATATAGAAAAAATATCTTCCCTGTCCACTTACCATTTTTTTCTGGGTCAGTAAATCTGCTTTCTATTTTTCGAGTGGTCGAACCAAAGAGCATTTTCTTGGAAGTTGGTTTCAGTCCTGCTCGGTCCTGAGCCTGATCATTATAAAATACACATTTTAACCAGCAATAACAATGCAGTTGCAATTGTAAACTATTTAAAGAGATGTATAGAGGAAAATAGTGCTACACTTATACAAAATATGCTCAGGCACATTGTTCCGTGGTGTGGTCCAACTCAACCCATCTCAAACCTAAACCTAGGAGGAGAGGGGATGGTTCTTTGTGCTTTTTACTAGACTTCCCTTAGATTTATAAGGGTGTTTCATTATAGCATATTAATTGTTCTTATTGATTTATCACAAAAAAACAGTATATCGAAGTATTTTATTATTAGGGGTCGGAACATATTTTTCCATATTTAATTGATGACATAATTTATATTTAATTAGACAGTTAATTAGTTTAGCTGCTGTCAACATGTGGATTAATAAGATCAAATCTTTTTTTTCCATATTGGGTATATTGATATGTAGAAGCATCAGATCTGGTTTTAGGGATATCACATTGTTTAATATTTTGTTTATCTTTCTTCCGACATCCTGCCATAGTTCTTCAATAATTGAACACTCGCATCATATTTGTAAAAAATCTGTCTCCTTTATCTCACATCTCCAACATTCTGAAGATTGATTAGGAAATATTTTATTGATCTTTTTAGGAACTAAATGCCATCTGTTTAACATCTTAAAGTATAGCTCATTCAGATTTAAACAATGAAGATTTTTATTTAAAAACTGGCTTGGGCTACACCACTCTTTATGGGAGATTTGCTAACCCAGATTTTTACTCCATTTCGATATTGCTGTTGGAAAGTATTCCTTTTCCATTTTAAATAGCAAAAGATTGGTTTTAGAAAGAAATGTTTTAGTGTCCGTTGAATTAATTTGCTCAAAATAATTGAAAGTTTCTTCGTATGGTAGTTTTAGTCTTTTCATTATATATGATCTTACTTTCATATAATCAAAAACATCTTTGTTCATAAAAGTCATTTTCAGGTTACTGAAAGTTCAAAATTTTCCTGATATAACTTTCCCGATATAATTACATCATTAATACCTTTTTCAGACGGAAAAAAATGTTCTCCAATGTTTAATTTCCGTTTTATTTCAAACCAATTTTTCAATATAGGATTCAAAGCTAAACTTTCCCCAAAAAAGTAAAATTTTCTAATTTCTTCATTAGATAACTCTTTATGGGAGATTTGCTAACCCAGATTTTTACTCCATTTCGATATTGCTGTTGGAAAGTATTCCTTTTCCATTTTAAATAGCAAAAGATTGGTTTTAGAAATAAATGTTTTAGTGTCCGTTGAATTAATTTGCTCAAAATAATTGAAAGTTTATTCGTATGGTAGTTTTAGTCTTTTCATTATATATGATCTTACTTTCATATAATCAAAAACATCTTTGTTCATAAAAGTCATTTTCAGGTCACTGAAAGTTCAAAATTTTCCTGATATAACTTTTCCGATATAATTACATCATTAATACCTTTTCCAGATGGAAAAAATGTTTCTCCTATGTTTAATTTCCGTTTTATTTCAAACCAATTTTTTAATATAGGATTCAAAGCTAAACTTTCCCCAAAAAAGTAAAATTTTCTAATTTCTTCATTAGATAACCAGGAAATTTAAGAAATATTTTAAGAAGGGCCAATTCTCTTATCTTCAAGTTTGTGCCAGCTTTCCTCTTGAGATGGCTCCTGAAAGGTTTGTATAGCATGGGTTAAGAGTAGCCTGAACCAGCCTTGTCAGGGATGGAATCCCTAATCCTCCATCTTCTAGTTTCTTTGACAGTAATTTAGCACTAATTCTAGGTATTTATTTTGACCATATAAATTTAGTAAATAAGAAGTTTATCCAGCTTAAAGGAATATTGCTTGGGATTAAGCTCAAGATATATGTTCATTTAGGCAAGAAGTATAATTTTATAGTATTAATCTTGCCCCACTATGATACTTATTTTTTGCTAAGGTATTTAACTTAATATTAATTTCCCTTAACATGGGTAGCAAGTTTATCTCCATCCATTTTTGTGGGTTTGCTGACATTTTTAACCCTAAATAAGAAAAATGCTCCCTTGCCCAGAGGAAATCAAACATATCCACAATCCCTACTTTCATCTGAGCTGTTAAAAAGAACGAGAGTGCAGTTGTATTAGAAGTGTTTAGTTTGTAATTCGAAAATCGACTATCTTTGTATCACTTCCATTAGTTCATTGATTGAATTTAATGGATCTTCCAGCACAATGAGCAGTAGTGTATTTAGGATTTGTGTTGCCCTAGGCAGGACAGTGCTCGGGCACCACCCCTTAATTTAAATTTTCCCCACCCCTTCCAGTCAAGGCCGCACTTTGACTGACAGACGCACACACACTGATAGATGCATACACTTATTGACAGACACACACTCTCACATACACTGACAAACAATGACAAACACACACACTCACTGATTTGACACATTGATAGACAGACACACACACACTATTACTCGGGGACACACTGACAGACGCACACTCTCACTGACAGATGCACGCACTGACAGACACATACACACTCACTGACCGACACACACACACACACACACACACATTCCCTTAGACACACACACTTACAGACACACGCACACATTCGATTAGACACACACACTTACAGACACACACACATGCATACACACACTCATTGACACATACACACATTCACTCACTCACAGACACACACACACACACACACACACACACACACACACATTCACTCACTCACAGACACCCACTCATTCACTTACAGACATACACACATACATACACACACACATTCACTCACAGACCCACACACAAATTTACTCACAGACATTTCCCCCAACAATCACAATTTTTTTTTTTTTTAAATCCTCCCAGCCTCCCTGAGAGAGCTGGAGTGGATTGCTTACCTGAAGTCCAGTGGGGCTGCTGTACGGGCAGGCAGAGGTAGACAAGGTGAGTAGGCGGTGAGGGCCTGCTCAGCTCCCTCGCGCACCGCTTAGTGATGCTGGGAGCCGGTCTGACGTCATATTCTGACTCCCAGCTTCATTAAGCTGCGCGAAGGGAGCTGAGCAGGAAGAGTTTAGGTGAGTATCCTCCCTCGCTGCCCAGTTCTTGAGCCCCCCAGGACGCGAGGCAACCAAGGGATCTGACTGGGCATTTGCGGGCGTCTTTTTTTGCCGCCCCCTGCAAAGTGCCGCCCAAGGCAGATGCCTTGTTTGCCTCACAGAAGATATGTCCCTGACAATGAGTACATCGTCAGCATACAATTTTATTTTAATTTCCACTTGATCTTTAAAACCTTTTATTTTGTTGTTATTTCTTATCTCAGATGGCAATACCTCAATGGTCATAACATAAAGAAGAGCAAAAAGTGGACAGCCTTGACCAGTACCATTATTCAATTTAAATGAGTTGGAAGAAATACCCTAGCCTATTACTTTTCCTGTAGAGTTCGAATATAGAGGCATTATGGCTTGGTGGAAATCCCAGCTAACCCTGTCAAATCCTTTTTCAGCATCCAATGATAGGGCCAGCATCGGGACCCTTTTACGCTTAGTGATCTTAAAGATATTTGACAATGTTCGTATGTGGCTTGTTGATGATTGTCCTGGGATACATCCCACCTGGTCTAAATCTATTAATTTAGTTATAACAGATTTAAGTCTATGTGCCATAATACTAGCGTACAATTTTAGATCTTCATTTAAAAGAGAAATATGTCTGTAGCGCTTAGCATCATAAGGATTGTTTTATTGCTTTAAGATAGTGACTATGTTTCCTCTTAAGAGATCTTCCGGAAGACTTCCTTTTTTTGCAAACTCATTAAAGGTAATCTGTAGGTAAGGCGCCATTTCTTTTTTAAATGATTTATAAAACATAGCTGTCAGGTCCTGTTGCTTTATTAGATTTTGAATAATCAATAATATCTATAATCTATTTCAATGTGAAGGGTTCATTAAGTTTTTTCTAATTGTGAAGTAGTTAGTATTTTAAATTCCTTCTCTTGAAAATACTATTCAGCATTTTGTAAGGGATCCTTAGGATTAATGCTATATAAACTAGTAATAATATTTTTCAAAAGCTTTAGTTATTTTGTCAGAGACTAAGAGAGTCTGTCTCATTAGTATAAATTATTTTAGATACAAATTTAGCTTTTTGGATGTTTTTCAATTTGTTAGTTAACATCTTATCTGCTTTGTTGGTCTTATAATATTGGAAAGATTTCAATCTATATACATTTCTTAGATGTTCCCATAATAGTATTTTTACAGTCACCAATCTGATTTGAGATATTTTTTTGAAGGATTGATTTTATTGCTTCAAGTTAAATTTTCCAAATAATATATAGTTCGGAAAGATTTTTCTCTCTAATTTCTTTATTTTGAGAGGCTAGTTTTATAAAATGACCCCGAATCACAAATGTAAAGCAGTCCATATTGTGACTGGAGATAGATCATTAGAAAAAGTTTTCTTGAAAATAAAGATATATATATATATATATATATATATATATATATATATCTTTATTTTCAAGAAAACTTTTTCTAATGATCTATCTATATAATTTATTGATGATCTATCTATATAATTTATTCTCTATTTTCTGGAGCTTCTAATAAAAATTCTTTGAGTTTCCATTCTGGTCATTTTTTTGATAAATGTATCTTTTAGTTCCAAAATGACTATGTTGTGATCTGACCATGTAATCCCATCAATTTTGATTTTCTTGACTCTTTGAATGGAGTTCATATCTGTCAAAATGTAGTCAATTCTCGAATAAGCAAGGTATGTTTTGGAAAAAACATGTATAATCTTGTTCATTGGTAAGAAATATATGCCAGGTATCATAGAGGAAATTCCCCCGGGCAAAGGAACGACATTTTGATTCTTGTATACAGGGACGAACTGACAGCCTTCTGGGGCCTGTACAAATTTAGATCCGGGGCCCTTTCGAAGACAAAATATTTAGTATTAAGTATTAACATATACTATATGTTAAACACATTCTGGGTTATTCCCTGAAGTGAGAATTGCTGGGAAAAGTGAATTTTAAAATACAGGCTTAAATAGCTGTATTAGAAAAAATCTCCAAGTCAATTTTGTTCTTCATTTTGATTATTTAGGCATTTCATTTGATCTTTACTTCGAACGTCTCGCAATTTTTTCTTTAATGAGTAACCCTGTGTACATTTAATTGATAATTTCATATTATCATTCAGGGGCTTAACTAGGATGAGCTGGGCCCCAGTGCAAGATTCAAAGAAGACCCTCTCTTTGCCCCTCCTTGCTCGTCTCTAAGCAACAGATGTAAGTGGGTTACCTGTGGTCACTGTGTGATTGTGCAAGGGTTGGCAGAGTATGATGCGTGGGACTAGGCTGAATGTGAGTGCGTGTTGCAGTTGGCTGAGTGTGCTTGTGTGGGGGTTGTGTGTGTAATAATAATAAATTATATCTACAAAAACAGACACAAGTGCACAATGTAGCGGATGTCATTGGGCTGTCCTCAAAATTATGTGTATTCGAATGCTTTGGGTTAATTTTTGCCATATGTATGTAAAGTGTATGCAGCATTCGACTGATTGTTCGGTAAAATCACTCCAGTTATTACGCGAGTGAAACTCCAGGAATAAGTGGGCCTCCAATTACCGTTTGCAACAATGTTGCAAACGGGTAATTGGCAATCAGTGCAGTGTGTGCTTTGTCCTCTGGGTCGCCGCCATTCGGGAGACGAACACGTGGCGGCAGCCTTCTTAAACTCCTGAACATCGGTGTTTTGCCGTCGAGTGTCTGGAACCCAAATCAGACACTCGGTTAGGCAAACACCGCTGAGACCTCCATGCTGCCATCACTTTGTGTAGAAACTACCGAACGGCTCCCTGTTCGGTAGAAAGAACCCCACGAACAAGGAGGTTTATCCAAATCCTCCCCAGTCTCCATAACCCAAGCCATTCATGCATTTTGTTCCCTTTTTCTGTGACCAACCGCAGGGCCAAAATGTATGGAACCCATTTCGGCTGTTAACCCCAGCGCGGTCGGTCTTTTTACTACCTCCAGAAATTTCCCAAACCCCTGGTCCGATCTGGGTGATTTTTGAATATGTCTCTCATCCAGATCAGGGCTACCAGGGGATGTAATATTTAAAGGGGTACCCCTATTTTTAGGGGTACATGCAGAAAACCAGGGGAACTGTGTCCTGCATAATGGGATTATGAGTCATACTAAGGGGAGGGGATGTGTGGGTGGCAACTCATGTATGATTGGTGTACTGTATAATTACTGAAAATCCCTCCCTTGCATGGGAGAAAGCTTTAAAAGAAGGTTGAGTGAATGAAAGTTCAGTTCTGCTCCTGATGCTGTGTGTCGTCCAGTCATTGGGATTTATATTGGGATATTTTTGGATTGACTTGCCTGCTGTAATTATTGCCTTATGGATTTTTAATACTTGTTCCTGAGCCTCACTGGGATCTTGAGTGGAGATAACCTGTGGAATACCAGCTCTCCGCTACACACAAAGAAAAGGTAGGTACACACAGTGACAGACACATACACAGGCAGGCACATACAGGCAAACACAGGCACACCGACTGGATACACAGTCATTGAAAAGTATACACAGATGCAGGCATAGACTCAAACACAGCCATTAACAGACAAGCATACACTGAATAAGGCTTAAACACAGACACATGCATACAGAGACGCATGCGTGTGCAGGCACACAGAGGATACACAGACACTGGCATTAAATGACAGGCACACACAGATGCAGGTATAGACACAGACACAGCCATCAACAGACAAGCATACATAAACAGGAATAGACAAGACTACAGATTCAGGCACAGACTTACACCTAGACACACACACAAACAGGTACAGATATACAAAAATGGCTCACGATAAAAAAATATTTTAAAATTTTCCCTACCTGAAAGCAGCGCCAGCAGCTGCCTGCAAACCTCTCCCTCAGTGTCTAATACAAAGTGAGGAGATAGAAAAGAGTTTCCATGTGTTAGTGTGCGGCTAGTGTGCTCTCAGTTTTCATGGTACTACCCCCTCCACCCCAACTGTCAGTAACTTAATAATTCTTTAGTAGATTGCTGAATCAGCAATGTACAAAATAACAGTAATGAGGTCTTAATAAGTGGAACTCCAGGGCCCAGTTGCAATAGCGACAGTTACAATCCTGGTAGTTCCGCCACTGTAGAAGATGCATCAGCAGGGGTCGACAGAGAAGCCTAGCTCCCTGGAGTGATGGGCCCAGTCGCAGCTATGACCCTGCGACAATGGTAGTTCCATCATTGTTATCATTCATTGTGTCAAAGTACAAGTGTATGTCTATGTAATGTTGATGTGTGTAAATACTATCGTACAATTTGTGTAGTGCCACAGAGTATAAAAGGCAGAAAAAAGAAGGCACGCAGTGTAAATGTGTAAGTGCAATGGTCTATGAGTGAGTAGTAGATGTTTGTAAAAGCAGGAGTGAATAATTATGGAATGTTAATGTGTAAATGTAAGGGTGTATTCATGTTGAATGTTAATGCAGTGGTGTATTTTAGTGAAGGACTTATGTGTATGAACACAGGGGAGTATTGGTGTATGTATTCGTGTGGAAAGCATGTGTATGAATGCAGGGATAGATTTGTATGGATTATCTGTGGGTGAATGAGGTATGTTTAAGCAGTGTATATGTGAATGCAGGAATGTGTATGTATGTGTGCACTGTGTAAGCATGTGTGAATAAGGGGTGTATCACATCTGTCAGTGTGTGTATGTGTGAAAGAGGGGTGTATCTAAAATCTGTGTCAGTGTGTAAATGAGATTTGTATTTGAAGACTGTGTGTGTGAACAAGAGGTGTATATGAAATCTGTAAGTGTGTGAATGAGGAGTGCGTTTGAAATCAGTGTCAGCACGTGTGTGCATGAGGTATATTTATATTCTGCAAATGTTTTTTTTTTTGGTTTTCGTTTTTTTACTGCCCAACCTCCTTATGACTTTCTGTCTCTTTCAATATGTGTGTCTTCCAATTATTTCCCTCTTTTATCTGTCACCCATTGTCTCCCCTTTCTCTAACACTACTTGCCACCCATCTGACCAGCTTCTGTCCCCCTCACCTCCCACTCAACTGTTTCATTGCTTCACTTCACACTTCTGCTTTCCAATACCCCACTTGTGTCTTAGCTGTCCTTCACATTCCATCTCACTCAATTCTTTAACCCACTCATTCATTTGTGTCTCCCCATCTACCCCACGTCTCTACCAAAATTCCCTGTGTGCTCCTGCCCTATCTCACCCCTTCATCCCACATGTGCTCCTTTCACCCCTAGCCTGCTTACCTATACAGCCTGACGTTTTTCCTCCCTCCATCTCCTCAAGCAGCATTGGTGAGCCCAGGATCCTCTTCTCACCATTCATCCAGCTGTAAATGTGCTCCGTGTGAGCAGGGACAGCCTTAGGCCATTAGTCGCCCTGTGCGAAAAAGTCTTCATGGCACCCCCCCCCCACCCACCAAGTTGCCTGTATACAGTCACACACACAGGCATAGGCAGACAGTCACACAAACAGTTACAAGCAGACAGTCAGACACGCTCAGTTACAGGCAGACAGTCAGACACACAAACACAGTTACAGGCAGACAGTCACACAGTTACAGGCACACAATCACGAACAGTTACAGGCACACAGTCACACACACAGTTACAGGCACACAGTCAAAAGCAGACAGTCACACATACTTCATTACAAGCAGACAGTCATACACACTTGGTTACAGGCATGCAGACACTCACGCACGCTGATAGGCACACACATACTCAGTTAAAGGTATATAGTCACACATAAAGGCACAGGCACACACAACGGCACAGCTACAGCGACACACACAATTGGAGTCCCACACATTGTCTAATGTGTCCTGATGAAAGCTCCTATCAGGAGCTGAAACGTTGACTATTTTGGATGCACCAACAATAAACCGAATGAACAAAACCAAAGAGTGAAGGTAATTTTTTGGAATTTCTATATTATTGTGACTTGGCACCAGGTATCTGATATTTATAGTAGGAGTGTAAGAGATTCAAATTTATATATATATATATATATAAAGAAAAAAGGAAAAAAAAAAAGGAGGGGGGGAAGAATACCAATAGGAAATTAACAAATTAACAAAAGAAGTTAAGAGGTGGAAGAAGGAGTACATCTTTAGACTGCTTTAGGCATTGAAATTTGAAGGAGATAAAGCATACTGTACATACTTTGCTTGCAATTTTTTTTCTTTTTGTTTTATGTTTTTTCTCCTCATTTCCAATTCAACGCTACAAAATGGCCTTTCCCCAACCTGCAGAGCTCAGTCTGCGTGGAGCCCTCGCCGGGTGAAGATGGATTTTTTTTTGGCGCTCTTTTTTTTATTTTTTATTTAATTGCGTCGGTTATTATTGATTTTTGTTTGGCTTTTTTTGGGGCTGAAAAAAGAAGATTTTAGAAGAAAGAAAACATTGAATTGTAATTTTTTTTTTTTTTACAGGTACTTAGTTAAAGGTCCCCCCCTCATTATTTTTAGGGTGAGGGGGGAGGGTAGGGGGTTAATTCTTTTTTTGGGGGGAGGGGGTGACTAGGGGTTTGGGGACCCCTAGTCATCTGGGTGGGGGCGTAACATTTTTATTTAGGGCCCCCACCCGATGCTTTTTTTTTAACAGTGAGCAGCCACAGGCTGCTCACTGTTTAATAGACATGCCCCTACTCGCGGTATAGCGAGTAGGGGCATAATTTACTAATACTAAGTAATCTTTACTTAGTATTAGTAAATTTGTCTGAAAGACCAATTTAGGTCTTTCAGCCTTTTAGTAAATAGCTCCCTAATATCGTGGGAATTAGGGAGTTATCTACTTATTCATTCCTGTCATTACATTGACTGGCTAAGTAACTTACATGTTATCTGAATACGTGTTACTTGATTGTTGTAAGTGTTGCAAATGCTTACAGCTGAATCCTGCCTATGTTTGTATACTTTTTATTTAAAATTGTATACAATGTAACATTCTTTCACTGGGTAAGTATATTAGTACTTAGGCAATACTGTGCTTCGTAACTTTGGCACTTTGACACTTCGGAACTTCGGCAGTTCGACACTTCGGAAATTCGGTAATTTCAGAACTTCGGAACCTCAGCAATTCGGCACTTCAGCGATTCGGACATTTGGAAGTACCCGAATGTCCGAATTATCCGAAATTTGTCCAAATTCATATTCAGGACGAAATGAATTGCACATGTCTAAAATAAAGTAACTTATAAATGAAAACTGCTTAATCAGACAGTAGATGGGATAAATTATTAGCACAATGTATTTTACCCAAGTAAAGTGCCCCAACATAAATCATTATTGGAGTATACGTTATGAACAATGATGTGTAACTCTCCATTAAGCGGATATTATACTGCCATTTTATAATTGAATGGACTTTCCATACGTCTACAAAGATTTCTTTGTATCTTTGTAACTTATGTCCAATATAATTTTCTCTCCCATCTATTTTCTCTGTAGTAACATTAAGTGAGTTACCAGGACTACAAACTAATGAGTTCACTAAAGAGACTCCATACCTTGTGCTGGGTATTTAATTGGGACATATTTAATAAAGTGATTGAATTGTAACCATGAAGTGTATCCCAGAAGGGAACTGGTCGATAGCTGTTAATTAATACCTATATTAGATTGTATAAATCAACTACCAGGTAAATATTCTAAGATAAAAACAAAAAAACCTTTAATCAATATCAATTAAATGGCATCAAATAGTTAAAATTAGATAAACAACTCCATATTAGGAGTTAGTGCCTAAGTGGTGATAGTGTACAAATACACAACTAGAGTGGCTTTTGTAAATAGCTGTAATAAGACCCCTTTAGATTGTCAATAAAGAGTTCTCATCTATGTGGACAAAAATTTTGGTATCTCAAAAGTTATCGTCCAAATTTCTATAGTATAGTTCTGAAAGCACTTAGTAGCGATGCTGGGGCTGTAATGATAAAAGACCACTTCCATTTTCTACACAGTACGTAGTTGAAAACAGCATTATAGTATCAAATTAGACAGGGTTAGCAGTTGCCTAGCATCTAAAATGGTCAGCCATAGGAATAACAATGTTGCAAATGCGGCTATGTTAAGACACGATCAGAATAGCCTTACTAATATAATGACTATCTGCAAGTATAATATCTCCAATACAATACAAATAGAGATAGATCCAGATAATAGGTACTATAGATACACACTATAGGTGAAAAGCTGCCACTCAGATAGGCACACCTATAATATCTCCAATAACTGGTATGATCATTTGTCCGACCAGAGAAGGGGAGGGAGAAAGAGGGAGAGAGAGATAGCAGAGTAAATCGCAGGAGGGTTAGCTAACATGATAGTAGTATATAGAGAGAAATGGTTTCTTAGTAGTCCCTGGTTAATTCCGATGGAAATTCTATGATGGTTGTAAAAAACTGCTAAACCTAGCTCTTAGCTGTTTGGTTACAATGCCCTGTTCTGCTATTATATATATATATATATATATATATATATATATATATATCACAGGGATCCCAGTATGCCTTCAAGGGCACTTAACTTTACACCGCCTCTCCCCCAATCTGATATACTTATTGTGTAACAAGTGGAGTTAGCCATTTATTTCAGATACAAGGTAACTGCTAACCCTGTCTAATTTGATGTTATAATGCTGATTTGAACTACGTACTGTGTAGCAAATAATAGTGTCCTTTTATCATTACAGACCCAGCAGTGCTACTAAGTGCTTTCAGAACTATACTGTAGAATTTTGGACGATAACCATGGAGAAACAGGGCCATGTGTGACAAACTCCCCTTCCCACGCGAGGTTGCCACGAGCTCCTGGAGGAGCTTGTTTGCCAACCTCCTGCCCATATACTATGCACCCTGCAGGGAAACCTGTAAAAGACTAGTATATTGGCTTGGTTCATGCCCTTTCTCTATTCTGTTCAGGAACCGAACAGGCGCACAAACCATGGATTACCCGGGAGCTTGTTAAGCCTAATTGACAGTTTGTAATACGTTCCACCGCAGTGTTCTAATTGTTCGTCTGGGTGGCCACTGTTTGCATGAATGACCTCGAGGTGGTGGCAGGCAGCGGTGTTTGGTCATTGAGTTTGTGGAACTAAAAACGCATACTGAAATTCCCAAACACCGATGCACTTCCATGATCGCCTGCATTCGGTTCTACACCACTTAGAAGGGCACTGTTTGATTAAACCTTCCCACGAACAAGGTGAAAAAGCTCCAGGGTAACACTATTGGCTATGTTCGGTAGTTTGTTCATTTTTAAACTACCGAACTAGACCGACTACTAGCCATGATTTTATGAAATTGTTTTGGGCATAGGACCATGTGAAAGGTCAGTCAAATTATGACTTCCAGAAAAATCTCAAACCCCTGAACTGATCTGGGTGATTTTTGGATATGTTGGTCACCCAGATCAGGGCTTTTGTTGGTTCTTTATGTGTTTTTAAGGTATTTTTGAGGTTTTGTAATATTGTATGGTTTTCTGTGCCTGGAGATAATTGAGTTAGTTCAGTTCCTGAATCAATTATCTCTCAGGCACAGAGGAGGAGTTTGTAACTAGTCCCCTCTCAGGTCCAGGAGAGGGATTATCTTGTTTGTGTGGGAGTGTCAGGGGCATGCTTAACTGTATCTGAAATTGTATAAAAGCAGGCCATCTGGCCAGATTAAAACATTCCAACTTGTACACCCAGAACTATGTGTCGTCTGGTTACTGGGAGGGGAAGGGGCTAATCACTGTTACAGTGTTCAGGATTAAATGGGGAAAGTCCTTGTAAGGACTCTGAGACAGTCCAGCACCTAGTAGCCGAATGCAAGTTGTAAGCAGGAACAGCATACACGGAGAGACACTACCAAGTTGCTGGGATTGTGTACCGAAACATCTGCACAGAATATGGATTGGACCTTCCTAAGTCCAGGTGGGAGATATCACAAAGAATGACAGGGCTAAGATCCTGTGGGACTTCAAGATCCAGACAGACAAGCAAGTTCTGACCAACCAACCAGACATCGTGGTGGTAGACAAGGAACGAAAGACTGCAGTCATGGTTGATGTGGCAATACCCAGTGATTATAACATAAGGAAGAAGGAACATGAGAAGGTGGACAAATACAAAGGACTGAAAAAAAAACTAGAAAGGATATGGAAAGTGAAGACAGTAGTAGTCCCAGTTGTGATAGGAGCACTCGGGGCTGTGACTCCCAGTTGGGGGACTGGCTTCAACAGATTCCAGGTGGGACATCTGAGATCGCTGTCCAGAAAAGTGCAGTTCTAGGAACTGATAAGATACTGCGCAGAACCCTTAAAATGGAAAAACACACTACAGGCTGATCCAACTTTGATGTAATGTCCTTAAAACAAGTCAAAATGAGGCTCAGTAGTGTGTGTGGCCTCCACGTGCCTGTATGACTTCCCTACAATGCCTGTGCATGCTCCTGATGAGGTGGCAGATGGTCCCCTTAGGGATCTCCTCCCAAACCTGGACTAAAGCATCTGCCAACTCCTGGACAGTCTGTGGTGCAACGTGACGTTGGTGGATGGAGCGAGACATTATGTCCCAGATGTCCCCAGTCCATAGAATCAATGCCTTTGTCTTGCAGGAACTGCTGACACACTCCAGCCACATGAGGTCTAGCATTGTCTTGCATTAGGAGGAATCCAGGGCCAACCGTACCAGCATATGGTCTCACAAGGGGTCTGAGGATCTCATCTCAGTACCTGATGGCAGTCAGGCTACCTCTGGCGAGCACATTGAGGGCTGTGCGGCCCCCCCAAAGAAATGCCACCCCACACCATTACTGACCCCCTGCCAAACCGGTCATGCTGGAGGATGTTGCAGGCAGCAGAACATTCTCCACGGCGTCTCCAGACTCTGTCATGTCTGTCACATGTACTCAGTGTGAACCTGCTTTCATCTGTGAAGAGCACAGGGCACCAGTGGCGAATTTGCCAAATCTTGGTGTTCTCTGGCAAAGGCCAAACGTCCTGCACGGCATTGGGCTGTAAGCACAACCCCCACCTGTGGACGTTTGGCCCTCATACCACCCTCATGGAGTCTGTTTCTGACAGTTTGAGCAGACACATGCACATTTGTGGCCTGCTGGAGGGTTGTTGCCTGCACAAAGGTGCAGGTATCAGTCCTGCTGATGGGTTGTTGCCCTCCTACGGCCTCCTCCACGTCTCCTGATGTACTGGCATGTCTCCTGGTAGAGCCTCCATGCTCTGGACACTACGCTGACAGACACAGCAAACCTTCTTGCCACAGCTCGCATTGATGTGCCATCCTGGATGAGCTGTACTACCTGAGCCACTAGAGTGAAAGCACTGCCAGCATTCAAAGTGACCATAACATCAGCCAGGACACATAGCAACTGAGAAGTGGTCTGTGGTCACCACCTGCAGAACCACTCCTTTATTGGGGGTGTCTTGCTAATTGCCTATAATTTCCACCTGTTTTCTATCCCATTTGCACAACAGCATGTGAAATTGATTGTCACTCAGTGTTGCTTCCTAAGTGGACAGTGAGATTTCACAGAAGTGTGATTGATTTTGAGTTACATTGTGTTGTTTAAGTGTTCCCTTTATTTTTATGGGCAGTGTATTCCTTTCAGTATGTGCAAGTGTGTATATATGCATGTGGCAATGCATTCATCCCAGCATTCCAATGCCAACACTGCACACACATCCGCTAACACTGCACCCAAATACATTCCTGTGTTCCAACAACATTGCACACAAATACACCACTGCATGTGTGTCTGTGTTCCTTTGTGTGTATCTGTGTGTATGTGGCAATGCATACATCTCAGCATTCAAACGCCAACACTGCACACAAATACACCCCTGCATGTGTACCTGTGTGTCTGTGTGCGTACATCTGTGTTAGTGTGTATCTCTGTGTGTGGATGTACCAGTGTGTAGCTGTGTGTATGCACCAGTGTCTGTATCAAAGTGTGTGTATCTGTATATCAAAGTGTGTATCTGAGTGTGTATGTGCTCTAGTGTGTGTGCGTATATGCCAGTGTGTTTGTGTGTGTCTGTATGTCAAGGTGTGTGCATGTGTCCAGGTGTGTGCATGTATCAGTGTGTTTATGTGTGTGTCAGGGTGTATGTATATCTATGTTATCTGTGTTAGTATGTATGTGCATTCATTCCGGCAATCAAATATACCCACAAATCATTATATAAAAACACACCCCTGAATTCTAACTCCAAAATTTTATACAAACACACCCTTCATTTACACCAATACTACACACAAGTGTACATCTGCATTTAAAAGACAACACTAAATCCAAACACGCGCCTGCATGCAATTACAAACGTTGCATTCAAACACACCCATTTATTAAAACGCTAAAATTATATACAAACACCAACTCTACACACAAAAGCACACCTGCATTTAAAAGCCAACACTATATACAAACACACACCCCTGCATTCAAACGCAAACAATACACACAAGCACACCACTGCATTCCAATGGTAACTGTACATACAAATACACCTCTACATGCACACACATACTCTATACAAAAACATGCGTACATTCAAATGCACAAACACTGCTTACAAATACAACCCTACAAGAATGATCAAATGGTAGATCCCCAGCTGGCATAGCATTGTGTAAGTTGTACGATAGATAAGTATCTATCTTTTCTCCACTATTGCGCTAGAGGGGAGACCCAAAAAAATTCTTGCACCAGACCCTCTCTACATTAGTTCAATCACGAGGTTAGGGTGGAGGCTTTAATTGCATGCCAGGGAGCTGGGGGCTTGGAAATGGGGGAGAGGGCAAGGTCCATGGGGCCCAAGAAAATGCTTGCCCAGGGACCAATCAATATTAAAGACGGCCCTGTGGAGATACAAAAATTATCATCCACATAGATGAGAACTCTTTATTGACAATCTAAATGGGTCTTATTACAGCTATTTACAAGAGCCACTCTAGTTGTGTATTTGTACACTATCACCACTTAGGCACTAACTCTTAATATGGAGTTTTGTATCAAATTTTAACTATTTGGTGTCATTTATATTGATTCAAGTTGTTTTGTTTTTATCTTAGAATACTTACCTGGTAGTCTAATTATACAATCTAATATAGGTATTAATTAACAGCTACCGATTAGTTCCCATCTGGGTTACACTTCATGGTTACATTTCAGTTCTGTTAAGTTTTTAAGGGTTACCCCTCCATTTATAAGTGTTCCCTAGAATATTTGGCTCATCATTATTCTTTTTTTTTTTTATTTATTAAGGAATCACTGAATATTGCCTCCCCACATACCTGCTTTTTTTTTTTTTTTTCTCATATGAATTTTAACGGTTATGCCCAAACAAATTTTTAAGTATTCTTCTTAAGGACTGCAGAGACTGGGATAATTTAATGTGGCATGGGAGGGCATTCCATAAGGAGGAGACAGCCATGGAAATGTCTTAGAGGCAAGGGTATGGGTACAAGAACGAAACAGTAACAGGTTGTCGGCACAGTGAAGAGGCCACGCTGGAGTATGTCTCCTAATGAGGGGGGAGATATACACAGGAGCTCAGTTATGGAAAGGATGAGAACTGTAAAACAAATCCTAAATGACCACTCAGAAGGTCTCAAATATAACTTATTGCTCATGTATTTTAACCAAGAGAACCTATACAAAGATAATGTAATTTTGGATTGCATTTGTCAGATAATCAAATTTTATTGTAGGTTTTAATTCTACATATATTTTTTTTTTTATTTCTTGTACACATATTAAAACAAAATTACAATTCATTCTACAACTATCCATTTATTTACCTCTGAGACAAATGGTTGATTCAGACAGTCTCTATAATATTATCTATAATTAATAATACCGGTCTAAGGTTGTTGATCATCATTAGAGTTTAACTCAGTACTAACCGGGAGGGGGGCGGTCCAGCCCGGATGCCACTCGCTCGGGGGGTGCCATTCAGCTGCTCAAACTCATTATTATATTTATTATATTTAGTTGGGAGCAGCAGAAGTTGGAAAGTAATATTGCTGACCTTTGTACATTAATTGCATTGAGAAGATTATCATGACTAACATGTGTTGCCATTTTCAGTTCTATTTTATTTAATACTGTTGGCTACTGGATGAACATGTCCCAGATGGAGTACAAGATGGATGCCAGTGTCATATATATTTGGTAAGCTCACCATAAAGCCACACAAACAACTCCAGTGGAATTCAACTGACCCTTTATAAAATGAAACAACTTTTTAAGGTTTATGCTTTTAGGTAATCTTAAATTATGCTAATATGAGATAAGAGTAAGAGGTACTCCTGATGATCCCAGCAATGGCTGCCGAGTGAAACACGCGTCAAGTGCAGATCGGTGTCTCCTAGATCAGAAGGCTCCTAGACTTGACTTAAACCCTCTTGCTAAACTTCTACGAATTTCAGCCTCTGGCTTAGGGGATACCAGAACAATTTTTCTTTGACTATCTCCTTTGAGACTTTCATACAGACCCTGTTTATGGTGGGGTATATAGGGGGATCCATTTATCTATTTATTAAATCAATTGTTTACTACTGCAGTTTCGGGCTTATAACATAGAGGGATCATGTGCCGGCTAAAAAATATGTAGGGACGAGTTTGTGGATTAGCTTTCAGATTATAATAGGGAGCAACCGGCACATGCACCCTCCCTGCTGCCCAAGATTCATTGATTTATATTTATATTTCCATTAGCTCTCTGGATACTCAATGGACCTCAAGGAATTACACCTTAAACATTTGATTTCTCTTGCAGAACTTAAGCAACTAGATAGTATTTTTTTCCACTCTTATCTAGTGACATCTAGTGGCTCATTGAATACACATGGCTCATTGTTATTCATATATTGTTAGCGTGTTATTTTTGGAGAGCTTGTGTTTCTGAATGCTCTTTTCTCCTATATATACAGCATACCCCTAAAGGGTAGCCAAAGTATTTTAAGTTATATTTTCTATTTAAATATCATTATTACTATTAATACTACTATTTAAAAAAAATAAAAATTATTGTGAACTATTGCCTCAGCATCCCAACACTAGGGCATTTTTTTAAATTTTTGAAATAAAAAAGTAACTTTTTACTTATGTTTCACCACTATCTTCTATTTAAATTTATCTAAGGGCCAAACCCATTCATCTTATTGCCACTATCAGTCAATTAGTGACAGACAAAAAATACTTTCTTTCTTTAAGATTAAGAGGGCCTCCACTGTGAGCTCCAAATCCTACAGCCTCTCTAAAACTTTCCTAATTACCCCATCAAACCCCTTCATCTGCTATTTTGTCTGCTTCCAGGGTGTGTTACACTGGGTTAAATCTCTCATTTGTTGCTATAGGTCTCCAAATTTAGTTTGGATCTTTGATTTGAATTTTGATTTGAGTTCATTTATCTTCCTTGGTGGAGGAAGCCATATTGTCATTGTGAACTTGTGTTACAGCAATAAGTAACCCGGTAACGCTGTTCAAAGGGTTTGGCTATGGAGTGGTCAAGTGATATATCACGCTCCAGAAGTTTTATAGGTGACATCTTATATTGTGGAAGATAGCATCTACAGACTCAAATTGGTTGAAGAGCTATGTGCTAATACTGATCATTGTATTTTTTTTTTTTTTTGCTTTTTCAACTCATATAAATTGAGTGAAAGTATAGAAAAAGACCACGTTAGTTGTCAGAACTAAATCAATTGTGGCAATGGAAAGTATAAAAAAGACCAGGTCAGCTGTCAGAACAGGCTCAAAATTGATATTTTCATATGACTGAATTTGACTCCACGACCAAAAAATGAAATAGTGATTGTGTAGCTTAGATCATATATTTTCAAAGGAACATTCCAAGCACCAAAACCACTATAGCGTGGCAGGGGTGCCCTGGATCACCGCAATGTAAATAGTCAAACTTTTAGGTATGACTTCTTTCCTGGGGTTCATTGGCACCGCTCCCTGCTTCTCAGAGAGCCAGAAGCTTTCTGCCTGAGCTAAGCCTAGCATAGCAGGATTTAAGTAATCAGAGAAGAGTGATCAGCCAATGCTCTTATCCAGCTATCAGATCACAAGGGATAGGGCAGGAAGTGGCTGTTCACTAAGAAATGCAGGGTTATACAGCTCCTGCAACTCTATTATCAATCACAGTAGTGTGAGTACTTCCAAATAACCCTCTGAACTCTACATGCCACACTCAGCATGAAGATGTTCTCCAAAGCCTTTGAATGGCTTGGATTATTAGTATGTCAATCTTATTTATTTTTATCATTCAGAGGTTTATATCTACAACATTAGGAAGAAGTAGGTGTTAGCATATCTAATGTTAGTTTCCCTTTACTTGGACACAACTGTATGCACTCACTATACCTACAGATTCAAACACAATACATCACAAGAATAACCATGTGCCTATATGCATACACTTTGTAGTCATCCTATAGGAATATATGTTTGGAGATATTTTTTATGCTTGCAATGTCCAGTTGATACATTCATTAAGCTCACTTTATCTTTATGTTTGGGGGAGAATGACTGCATTGGAGTAATTTACCTACAGACATCTGCCATGTAAATTATGCCCTGGTTATATATACTTCTTGATTTCATTTAGATTTGAAGCCATATTCCCAGATTGTCTTTTATCAGTTGTTATATTTTCCACTGTTCCTATTTTTACAATTGTTTTCCTTTTAAATTCTAATAAACATCCTTTTGCAAAAACAGCACAAAAGTACTAAATTAATGACCAACGACTTATTCTAAAAAATGCAAAGAAGAATGAAGAATTACCTCATCAAGTGCTTTGTCCCAATTCAAATGTAAAATAAATACTAAAAAAGCGATGGCTTGCACAATGAGACCTGCAGCAATTCCAGACCACAATCCTTGAAAAAGAAAAGATATGAATAATAGAAACATAGAAACATGTAATGTGATGACATTTAAGAACCGTTTGGCCCATCTAGTCTGCCCAATTTTCTAAATACTCTCATTAGTCCTTGGCTTTATCTTAAGTCTAAGATAGCCTTATACCAATAAATAATAATATATTCTTCAGTAAAAAGCTGAATTTGTATAATGATCGGAGTAAGGACTTATTTATTCCTTATGTCTTGTATCTAGTGGTATACTAGATATGCTATAATTTATGTCTTGTATCTAGTGGTATACTAGATATACTATACTTTACGTTTTAGGTGGCTAAATTATTTATTTGTTTAAAACACCAAGTAAAAACAAAAATCACTGAAATCTAGTAAAATCTGTTAAACATTTAAATGCTGAAATAATCTTTAAGCTCCTCACTAATTTTTTTGATAGAAAAGGCTGCTTTTCAATTTAAAAAACAACAACATATTTTCTGTAAGGTTGGTTCCCAAGCCAGTCCTCAAGGCACCCCTACAGTCCAGGATTTAGGGATTATACAGTTGTGCCCAAGGTGTTTTTTTCCTTTCCTTTTCTAAACATATGTGTTTGTTTGTTTATTTATTTATTACTGGTATTTATAAAATGCCAACAGATTCTGCAGCGTTGTACAACTAAAGAAGAACTTACAATATACACAGACAAATACGAGGTAGAGAGAGCCCTGCACGTAAGCTACATTTATTAGCATCCTCATTAGTGATTTATACATGTAGAAGGGCAACATTGTCAGCCAATTCCTGAGAAATGTGTACTAAAAACATTTTTTTCTCATGCTAGTAATACACCGTTAATTTATATTGCAGTGTAAAATCAACTTTTCCCTTGAATCCCAAAAGTTACGTTTATTGTGTATAATGTTCAGTTTTTACCTATTACACCAAGCTTTCCATAAAACATTAATACGATTCCAACTGGCAAACCAATGCCATTAAATCCAACTGTGATTATAACTGCACCAAACTTTTGCTTTCCCACTCCTCGTAACACTGCAGCACCTGTGGACTACAAATCAACCACAAGCATTAAATAACCTATTATGCAACCTGTCGATAATATTAATTAAGCTAGAAGTTCGACGAGTTACTTACAGTGAGGGAATCAAATATATGATATGGAGCAAAGATTAGCAACATTTGGGACACTAGGAGAACAATTTCTCTGAAAAAGAAAAAAGAAAAAACACAATTTTACATAGAAACATAAAATGTGATGGCAGGCAAGAACCATTTGGCCCATATAGTCTGCCCAATTTTCTAAATACTTTCATGAGTCCCTGGCCTTATCTTATAGCTAGAATAGCCTTATGCCTATCCATCGGCGTGCGCACGGGGTGTGCCGGGTGTGCCTGGGCACACCCTAAACCCGCAGCACGCCTATGGAGTGAGACCGGCAGGGGAGATCTCAGGATCCCTCCTGTCGGCTCATGCAGAGCCGGTGCTATCCGATCGCCGGCTCTGCTCTCAGCCTCCCTCGCCACCGGCTCACATGTAGGGAGGGAGGCAGGAGAGGACCCGGGGAGGTATTGCCAGCAGCTCCGCTGCGGGGCTAGAGTTCACTCACCACTGGACCACCAGGGAAGGCAGCAGCATGGTCCCCCCTCCCTACATAAGGTAACAAGGAAGGGGGGATATTAACTGATCTGCCCCCACCTCCACTGGACCACCAGGGAAGGCAGCAGCAACAAGGATTCCCCTCCCTACAAAAGGTAACAAGGGAAGGGGGATATTTATTAACTAATCTGCCCCCACCTCCACAACCACAAATCACCCAAACATACAGCACCCACACACAGCACCCACACACACACAGCACACACAGGACAAACACACACAGCACCCTCACACACACACCACCCCCACACACAGCACCCTCACACATAGAGCACCCTCACACATACAGCACACACACATACAGCACCCTTACACACAGCACACCCACACACACAGCACCCCCACACACACAGCACACCCACACACACACAGCACCCACACTCACAAAGCACCCACACACACACAGAAACCTCACACACAGCACCCACACATACACAGCACCCACACATACACAGCACCCACACACATACAGCACCCTCACACATACAGCACCCTCACACACAGCACCCCCGCCCCCACACACAGCACCCTCTCACACACATACAGCACACAGACAGCACCCACACACACACAGCACCCACACACATACAGCACCCCACACACAGCACCCACACACACAGCACCCACACACACACACAGCACCCTCTCACACACAGCACCCACACACATACAGCACCAGACACATACAGCACCCTCACACACAGCACCCTCACACACACAGTACACTAACTGCACCCTCACAAACACACAGCACCCTCACACACACAGCACCCTCACACACACAGCACCCTCACACACACAGCACCCACACACATACAGCACACCCACACACATACAGCACCCTCACACACATACAGCACCCTCACACACAGCACACCCACACACATACAGCACACACACACACACAGCACCCTGTCACACACAGAACCCACACACATACAGCACACATACAGCAACCGCACACATACAGCACCCTCACACATACAGCACCCTCACACACACAGCACCCTCACACACACTGCACACTAACAGCACCCTCACAAACACACAGCACCCTCACAAACACACCCTCACGCACACACAGCACCCTCACACTGAACACTAAAAGAACCATAACAAACACACACACAGCACACTACCAGTACCCTCACACACAGCACACAAACAGCACCCTCACACACAGAACACTAACAGCACCCTCACAAACACACACACATAAACACCCTCACCCACATAGCACACTACCAGCACCCTCACACACACATCACACTAACAGCACCCTCACACAGCACACACACACACAGCAGTGTATGTATGTGTGTGTGTGTGTGTGTATATATATATATATATATATATATATATATATAATATTGTCCAATGCTTGCACTCCTGTATAGTAATGTATATAGCCCGGTGCTTGTCGGCATAAATAATAGGTAGAAAATTGTGAAAAGCACTCCAGGGACTTCATATAAGGTGAAAAAACAATAACTTAGCTTTATTCGGCAACTGCCAGAAGTGATCAACGTTTCAGCTCACACATGGAGCTTTCGTCAGGATACCCATGTGTGAGCTGAAACGTTGATCACTTCTGGCAGTTGCCGAATAAAGCTAAGTTATTGTTTTTTCACCTTATATGAAGTCCCTGGAGTGCTTTTCACAATTTTCTACATATATATATATATATATATATATATATATATAGAGCTGTTAAGATCCTGATGAAAGCCATGAAGTTTGGCTGAAACGTCGATCACATCAAGTTTTAACCTATGAAATAAAGAACAACCTTTTAAAGAGACCAGAAAAGACCGTGAGTGCTTGCCTTTTGTACCTTATATTTTTGTGTATATATATATATATATATATATATATATATATATATATACATATATATACACGCAGCGTGTGTTTGTGCTTTAGGGTGCACAAACTAATGCAATAGGCTGCGCACGCCTATGTGCCTATCCCATGCATGCTTAAACTCCTTTACTGTGTTAACCTCTACCACTTCAGCTGGAAGCCTATTCCATGCATCCACTTCCCTCTCAGTAAAGTAATACGTCCTGATATTATTTTTAAACCTTTGCCCCTCTAATTTAAGACTATGTCCTCTTGTTGTGGTAGTTTCTCTTTTTTAAATATAGTCTCCTCCTTTACTGTGTTGATTCCCTTTATGTATTTAAATGTTTCTATCATATCCCCCCTGTCTCGTCTTTAACCTTTCCTTGTAAGTTTTATCCTGCAATCCATGAACCAGTTTAGTAGCCCTTCTCTGAACTCTCTCTAAAATATCAATATCCTTCTGGAGATACGGTTTCCAGTACTGTGTACAATACTCCAAGTGAGGTTTCACCAATGTTCTGTACAATGGCATGAGCACTTCCCTCTTTCTACTGCTAATACCTCTCCCTATACAACCAAGTATTCTGCTAGCATTTCCTGTTGCTATATTACATTGTCTGCCTACCTTTAAGTCACCTGAAATAATTGCCCCATAACCCACAACTCTGACCATGTTTCTAGTTTACCTAAATCATTTGCCATTTGGCGTATCCCTGCTGGAACATCAACCCTGTTACATATCTTAGTATCATCAGCAAAAAGACATACATTACCCTCAAGACCTTCTGCAATATCACTAATAAAAATAATAAAGATAATGGGTCCAAATAAAGATCCCTGAGGTACCCCACTGGTGACAAGACCATGCTTTAAATATATACTCCATTGACTTTAACTCTCGGTGGCCTGTCACTTAGCCACTGACTTACCCATTCAACAATATTGGAATCCAAACTTAAAGATTGCAGTTTATTGATAAGCCTTCTATGTGCAACAGTGTCAACAGCCTTACTGAAATCTAGGTAAGCGAGGTCTACTGCACCACCCTGATCTATTATTTTAGTTACCCAATCAAAAAAATGAATTAGATTAGTTTGGCATGATATCCCTGAAGTAAACCCATGTTGTCTTTGATCTTGAAATCCACGTGATTTTAGATGTTCAACAATCCTATCCTGTAACATGGTTTCCATTACTTTCCCCACTAGTGAAGAAAGGCTTACTGGCCTATAGTTACTCGACTGCTCCCTACTACCTTTCTTGTGAATGGGCACAACATTCGCTAACTTCCAATCTTCTGGGGCTACTCCTGTTAACTATGATTGGTTAAATAAATCAGCTAATGGTTTTGCAAGAACACCACTAAACTATTTTAATAAATGTGGGTGTATTCCATCAGGCCCCATTGACGTGTCTTTGCTTTTGACAGTTAAAATAGAACCTCTTCCTCTGTAAACTCACATGTAACAAATTACTAATTTGTCCTTTTTTCTAACTTAGGTCCCTTTCCTTCATTTTCATCTGTAAATACTGAACATAAATATTAATTGAGGCAGTCAGCTACACCGTTATCCACTTCTACATACCTTCCTTTTGTTTTTGATCTAACTAATCCTTGTTTTACTTTCCTTTTTTCATTTATGTATCTAAAAAATGTTTTGCCCCCCCTCCCCTTTTTTATTTTTACTGTCTGTGCTATTTTGTCTTCTGTGTGGGATTTGGAAGCTTTTAAAACTTGCTTAGCCTCTTTCTGCCTAATCTTATAGATCTGTCAATCTTCCACACTATAGGTTGTTTTTATATTTACTAAATGCTAACTTTTTGTTTTTGACTTTTGTTTAAAGTTATATGGAAAGATAAATGGAAAACTAATTACAATTATTTATATAGTTGCAACATATTCTGCAGCAATGTACACTAAGAAACAAGATAAGTCTTGAAACACATATTGTGTGCATCACTGTTTTATGTTAAGTATGTAGAATAAATGTCATGTTTTATAAGTGCATTATTTTCTGTTTGTCATATTTATATTGTTTGATACAGTTTGCTGGTTGGATTTTGCTCCTTTTTTTTCCTTTTGATTGTTTATATTCTGTTAAAAATTAAATAAATAAAAATATTTGACTAGACCCAAGTCAAACATTTTATTGTAACAAAACAAGTTTTATATACAGGAATAGTAGGGGAAGAAGGCCCTGCCAAATGAGCTTTCATCTAGTGATTTAAATGTACCGGAGTATGTGAGGGATTGGGTTGAGAAGGGAACACAGTAGGTGAGAGATGGCAAAGGAAGAGGAATAAGGAGAAAACGTATAGGCTTTTCAAAAGAAGTGATTTTTTTTTAGGAATTAATCATTAATCTTATCATTGTCATCATATTTAAGAACAAAACGGCACTCAGAGGCCTTTGTACTTAATGATCAGTGGGGATTGGTGACATGTTAAGATGGTGAGGCACTAGACTCCACCAACGGAAATTGACTCCACCATCTAAGTCAGGGGTTCCCAACCCAGTCTTCATGCACCCCCAACAGTCCAGGATTTAGGGATAATCCTGTTGTGTCTAAAGTGTTTTTTTTCCTAAACCACTGCTCTAAGCGGATATATGACATATGGGTTTATTAGCTAAACTACAAATTGTACCAAATTTGAAGGTTAATGACGAAAATCAATTACGTTTGCTTACATTTTGCAGTATGGAATTCAGTCCACGGCAGTTTGGAGTTAAGTGAATAGCAGATTAATTACTAAATACTAAGTAATTTTTACTTCATAGTAGTAAAGTTGACTGAATGACCAATGTTGGTCTTTCAGTCTTTCAGTAGATAGCTCCCCAAAACTGTGGGAATTAGGGAGCTATCTAGTAAGCGGTTGCATGATGCATTTTAATGAAATTTTGAACTAACCTAAAACTACTGAATGTCGTCCTAACATTAATGAACAAACTGTTCTCATTCTGTTAGAACGAAATTCTGTAGTTTCGCCGGCGTTTTGTCTAAATGACCGGACGTTTGGGAATAGTGAAAGCAGGCATTGCAAGATAATGGAGGAAAGGGTGAGTGTTGTGGGAAAGTTTCTTTGACCCACATGAAGTGGGTCAGAGCAGGTCAAGCATATGAAAAATACATAAGACAAAGTAGTCTCTACTTTGTCTCATGTTTGAAAGAAAACTAGATCAGATAGGAAGATCCTGAGAGAGGGAGAGAGAGAAGAGGAATCGATTGGGAAAAGGTAAGTTCAGCATGACAGTGCCGCTTTAACCTCTTAACCCCTTCAGGACGGAGTCAATAGTACACGTTCTGATCAAAACAAAACGTAAACAAAAATTGGAATTTGTGCTAAATGTCTGTTCAACCGTAATTCACCTCTTTCATATTAAATGCACCCACACTTATTATATATCATTGTGTTCAGGAGAAACAGGGCTTTCATTTCATATCAAATATTTATATATGAAAAATAATTTATTATGAATAAAATTTAAAAAACTGTGAGAAATTTTAAAATGTTTAAAAAATTTGTAGTTCCGCCTCACATTTTAGCTGTAAATGTCATAATACTGTTAGGTTTTATTGCAAATAAATGCACATATTTGTAATCAGCGATGTCTCACGAGTACAACAGTACCCCCCCATTAACAGGTTTTATGGTGTTTTGGAAAGTTACAGGGTCAAATATAGAACGTTCCATTTTCAAATTGAAATTTGCCAGATTAGTAATGAAACCTTTGAGACGGTGTGGTAGCCCAGGAATGAGAATTACCCCCATAATGGCATACCATTTGAAAAAGTAGATAAGCCAAGGTATTGAAAGTGGGGTATGTTTAGTCTTTTTTAGTAGCCACTTAGTCACAAACACTGGCCAAAGTTAGCTTTCATATTTGTTTTTGTGTGAAAAAAGCAAAACACTAATATTTGACTAAGTAGCTACTAAGAAAGACTGGACATACCCCACTTGCAATACCTCAAATTGTCTACTTTTGCAAATGGTATGCCATCATGGGGGTAATTCTCATTCCTGGGCTACCATACGCTCTCAAAGGCAACATAACCAATCTGGCAAATTTCAATGTCAAAAAAATGAAATGCAAGCCTTATATGTGACTCTCTAACTTTCCAAAACACCATAAAACCTGTACATGGGGGATACTGTTATTCTCGGGAGACTTCTAAACACAAATATTAGTGTTTTAAAACAGTAAAATATATTACAACAATAATATAGTCCATTAAAGTGCCGTTCGTTTAGAAAAAATGCAAAAAACGTCAGTTTACTTAAAATATCATCGTTGTAATACAATTTACCAGTTTGAAACACTAATATTTGAGTTCAGTGAAGTCTCCCAATTAAAACAGTACCCCCTATGTACAGGTTTTATGGTGTTTTGGAGAGTTACAGGGTCAAATATAGTGCTTGCGAATTAAATTCTCTGCACTGTCTCCCTGTGTTGTCAGGCATGTCAATCAAATTTGAATTAATAAAATCACATAATTATGTTAAAAGATTATTTAAATATACACGTAGAATTTTAATATATATGCATTTATAGGTATTTAAATTCTACGTGTATACTAAAGTAATCTTTTATGTAATTATATGTATTTATCTATATATATATATATATATATATATATATATATATATATATATATATTTGCGGTTATTTGTATTTTATATATAGATAGATATATATAGAATGTCATTCTTAGTGTATTTTGTCACCAATATATATATATATATTAATAACAAAATACAGTTAAAATGAAATTACATATAAATATATAATTTATATTAAATTTTGTTTCAATATTTTATTCATTTATTTTATTATTTTATTTATTTATTATTGTAATTATACGTATATATATATAATATATGTGTATATATCTATTATATATATATAATATATATACATATTATATATATGTAACGTCAATCTAAGTGTATTTTAATATTAATATATATACTTATATTAATATTAAAATACACTATGTATGACGTTACAAATATATAATATGTATATATTATATATATATATATATATAAAATATATATATATATATATATATATATATATACATATATTATATATATATATACATATATTATATATATCATACTTTTAATTTAATTTTAAACATGTCTAATTTTTTTTTTTTACACTACCTACCAGCAGGGGGACTGTCTGATATTTTAGACAGTCCCCCTGCTGGCAGATCCACAGCCAGCTATAGGGGGCCATGTGATCACATGGCCCCTGGGTGCCTCATTTGCCGGGAGGGCTGCCTCGGCTGTCAGGCAGCCCTCCAGAAGAGGATCGCGGCGGCTTAAGCCGTTACGGCATTCTATGCCGCCACAACAGCTTTAAAGCCCTTTAAAGCCGGGACGGCATAGAACGCCGTAACGGCGTTAAGGGCTTAATGATAGAGGAGATTGTGCATGTTCTGAACCAAAACAAAACCTTGAATTTGAGTATTAAATTTCTTTCACCATAATTGAAGGGTTTCTCTTCAAGTGGCCCATACATATTGTATATTGTTTTGTAAGGACAGAAAGAACTTTCATTTAATATGTGTATACCTAAAACAACATCCTTCTCTTTGTTTCATGCCTATGCCTAACAATATTACGTGAGAATAAAAAGGTTTTTTTTTTAAATGGGAAAAATTTAAAAAAACAAAAATGCATTTCACATTTCTGCTTATTAATTTTTACACATCCAGTGCAACTAATTAAAAACATTTAAAAAGAGGGGGCGGGGCCTGACTGCCAAGCTGGATGGTCACAAGAAGGATGAGCTCCTGCAAATTTCTAAACTTTAAGCCTCTAAACCTATGAATCTCAACCTAAAAGCCGACCGACAGCACTGATCCGTGGCCCAAAGGAGGTACTGGATCCAGGGAGAGGCTGGCTCCATGAGCTTCAGTCCCATGGAGGAGGAATCTTCAAAACACCAGATGTGGCCTGCTCCAGCGAGGAGTGGGGCGGACGGCCGCTGCCCAGCTGAGTGGAGCTGGCCCTGTTCCCCCCTCCTCTGGACCGGGGAGGTGATCCCGGTCCTTGCCCTGGGACCCTGGTCACTGCCATGCAATTAAGGCCCAACAACGAAACCACCTTGATCGGCGACCTCGGCGGATGCGGATGCCACGTGCGTTGAGGACGGAGAAAAAGGTTACCCTTCCCTTAAGCTCAAGCCTGACAGTAAAGATCCTAAATTCACCACGCGGAACAAGCAGGCGACACTCCAAGAAATCCGACCATTCAGCCGAGACTGGTAACTGGTCTCCACCGTAAAGAGCCGCACACCTCTGCCATAAAGCCAGACAACTTTCCCCAGCCTGCCATGAAAGAGCCGCGATGCGAACATGACAGCCGGCATGCAGCAGTAGCCTCAGAGGCTCGCGGAGGACACAGGCTAGGTGGAGACTCACATTGATGTTCTGCCTAAGCATCCTGCTGAACTAAACCCGCATAATATGGGGACTACACAGGCGACATCCAGCACCCATGATAAACTGTCCTCGCCAACTGAGCCAGAGCTTGGCCGCAGGGGCCCGCAAGGTGACTACTTAATCTCCCACTGCGAAGCAGCAGCTCTGTCCTTAAATCTTTTACTCACACCTGCCATATGACAGGATAGAACTGTGGCTTGATGTCATTAGTATTATAAAATGGTCGGGCTGCAAAATGTTAGACACATGCAGAATGTTGTGCCATCAGTATATCTCAGCTCAGCCGGTAAGCCTCTGCTGGGCCTCTGTTAGTCACTCCGTTATAAATTGTGTTACCTTGTTAAAATCTATGAAAGTGCCCCAATAATTTCTGCAGCAGGGCCTGGTCTCCCAGTGGCAATAACAGCCTGTATTTAACTACGATTTCACTAGCCTATTATTATAGCCTGTAACAAAGCAAGTTCCTAGCAAACCATGTCTCAGACCTAATCTTGGACATGGTATAAAAAGCATGTTTGTATACGCAACTAACTTTTGTTTTACATTTTCAACCAAAAAGTGTGCAGGTACTCTTGACATACTGTAACCATTCATAAACAACTTAATTCTATGTCACTGTTATGCAATGTTTGTACCCACTGCACTCCAAAAATAAAGATTAAAAAAAATAAACAACATTTAAATTATTAAATGACTAATATGTTTAGGATCTAAATTCTGTGGTGCACAGTATGTAGGAAGGACAGTTAAAGAAAGATTTATAGAACATTTGAATAATATAAAGAAAAGTTATACATCTTACTCTGTAAGAATTAATTCGTATTGCTAATGAGAAGGTTGAATTAGATGAAAGTGGTGGGGATCTGATGATGAAGTTGAGCAGAAAGGCCTTTTGGATTCATAGACTTCAAACCAGGCAATCCAATGGGTTTAAGGTTGACTTTGACATGGTTTATTTTTTTGTAAATACATTAAAATAACAGTTACGCTTTCACATTTTTTCCTATTTATTTATCTTTTTACTTTTATTTTTAATTTTTAATTTTATTTATATACTTTTTTTTATTTTTACATTAATTTTATTTCTACTTCTATTGTAATTCATTTTATTCTGTTATTTTATTTTCACATTTTTTATTAGATATTTTGCTTCTTTTTCTTTTTTTATTGTTATTACAGGTATTTTTATTTTATTTTTATTTTTGAGCCAAATTATTGTAAGAGCTATTCTGTACCATCTGTGTTTAAGTATCCAAAAAAACTAACTCTCCTTTTCTTTTTTTTTTTTTATGTCTGATATGATATTGCTGTTTGGAAGCTTGATTTGGAACGTGTGGTACACAAGCCGGTGAAAACGTTGTATGGCGGAACCTGAATTCTGACTGATAGTGAGGCTTGAGGTGCACTTATTGATGAAAAAGACTCACATGGACATGGTAGTGAGCAGATTGCCTGATGGCTGTCTGAGGGAGATGCCAAGAGGGATTTAAAGTGTAGAGAAGACTGAGTTTTTGTGCCGGTGTTTGGAAGCGATTTAGGTTTTATTCCATAAATTCTATAGATCTGTCAACAACATTACCCTATATTTCCTTCCTTTTGTTTGTTTGTAGATATTGGTGTATATTTTTAGTGCAATGTAGATGGGAGCTCTGTTTCCTAGCTAATTACACCGAGATTGGTGTTGGGTAGCTTGCAAAGAAATCATCTGGGGACCCTGGAGGATCTCCCTACAACAACCTGCAGCCCAGAAAAAATGTGACTGAGTGTGATCGGTTTTATGAATGAATTAAAAAGGCTCTATGTAGCACTTACTTCAAGGAGGGGAAGTTTAGGTCTGAGAACAGGAGAAAAGTGAAGAAGATGTAAAATGGAGGAAACAGTTAGGCTTGGGAATATAGGTGTAGGAATGCGGTATATTGGAGTGACTTGCAAGCCTGTTCACAGAGGGATGGAAATGCTGGGGAACACAGCAAAAATGGAAACTGCATCAGGGTAAGTGAAGGTCTGTGATCTGTGCCAGCAGCCCATGATAGCCCTAAAAGATAGGCCAGTATTCAGGCTAGTCTTTCAGAGTATGCATAATTACCACGTTGGGACAATACTGTGTCATCAAGTGGCTGCCAGACAGCCAGTCATGGTGATGTAAACATTTCTAACCAGTTTTTTTTTTTTTCTTTTTCAAAAATTACCAAAACTCTGGTGATGCTTGTTTTACTCTCACTAGCAGCAACAGAAAGCCATCAAAAAGACATGCTATTGTCCATCTCTGCAAATAATGGAATGTCCATTTCCCTCTACCCTTCTGGGTGGCCAGGGTCCAATATCTTAAGCACCCCTCCTTAAAAAACTAAATACAATTTAAAAAAAAAAAATCAATGTTACTACCTACCTTCCGACACCCTAATTATAGTGAGGGGGCGAAAAATGAATCAGTTTTTTTTTCTTCTAATTCTTCTGTTCATCAGCCCCCAAAAAAGGGCAATAAAAATATATAACTTCCAATTCAGATTTGCAAAAAAATAATAATGAATAAGTTCAGGACATTTTTAAAAACATGACATAATAAAATGATTCCATCTTCACCTATGGAGTGTTCTCTAAAAGCAGGGAAAGCCTTTATAAAGGCATTCCCAGCCATTGCAAAGTTTGGGAAAATTTTCCATTCTATGTGACACGAATAAAAGCACTCTGATCGGTTGGCAAGCTTGTAAGCCAACCAGTCAGAGAGCTTGGACAGATGACTCACATAGATGGAGCTTTTTCTAGTGGGTGTAAAGCAATGCCTGCCCAGTTGCTTGGTTTAACCAGTTTGTAGCCGTGGCTCACTTGCTGCATGGCAGATGTGGTATAGGAATCTCCACTACTGTAATTTGGGGGGCTTATTGACCCCAATAGGCTTTTTATTTATGTTTACTTTTTTTTATGTGGTGCCTGGCTATCAAACGGTGGCCAAGTGCCACATAATTAATCCCTGTACCACTTAGTGTTTCTAACTACATGAACACTGGCCAGTAGCGCTGCCAGCAAACAATTTGTTGGATTTTTCTTCAGCTCTGGATTTCAATCGTCCAGCTGCATTTAGTCTGGCTGAAATCCAGACAAAATTCAGGCACATATGGGGGATGAAATCCAGAAAATTGGGCCTGAATGTTAAAATCCAGACATTGGTAAACTGAATGAACAGTGGCCGGATTTTTCATTGTGAATGTTGCTGTATGCAGCCAGGTGGTTTTGCCCCATTCAATATGAAGCTGTGCATACTTTAGTGAATAACCCCAGATGTCAGTAAGGCAGTAAGGAGGCATGTCAGATGGGGTGAGGCCCGTGGTAGGCACTCTATCATTGCTCAGTTCTATGCTATCTTCAGTGAACACTAGGCTACCACCTGTTTATTTACCTCAATACCCAGCTCTTGGCTTGTCTTATAGCTCTAGAACCTTTCTGCCTGGATTTCAAACCTTCAGACTGTCTTAAGCTTGCTTTTGCCTGGCCCTTTCTAGATTGTTTGCCTTGGACATTTTCAATCACTAAAAACATTAAAACTTCAACTTGTGTATCATCTCTATGTGATACCTATTTTAAATAGATCTTAGATATATTAAAGATTCAGCAACTGTCATCACAATCCTGTTTAGTAATTTGAAAGCCAGTAATATTGTTTTAAAAAGGAAAAACAACATTTCCTTATCCTCTCTCTATGCTGAGCACTGACTCTCTCTTTATCTCTAAGAACTTATTTGGGGTAAGTATAAAGCCTCAAGAATCAGAGCTTCTCCCTGGCCCAGTTTAATTACCCTTCAGTCTGCCCCAAAGGATGTGAAGGATGATGTGCATGCCTTTTTTGAAAGTGTCATTGTCTGCAGCTATAACCGACAGGGTCACACCTGTTATTTTCATGGAGTAAATCTTTTTTAGCATTTTTTTTTCTATAATCCCAATTGCACTCAGATGCTGCCATGAGCGATAGTAAATATCACAGAACTTCAAACTGACTTCCAAGTGTAACTGAATACAGCAGCATGGCTATATACACTGTTTAGATAATGACCTGCTTGTGTCTATTTTTTATTTTTATTTTTTTTAATTCTTTATTTTTGTTGTGCATATGGTCACAATATAACAACAAACGCCACAGCAGCGTGTTGTGTTGTTTGGAATATGACAGGAATTTAGGTCTCCTTAGATCTCCACAGTTTAGTCATATTTTCGAGGTATTGCTAGATTCTAGTGATTACATACAGATTTGAGAAATTGTGGTAATAAACAATAATCGATAATCCCATTAAGGAACACAGGAATTGTTCGGAGGCAGGAAGAGTGAGTAGTAGTGTGTTGGTAGTGTTGCAACAGTTGTGACATAATTTGTTCGGTTTTGAGGCGGTGAGTTGTATGTTTGAGATTGGGATAGCCCCTATGTCTAAGTGCGCTAAGAACTTATCGGGGAGTATTGTGGTATTAGGTTGTTTAGGAGTTAAGGAATGAGATCCAAGGTTCCCAGATTTTGGAATATGTTTGGAAGTTTTTAGATTTAGCGTGTGTTATCTCTTCCATCTGTCTAATTCCTTCTACTCTCCCTATCCATTCTTTAATAGAGGGTGATTGTGGATGTTTCCAGTATTTGGGGATCAGTTGTGAGGCCGCCATAGTTAAAAAGTTGAAGAAAGCCACCTGTTCCTTACGTAGGCCTCCTGGTGGAAGAAGGAAGATGTAGTGTTGTGGATTGAAGGGGATTTTACTTCCAATGACTGTTTGGTTAAGGGTATGTATTCTATTCCAGAATTTCTCTATTATAGGGCATTGCCACCAGATGTGCGAGTGATTAGCTACCTCGTGTTGACATCTCCAGCATGTTTCTGAGGATGTACTATATATTTTGTGTATTTTCATTGGTGTGTAGTGCCAGCGCGTGATCCGCTTATAGTTACTTTCCTGAGCAGTGGCGTACACATGACCCATGGGGCCCCGGTGCGAAAACTGATCCGTGGCCCCCCCCCCCCCGCACGCGCGGGTCGGGCCGCAACACATGGCGGTGGACACCTGGTCGCAGTGGTTACAGGGCTGCGACACCTGCGACCGCGGTATGTACGCCAGTGCATGCAGATGCACACACACTTAAATGACCACTACAGACACCCAGATCACATCAGCTCAATGAAGTTGTCTGGGTGTCTGGTCCCTCTAGTTTTAACCCTGCAGCTGAAAACATAGCAGTTTCAGAGAAACTGCTATGTTTCACTGAGGGTTAATCCAGCCTCTAGTGGCTGTCTCACTGACAGCCGCTAGAGGAGCACACTGAACGTCCATAGGAAAGCATTGAGTAATGCTTTCCTATGGGCGGTTTGAATGCGTGCGCGGTCGCATTCGGAGCTGAGGGATCCCCAGCGCCAAGGGAGTCCGGCGCTGGAGAAAGGTAAGTGCTGAAGACACACACACTCTCACTTACAGACGCATACACACTAGCTAACAGACACACACATTTACTGACAGAGACACACTCAGCGACAGACATACATACACACTCACTTACAAACACAAACTCACTAACAGACATCAAACAGACTCACTAACACACACACACTCAGTAAGACACACACAGTAACACACTCACTGACACTCACTAGCAGACATACACACTAACACTCACTCTAACACTCACACTCACTCTAACACTCACACACACTAACACTCACACACACTAGCAGACACACACACTAACACTCACTCTAACACTCACACACACTCTAACACTCACACTAACACTCACACTAACACACTCTAACACTCACTCTAACACTAACACTCTAACACTCACACACACTCTAACACCAACACTCACACTCTAACACTCACACACACTCATAACTGCATATTTTGTACTGACTCACACACTCTAACACACTAACACTCACTCTAACACTCACACACACACTAACACTCACACATGTTGTGTTTTTTTTTTTTTTTTTAAATTTAATCCCCCAAGCCTCCTTACCTTTTGGAGTGCTGGAGGGATTCCCTGGGGTCCAGTGGGGCTGCTGGGCTCCTGGGCGGGTGGCCGGTCGGGCAGGCGGGCGCGCGAGTGAGCACTCAGTGCTTCCTCTTCAGCTCCCTCGCGCACCGCGTAGGGATGCCGGCGCCGGAAGATGACGTCTGCGACCCTGGTATGTACGCCACTGTTCCTGAGCTATGGTAGAAGTGGCTGATTTGTGGGCTACTCAGAAAATAGTGTTCCAATCTTGTTGTGAGAGGTCTACTTGTAGTTCTTCTGCCCATTGTATGATGCACTTAGGTGGGTTCGGGTCGAGCTCTTCTCTAGTTAATTTGTACATGGTGGAAAGTAATTTTTGGGTGAGAGGATGTGTGTTGCATAGTTGTTCAAATTTAGACAGGTCTCATGTTCCCCTTGTTATGAGATCTTGGGTTTTGATAAAGTGTGTTAATTGGTTATACTGGAGTCTTTGATTGCCTGTCGGTATGGTATTAGGCATGATTTGTGATAGGGTTTTTAGTTTGCCGTTTTCAATCATATCTTTCAGACGTAACTTTTACCTCAATGGTATGCAGTGTAGGTGTGACCTCTTTGGAAGTGGGGATTGTGTGTGAGAGGGTAAAAAGGGGAAGGATATGTGGAGATCTCTGTAGTTTTTAAAAGTTTATACCAGACCTGGAGTGTAGGTTTAATTGTGGGCTGTGAGACATGTTGGGGGTAGAACTGCGTTTGTTTCGGGGGGAGCCAAGGGTATACTTCCAGTGGGATTTCTGAGAATATGTTTTCTAACTGTACCCATTGTTTGGTTGAGGTGGTGTGTGTCCACTCATAGATTCTCGTGAGATGAGTTGCCAAGTGATATTTTTCGATGTCAGGTAAGTTTAGTCCTCCTTTGTCCCTATTTTGGATTAGGGTTTTGTATGCGATCCTTGGGTGTGAGTTGGACCATATAAAATTAATGAGGATGGATTTAATTGTTAAAAATAATTTATTTGGTATCGAGATGGGGAGTGTTTGTAAGAGATATAATAAAAGAGGGAGTATATTCATTTTCAATATACTGATCCTGCAGAACCATCCAAAGCAGGGACGGTTCCAGGTTATAAGGTCCCTGATGATAGTGCTAATTAGTGGAGGGAAGTTTAGGTTGTATAGTTGATTAAGGTTGGTTGGGATTTGTATTCCTAGATATTTAAGGGAGTTCTTCACCCACGTGAAGTTGAATTTCTCTCGTATTTTTGTGTTTAGATTGTTTTTGGTGTGGATGGGTAGAATTTCGCATTTTGCTAAATTGGCTTGATAGTTGGAGACTGTGCTATATAGGTCCATTTCTGCTATGATATGTGGAAGTGTGCGTAGGGGGTGAGATATAGTGAATATGAGGTCATCGACAAAGGCAGCGACTTTATAGGTTTGTCCGTTGATGGTTAGTCCTTGGATAAGTTTGTTATCTCTGATTCCTTGAAAGGTTCAAGGACCAGGATAAAAAGGAGTGGTGATAAAGGGCAACTCTGTCTGGTTCCGTTGTTGATTACTACTATATGGGAGAGTTGACCGTTGATGCGCAGTTTGGCCGTGGGGCGCAAGTAGATGGCTACCAGCCATTCTAGCCAACGCAGCCCGAAACCCAGGTGTTGCATTGTTTGAGTAATTAAAGACCAGTTAACTCTATCAAATGCCTTTTCGGCGTCTATTGCTAGTAAAGTGCTATGGATTTTGTGCTTCTGGGCCCAATGTATTAAGTTAATAACTTTAGTCGTGTTGTGTTTTGCTTCCCTACCTGGGACAAATCCTGATTGGTCCTGGTGAATTAGGTTTTGGGAGGAAGGGGGATGCTTTAGTCTGTTTGCCATAATTTTTGTGAGGATTTTCATGTCGATGCTTATGAGTGATATTGGTCTATAATTCCCACATAGCGAGGTGTCCTTGCCTGGTTTGGGGATGAGGGTAATTGTTGCTTCGAGGGCTGTGTTTGGTATGGAGGAAGAGAGATTTCAAACATTAAATGTGTCTATGAAGGGTTGTGCTATTGTATGGGATAAGATTTTGTAGTATTTGCCTGTGTAGCCATCTGGACCAGGACATTTGCCTAGTGGGAGTGCTTTGACTGTGTTTCTAAATTCATCTAATGTAATGGGTTAGTCCAGAAAGTGAATTTCATTCGGCGGGAGAGTGTTTTAACCCTAGGTCTAAGAAATTGCTGAATTTCATCTCTGGTAGGGTGGGCTTGGTTTAAGTTGTAGAGGTCGGTTCAAGAATTGATGGAATGCTTTTATAATGTCAGGCATGTGTCGTGTTACTGTTCCATTGTCTTGTTTAATTTTCGATATGAAGGTGGTTTGTTTGTTTGGTTTTAGGGCCTGTGCTAGGAATTTACCTGCCTTCCCTCCTTTGGTATAGTATAAGTGTTTTGTTAGCGATATTCTGCGTTTGGCTTGGAGTTGTAGTTGTGTGGTTAGCCCTGATCTTTTAGATGTGAGCAGTTTATATTCTTCTAGTGAGTGTTTAGTGTGGTGGTGTGAATTTTCTAAGTCAGGTTAGCTGATTAATTTTTTGTTGCGTTTAAGGGATGAGGCTAATTTCATTATGGGCCTCCCAGACTAGGGTGGGAGAGGTGCCTGATGATGAGTTCTCTTTGAAGTAATTATTAGCTGTTTCTTGGATACTGTCTATATTCTCTATGTTGTTAAGTAGCTGTTCATTAAGTTTCCACTGGAAGTTGGAGTTAGGTATGGTCAGTATCGTTAGGGTCAATGACATAGGTGCGTGATCTGACCAAGTTATGGCACCGTATGTTGCTGAAGTGGCTAGGGGGAGGTATCTGTGTTGTAGGAAAATTGTGTCGATGCGGGAGTATGTCCCTGTGGCCCTGTGGCGGGAGAGTAGAATGAGTAGAATGAGTAGTCCTTGCGTGTTGGGTGTAGTGCTTTCCAGAAATCAAACAACTGAGCCTCAAATTTATCTGTTTTCAAGTTTGTATCATGTGTTGTTGTAGTTTTGACGTGGAGTCAAGATCTACATCTAGGGAAATATTTATATCGCCACCCACTATTAATATGCCGTCTTGGAAGGAGGAGAGTTTATGTAATATTTTCCTCAGTGTAGAGTTTTGCTTTCTGTTGGGTAAGTAAATGTTTGCCATGGTTATCTGTGTGTTACCAAATTTACCCTTGACTAAAATAAATCGAATAATCATCTGATTGTTGCTCGTGGTATGTGAAGTGGGCTTTGGTTCCTACCAGTATCGCCACCCCTCTAGATTTAGAGCCTGTGTAATGCCTGAAATAGTTCCTTGGGTAATCTTTGTTCTGTAGACTAGGGGCTATATCTTTGTGTAAGTGGGTTTCTTGGACGAACACTACGTCCGCCTTATGTCTACGAAAATCTGTGAGAGCAATGTTTAGTTTTTCCGGAGTGTTCAGTCCTCTGGCGTTTTGTGTGAGTATAGTGAGGGTGGACATGTTATAATTTGTGTTGGATAGATTAGTTGGTCTGGGATTATGTAGGCCTTCGGAGGAGGTCTGGTAATCCAAGTAGTGTTTTTCTAGCCGGGGGCCCTTTGTAAGTGATAGTTTCTAGTGGATTAAGTCGCTTTATGGTGCTGTGTGTGTGATGTGGCTGTTTTAGTTTTGTATGATATATGTGGGTGTTCGTTTAGGTTACGTCTGGGTAGTATCTATAGCGTTGTGTGATAATTTTCTGTTATCTCTTATTTATATAAACAGAGGTAATATTCAGAGTGTTGCAAAGTGTTGCATACCTGTTTGCATTAGCATAAGCAGTTAAGTATTTGTATGTCTTGTCCTGTGACTTTAAAAGGGTGAATTTTCTATGCAGATTAATATAGTTCAGCAGAGCTGATTATCTAACAGAAGGTTTTTACAAAAGTCTAATCACATGAGTAGCGATATGTACATACAATGATAACAATTTGTGAATTTATACAACCTGACATGTGGAAATCTTGGGTGAGGGTGGGCAGAGCTTTCAGAGTATACTTTTACTGATTGAGTAGGTAGGATGTAGTGTCCAAAGTCTGATAGTTGAAAAGCTACCGCTGCGCTGGTCCTCAAAAGTTCTGCCATACGGTGTGAGATGATGGGTATTCGGTATAAAGGTAAATGTTGATACTCGTTTGGCCACCGGTCCTCTGATTCCTCAGGGAAGTTGAAGAAGAGGAGCAGTGAGTTTAAAATTTCGTGGGGTGTTAGTCAATTTCTGGTATTGGGTTCATAGAGGGTAGCAGAAGAGAAGTGAGAATAGGAGGGTGGAGAGTGAGTAAAGAAAGAAAGGAAGGAGAGGGACCCAGATCTTCAAATTCCAGAGTAGGGAGAGAAGAAGCACTTGTAGAAAAAAGGTAAGGTTAGTGCGCTTGGTGGTCTGGTCGTGAGCCCTGTGTGTCGTCTCGAATACCTATGGATCTCTGGTGGGGTGACAGAAAATGTTGTTCATTCCATCTCTTTTTTGCTGGTGCAAGCCATCGTTGACGTTGTGGAAGGCTCATAGCCTCTTGGTTTGGGGGGTGAATTCCAGTCCAAGACATGGGTGGATGGTAATTCCAGTGCTTGTAAGAAGATGGGGACGTCTGCTGGAGTGGTGATTGAGAAGATGTTCCCTTTGTTAGACACTATTAAGGCAAACGGGAATCCCCAACGATATTTAATGTTATGATTTCTCAATAGTTCAGTAACAGGTTTTAGTGCTCTTCTGGCCTGCAGTGTATACCACGACAGGTCCGGGTATATTTGTATAGGGTGATTGTGAAATAGTAAGGTTGTGTCGTTTCTCGCAAAAGTTTGAGGATGTTGTCTTTAATAGAGAAATAATGTAGGCGGCATATTATGTCCCCTGGGGCATCGGATTAGAGGCCCCTAGGGCGAAGGGAACGGTGTGCTCTGTCAAGTATTATAGTATTATCACTAGGCTCCCCTAGTATTAAATTTAAGAGATCAGCTAGAAGTGAGGTTAGATTTTCATCTTGGGCCTCTGGTAATCCCCATATGCGCAGGTTGTTCCTGCGTCCCCTGTTGTCTAAATTGTCAATGTGTCTTTGTGTTGATGCATAGTGAAAGAGGTGAGAGTCTACTGTCATTGATATATTTGTTATTTGCGCTTGTAATACCTCTCTCTCTTCTTCCAGATCCGTGACTCTCAAGTTCAGTTGGTGAACGTCTGAGCCCATGGCGTCCATCTTGGATAGGAACGTGGCCTCGAGTTTTCCCAGTAACACCTGGAGGTTGTTTTTAGACGGTAAGTTTTTAATTAGTTCTCTTAGATCCGGTTCGGTAGTCGATTCTGTTGTGATGTGTGAGCCTTCCGACATGGTTGGGCTGTGAGGCTGAGAGCTCAGGAACCCCTCAGTCCCCGCCGTTTTGTTAGTCGCAGCATCGGCCTCTTCCTCACGGTACGCATTATCTTTAAAGTATCGGGTTTGCGAGCCCGATTTAGAGGTAGATGTTTTCCCTCCTTGTCGCTGCTGCTGATGGGGCTTTTTGGGGTTACCCATGTTGTATGGTGGTCTCCGATTGCAGTAGATTATGTCCCAGGCTTGTCGGAGCAAAGTTAATGTGCGTCCATTTAACTCTGTGGTTGGCCACGCCCCCGCTTGTGTCTATTTTTTTTGTATTTCTTTTCTTTTTTTTTTTTACTTAGAATGTTAGTTTACACATCTCGGAGTATATCTTTGTAATTTCAGAATACAGGAAGTTATTTACAGATATATATTATGTGGCGGTAATGTGCTGCAAGGTTTTTACTTTGTTTTATCACTATTTTAAGACAATATTTTGCTTTGTCATGCAAACAACTCAACTTTAGAAAAATCATTCACTTACTTGTCTGATGTAAATATGTAGGTAACATAATCTCTTGATGCAGCAACAATAACTCCAACCATGAAGGACACAAATACTAAATGACATGAAAGATGGAAACAACTTGGTGAAATAATATTTTAAAATTTTTCCAAATTTGTTAACATATATACAAAACATGTACAGAAGAGAAGTAGATAGAATGGGTTATGTTAAACAGTAATTAGCATAAATGTAACAGAGTTGCATCTGTAGTCCAATCTCGAGAGGAACACTGTACTATGTTCTTTTTAAATTGAAGTATGACGTATTTAATAAATAAGGGCAGTTTCTGCACTGTACAATTGCATACCTCCCAACTACTGATTTCAAACTATTGTACTACTATCTGGCCTTTAACAAATCCACATTCTCAGTTGGCCTTGTGACCAATGTATGCACTAAGAAACCTGTGCGCCCATAAAATTCTCAATTGTCATTACTGACCTCTGCTCCCTCATTTCTCTTTTGGCACCTCCAAGCTGTGACTGCATGAGCATGTCCCCATGCTATGACAAGGGGCATGCCACGATACGAGTCACATCTCTGCTGAGTAATAAGATGTCAGGGAAACGTGCACGGTTGGATTATGCCATAAAACAGCCCAGTGGGTGTGTGTTAAGACAGAGCACACAGCCCAGTTTCTCTGGCAACCCCAAACTCCCTAACAACCTCCACATTAAAGGGGCAGTAAGGAAGCATGTCAGATGGGGTGAGGCCTGTAGTAGGCACTATCTTTGCACTCTATCATTGCTCAGTTCTATGCTGTCTTCAGTGAACACTAGGCTTCCACATGTTTACCTCGATACCCGACTCTTGGCTGGTCTTATAGCTCTAGAACCTTTCTGCCTGGATTCCAAACCTTCAGACTGTCTTGACCTTGGTTTTGCCTGACCCTTCCTAGATTGTTTGCCTTGGACATTATTACATTTTCAATTTAATCTTAGTTAGTACTGCGTTCTGGGTTTTTAGTCACAATTATTCCTGACACCATTTCCAATTTTTTTATAAGTAGTACTGATGTATGATCTGAAAAAACACCATTCAGGAGGAGCAAATCCTCTTGAAAGTGGGTCTCCTTAATAACTGACTTTATGCCTCTATACCTGTGACGGAACGCTGGCACTCCGACTGAGTACCTCCGCCAATCGATGCTCCTAGTGCTCGCTGAGGACTCCAAGCACTCCAACCGACACCATCAGCACTGCAGACCCCACTTCCAGAGATGCAACTGCGCCGGGATCTCTGCTGTTTCTACCCACCCTGGACCCAAGGCCAGGATCCAGCTTCCAGTGGGTGAACCTCTCTTTCCCCAGAGAGCAGGAACAGGAACAAATCAAGCTATTGCAAGAGCTTCCTCTGGGGAGTAAGTGATTATAGCAATCCCCAGAGTGTAGGTATCCCTTCCCCCAAACATGAGCCAAGGCTTAATGCTGGAACAAGACTAATTTACTGGCACACAGAACTCACAATTTATGCAACACAAAACTCCTCCTCTGGGCCAGGCTAGATAATTGAGTTTCTACAATACACAAAGCTCAATTATCTGCTGGCCAGATATTATACAGTTTCATAAAACAAACAGGGACCCCAAAACATGCAATAACCCCATAAAAAGTATATCCTTGGGAACTGGGGGATCTGGGTGAACCACATATCCAAAATTCACCCAGATCCGTTCAGTACTTTGGAAAATACAGTTTAATGCAGATTCTGCAGAACATATACAGGCTAAATGAAAAACAATCACTGTATAATGTGTCCCCTGCTGTATAGTCCAAAACCACTGCACGATGTCTCTGTGCACCAAATACTGGCGAGATGGCACCGTGTTGAAAAGTCCAAACAGTGTCTGTGAGTTAAAATGGCCGCCATCCATTGTTCTCACCATGTGCTTCTGATACAGGAAATGGTGGCCACCCAGTAACTCCACAGTATGTCCCCAGATGGTTCTTAAAGGGCCAGCAGCAGCACAACACAAATCCATTATGCCCAAATCATGTCTTTAAAGGGCAATACATCCCAGGGGCCATAGTCACAGGGCAAGAGGCGGGCAAGCAGTCCTCTCCAGGCACAAGTGGCGAAGGGCACTTCGTCACACATCTTCCCTTTGGGGGGAAGACTAAACAGGTACCTGACCTTCTGCCGGTCAGTACCTAGATTAGTCGGGCAGCCCACCCACAAAGAAAAATACGCAGAGTAACCCCCCCACAATAAATGGTACTGGCCTGTAGGTTCAAGTTTGTAGTGGGACAGCGCAGCACTCTCGGTCTCCCTGGTGCAGCTAGGCAAACTGCTGGTGTTGCTTGGGGGGCAGAGGCCAGCGGCGCTCTGCCCTGCTGCCAGCTCTTCCACTGGGGTAACCCGTGGTAAGTCAGGCTCTGATACAGGGGAAAAGGGGGGGCAGAGGCTAACAGAGCTCTGCCCAGATGCCAGCTCTTCTGCTGGGAGGGGGTCAGTGGGTATCGCAGGCTCATCCACTGCCCCCAGGACCCAGTTGGGATGTAGCTGGGGAGGGGAAGTTTCGCTTACCTCCTCCTCCTGGCATCCCTGCGGGGTTGGTTGGGATCTGGACCGCCCGTCCAGCCTCCCTGTAGGACTGGCACAGAGACCGCGGTCCCATCTGCGCCAGTGTGGTTAGGTTTGTCTTCCCCCTCTCCCGGTATCTCTTGCTGCTGTTGGAGGGGGAGGCTGGTTGCCCCCACACCCCAGGACGCTGGTTGCTGTAAGGTGGAGGGATCGACCATCACCTCCTCCTGTAACTCAGGCCGCCGCTGGGGAGAGAGACCAGTTGTCTCCTCTCCCTGTATATTATACTGCCGCTGGGGACCTGGGCTGACTGCCCAGCATCCCTGTAGGGCTGGCAGAGAGACTTCGGTCCCATCTCCGCTTGCCATCTCTCTGTGTCCCCAGGACAAGTCTATGAGGTCGCCCACCTCCGGCTGCTGTTGGAGAGGGAGGCCGGTTGCCTCCCCTCCCCAGGACGCTGGTTGCTGTACGGGGGAGGGATCTACCATCACCTCCTCCTGGAACTCAGGCCGCCGCTGGGGAGAGAGACCGGTTGTCTCTTCCCTCTGTATGGTGCACTGCCGCTGGGAAGGGAGGTCGCTGCTCTCCTCTCCCTGTAACTCACTCTGTCGCTGGAGACGGGGTGTCAATACCCCCAAACTCCACAGTTGGTACTCGTAGTTCCGTGCGTCTTGGTTCTCAGCACTCAACAGGCGCATCACTTGATGGACCACCTCATCTGAAGGGTTTGGGCCAAACCAGACCAGCCGCGCCTTTACTTCCTTCATGAAATCAGCACCCTCATAGCACTGTGACAGGTGGATTTGCAATTCACTGGCTGCTGTCCAGGGTCTTGCTAGCTCCATGTTGCTGTAGGTAGGGATGCTGCGCAGAGGCTAGCGTTGCCCTCAATTATAATCTGTAACTCCACACGTTACCGGTGTCTCCGAGCTGCTGGTCCTCGCACTAGGACGCCATCCCACCGCTGCCACCAAATGTGACGGAACGCTGGCACTCCGACTGAGTACCTCCGCCAATCGATGCTCCTAGTGCTCGCTGAGGACTCCAAGCACTCCAACCGACACCATCAGCACTGCAGACCCCACTTCCAGCGATGCAACTGCGCCGGGGTCTCTGCTGTTTCCACCCACCCTGGACCCAAGGCCAGGATCCAGCTTCCAGTGGGTGAACCTCTCTTTCCCCAGAGAGCAGGAACAGGAACAAATCAAGCTATTGCAAGAGCTTCCTCTGGGGAGTAAGTGATTATAGCAATCCCCAGAGTGTAGGTATCCCTTCCCCCAAACATGAGCCAAGGCTTAATGCTGGAACAAGACTAATTTACTGGCACACAGAACTCACAATTTATGCAACACAAAACTCCTCCTCTGGGCCAGGCTAGATAATTGAGTTTCTTCAATACACAAAGCTCAATTATCTGCTGGCCAGATATTATACAGTTTCATAAAACAAACAGGGACCCCAAAACATGCAATAACCCCATAAAAAGTATATCCTTGGGAACTGGGGGATCTGGGTGAACCACATATCCAAAATTCACCCAGATCCGTTCAGTACTTTGGAAAATACAGTTTAATGCAGATTCTGCAGAACATATACAGGCTAAATGAAAAACAATCACTGTATAATGTGTCCCCTGCTGTATAGTCCAAAACCACTGCACGATGTCTCTGTGCACCAAATACTGGCGAGATGGCACCGTGTTGAAAAGTCCAAACAGTGTCTGTGAGTTAAAATGGCCGCCATCCATTGTTCTCACCATGTGCTTCTGATACAGGAAATGGTGGCCACCCAGTAACTCCACAGTATGTCCCCAGATGGTTCTTAAAGGGCCAGCAGCAGCACAACACAAATCCATTATGCCCAAATCATGTCTTTAAAGGGCAATACATCCCAGGGGCCATAGTCACAGGGCAAGAGGCGGGCAAGCAGTCCTCTCCAGGCACAAGTGGCGAAGGGCACTTCGTCACAATACCCAGTGGTCTTGCAATAGGCTAGATTGTTTATTCCTTTCATGCTCCTAGTTAAAGGATCACTATAGTGCCAGGAAAACATACTTGTTTTCCTGGCACTATAGGGCCCTGAAGGTGCCCCCACCCTCAGGGACCCCGTCCTGCCGGGCTCTGGGGAGAGGAAGGAAGGGCACACATATTCTAAACTCCCTACTGGGATTGTCTCTAAAACAAGTTGTTGAGGAGCCAACTCGTAAAGAGGCCATACTAGATTTAGTGTTAACAAATGGAGATTTGGTATCAGATATTACTGTAGGTGAAAGTTTAGGATCCAGTGATCATCAGTCAGTGTGGTTTAATATAAGAACAGTGACTGAGTCACACCACACAAAAACAAAAGTTTTAGACTTTAGAAAAACAGACTTTTCTAAAATTAGAATATGGGTAGAGGAGTCATTATCAGACTGGAGCAATTTAAATGGAGTCCAAGAGAAATGGGATTATTTAAAAGTTGCACTATTGAAGGCAACAGAAAATTGCATTAGGCTTGTCAGTAAAAGCAAAAAATTCAAGAAACCACCGTGGTACTCCGCAGATGTGGCCAAAATAGTTAAAAACAAAAAGTTAGCATTTAGGAATTATAAAAAAATCCAGAGTGAGGAAGACAAAATGATCTATAAGATTAGGCAGAAAGAGGCTAAGCAAGTTATAAGAGCTTCCAAATCACACACAGAAGAGAAAATAGCACAGTCAGTAAAAAAGGGGGATAAAACATTTTTTAGATACATAGATGAGAAAAGAAAAGTAAAACAAGGATTATTTAGATTAAAACCAAAAGAAGGAAGGTATGTAGAAGAGGATAAAGGTCTAGCTGACTGCCTCAATGAATATTTTTGTTCTGTATTTACAGATGAAAATGAAGGAAAGGGACCCCAGTTGAGAAAAAGGATAAATGAGTCATTTATTACACGTGAGTTTACAGAGGAAGAGGTTCTATTTCAACTGTCAAAAGTAAAGACAAATAAGTCAATGGGACCTGATGGAATACACCCAAAGCTATTAAAAGAACTTAGTGGTGTACTAGCAAAACCATTAACAGATTTATTTAACCAATCATTGTTAACAGGAGTAGTCCCAGAAGATTGGAAGTTAGCGAATGTTGTGCCCATTTACAAGAAAGGTAATAGGGAGGAGTCGGGCAACTATAGGCCAGTAAGCCTTACTTCAGTAGTGGGGAAAGTGATGGAAACCATGTTAAAGGATAGGATTGATGAACATCTAAAAACACATGGATTTCAAGATCAGAGACAACATGGGTTTACTTCAGGGAGATCATGCCAAACTAATCTTATTGATTTTTTTGATTGGGTAACTAAAATTATAGATCAGGGTGGTGCAGTAGACATTGCTTACCTAGATTTCAGTAAGGCTTTTGACACTGTTGCACATAGAAGGCTTATCAATAAACTGCAATCTTTAAGTTTGGATTCAAATATTGTTGAATGGGTAAGGCAGTGGCTGAGTGACAGGCAACAGAGGGTTGTAGTTAATGGAATATATTCGAAGCTTGGACTTGTCACCAGTGGGGTACCTCAGGGATCTCCAGCTGAAGTGGTAGAGGTTAACACAGTAAAGGAGTTCAAGCATGCGTGGGATAGGCATAAGGCTATCCTAACTATAAGACTAGGGACTAATGAAAGTATTTAGAAAATTGGGCAGACTAGATGGGCCGAATGGTTCTTATCTGCCGTCACATTCTATGTTTCTATGTTTCTGTGCTGTCCACCAGTAGCATATCTCGGGGTAGACCTGGCATCAGCAGATGGAAGAGAGCATTGGCGTACACTGGCTAATCTAGAGGGCTTATTGATTCTGGCACCTTTCTCAAGCGTAAGTTGCTGCAGCGTGCTCTATCCTCCATTTCCACCAATTTCGCTTCATACTTGTCCATCCGTTCCAATAAATCTTCCACCTTTGTGGCAAGACTATTGTAGCCCACTGCGTGTTCCTCCATTTTGTTTCCGTGAATGATTGCTGCAGTGTCGTCTGTAGTTTAGATGCCATATCATTAAACACGGCCTGTAGGTGTTCTGGGGTAAGTATTAGGCCTGGTGATTCCGGGTTTGAGGCCAGCTCCAAGTCCGTGTTGGCACCATCTTGGGAGTCTTCACATTGTTGAAGGCATTTCGAGTGTCCCTGTTTTCAAAAAAGTTCAGTTTGTCTTGCTTTTCGGTCGACCCTCTTGCTCTTTGGATGGGACAAGTTTGGGGTAGCTTTTGTCGTGTGTTAGCAGGTCTCAAAGCTGCAGGAGGTCAAATTTTCTGTGGAGCTAACTACACATGCGACCGCGCGCATTCACGTCCAGGACATGCCCCCGCATCAGAAGCTTCATTTGTTTAATAAATATGGGAAATGTCATTCTAGTCAGAATATTTTCACTGTATCTTATCCATCCGGGGAAGATCGAGTATACTATTTTGTAACAAACCCAGCTAGAAGGAATACCGTGCTTACAGAATAGCAAGTTTCTCATAGATTTCTATGGAGGAATTGATATTCAGTAAATAAAGTAAGCCCTTGCTGTGCTAAGAGAACCAGACTATTGTCACAAAACAAAAACGGCTATGAATATTTTTCAGGTTTTTCTCAAAATCCCTCAGGAGTTTCAGCTTAATTTTTATCTAAAATATATGCACTGAAAATCACAACACTTGAAGTAAAATGCTGTTTTAACTATATACCAATGGTTCCTAAACTTCTTAAAGGACCACTATAGTGCCAGGAAAACATACTAATTTTCCTGGCACTATAGTGCCCTGAGGGTGCCCCCACCCTCAGGGTCCCCCTCCCGCCCGGCTCTGGAAGGGGGAAAGGGGTAAAAACTTACCTTTTTCCAGCGCTGGGCGGGGAGCTCTCTGCCTCCTCTCCTCCTCTGATCCGCCCCGTCGGTTGAATGCGCGCGCGCGGCAAGCTGCGCGCGCATTCACGAGCATAGGAAAGCATTCATAATGCTTTCCTATGGACGCTATGCGCTCACTGTGATTTTCACAGTGAGAAGCACGCAAGTGCCTCTAGCGACTGTCAATGAGACAGCCACTAGAGGATTTGGAGGAAGGCTTAACCCATTGATAAACATAGCAGTTTCTCTGAAACTGCTATGTTTATAAAAGAATGGGTTAGCCCTAGAAGGACTTGGCACCCAGACCACTTCATTAAGCTGAAGTGGTCTGGGTGCCTAGAGTGGTCCTTTAATATTTCAATATTTTCCAAGGCGCCCCAAGTCAAAACAATTTTCTAGGTTGTAGCGCAGTTACAGAACCTTATCTTGGGAGGGGCACTGGTAGATTATTTAAAGAAACAATGCAGGCACAATAACCACTACAGCACTTCGTAGTGGTTATGGTGCCTGTAGTGCCATAGTGCCCTCCCAGAATAAGTAATCAAACTGTTTAAGAACAGTTTGTCAACTTACCTTGGATCTGCTGGGCTGTAGTAGGGGATAGCGGCAGTAGTGTGTGTGAGGGGTGAAATATGTGTTCAGTGAGTGTACAGGGGTGCATTGTGTTTGTGAAGGTGTGGTGTGTGTGTAAATATTTTTAATTTTTTTTTATTAAAAATAATTATTTTCATATTTCCCCCCTCCTTCTTAACTTTGCCTGGGATGTGGGGCAGTACTAATCCCTGGTGGTCTGGTGGGGAAGCCTTGGTAGTTCTAGTGGTGAGAGTGAACTCTGCTAGAGTTCATGCTCGCAAGATTCAGAGCATTGCCGTGGTAACTGCGGCAACGCTCCGAGCTCGCAAAGGAGAACCTGGCAGAGCTGCATGTTAGAGCTCCCCAGGGTCCTCAGTTCCCAGTGCTATGATCATAGCACCAGGGAAATATCTTGCTGCGCCCCTAGGTGAACACAGTTTGGGAACTGCTGCTATATACAACAAAACTTCACATCTGAAAACTTTGATATAATCTCCTACCTGTGCATATATAAGAAACTTTAGTAGCAAGCTTGGCTTGGTCAATATCTCCAGCTCCTAAAGCATTTCCCACTCTGACACTAGCAGCTGCCGAAAATCCATTCAAAATCTGTTAAGGAAAAGACAATGATCAGCTCACAAACATTAGTCTGATTCCAATTTATGGTTTTCAAGAAGGTAGTAATGTAGTCAACAACATAAGTATGCATGCAATGAGCTTAAAAAAATAATATGTAATTTCTATTTATTTTAGTAAACTCATGGCAAATCTATTATTAAAGGGAAACTATAGTCACCAAAACAACTTTAGCTTAATGAAGCAGTTTTTGTCTATAGATCATGCCTCTACAGTTTCACTGCTTAATTCTCTGCAATTTATGAGTTAAATCACTTTAGCTCTAGTTATACCTCCCTGTATATGAATACAAATGCACAGCCTTCCTAAACACTTCCTGTAAAGTAAGATCTAGTGTTTAAACTTCCTTTATTGCACAGTCTGTTTAATCTGGAATTTCTCATCTCCTGCTTAGTAAATAGCCCTCTAAACCTTATTTGAGATTAAATTTCACTTTACAGAGCAGGAGATAAAACACCTTTAATGTAAGTTGCATCTGAGTCACAGCCAGGGTGTGTGACCAGGGCTGCATAAGTAAACATTTTTATCAAGAACTATGGCTATAGACTTGAGCTGGGGAAAAGTATTTGGCATCAATAAAAGTACAGAATATATGAGTATCCAATTATCCAGTAAATTTGACTGATTTCAAAATACTTTTTTTTTTGATTGATGAAATGTGTTTAGTAATTACAATATCACTAGCACTAAAAAAAGCTAGTCATACTTTTATTAGAGCTCTCACCGTGAAACATGCAGTGGACACCTGCAGCATTACAGCCTGGGCTCCAAGCTCAACCACACTTATAAGACCTAAATGAAAAAAAAATGCTACATTGTTACATGTAAAAATACATAGGTACACATACACATATACAGGGCTCGACAAATCCCAGGCGCCAGGTCGTCATGGCGTCTAGGAATTTTTGTCCTGGCGTCTGGAATTTGTCAGCCCATTCAGTGGGAAGGGATAGTCAGTCAGCTGAGGGATAGTGGAGGTGGTGGGCTATGTGAGAATGCAGCTGGGCGGCAAAGGAGCTGCAATCTTTTCTCTTCTTGCTCTGCTCTCTCGCGCATCCTGCTGTAATGCCAGGTGCCGATATAGGACTCATTTTGAGAAAAATACTTTTGCAAGCTTCCATGAATAATGGTACTCCGTTGCATAATGTAATTGTGAGACCACCATGTTTGATGGATGTGAGACTTCTGCAATGCACTTTAATGAAAAACTTTGGACATTTCAGTTACTATTTTCTATTGACAAACAATTGAGAACTCTTAGCCCATGCTTTATATAGGTTTAGTCAGTTTCTTGCTTCAGCACTTTTAAATCATAATCATCTTTCAAATGTCACATTTACTTGAAACATTAATAGAGAAATATACATACATCTATCTAAACTGACTTATTAGGTTTAATTGCCAGATAAAAAACCCAGATTTAATGGTGAGACTTATTAAAAACACATTTAAGAACTTCATTCAACCTACTAAGGTCCTGAAATCAATGTGCTTGTGGCACACTTTAAGATGGCTCTAGACAAGGTACGCAGTTTAAAAACCACTGCCATAGAGATTCTAGTTTTGCTATATCTGATGAATCCTTATTATCATTATTTAACTAAAAAAAAATTACAAAAAATCATTGTCTAGATTCTAACCTGCAAGGATTCCTCCAACTTCATAACTCAACCATTCTACACACAACATCAGCAGGCATGGAATCGCGAGACGCATAAAAGCTCCCCATTCTTGGAGACAATCTATGGACCATCCTGAAAAAAGTAAAATAATGCAGTGAGAAAAAGAAAATCAGGAAAATCTTTTACAATACAATTCATTAAAATCTGTACTTATGTATTATTTATTGTTACATCCCCCCCTCTCAAAATATTGTAAAGCGCTACGGAATCTGTTGGCGCTATATAAATGGCAATAATAATAAAGTGTGTGCTTGACCTATAGTAATTTACAAAAGACATCAGCTCAATATAGAGGTGTATTTTGTATTTATATATAAAACCTGTTACATGTTTATTAGCCCATTTACTCACTTTAAATACCTTCAGTTTCTTATGTATGTTACACTACTTGCATAATCATAAAGTTACAACAAAAGAAAAAGACTGATGCTATGCAGCAAATATAGAAAGAAGAAACGAAAGAATGGGAAATGGTTTGTAAAAGTGAAGTTGGCGTCAGCAGCGTATGTTCTAAATGGTTTGTGTATTACAATTAGATAATGACAATTAGATAATGTGCAATTCGTTTCGATACTAATTTAAATTCGGCAATTCGGACATTCGGATGCTTCCGAATTGTGGAAGTGCCGAACCGAACTGCCAAAGTACCGAATTGCCGAAGTGCTTTGGATTATTGCTTTGGAAAAGTGGCAAAACAGGAGAGGGAGGGAAAATTAAGGGAATGATGACAGGAATCTAACCCTCACCCTACCCCTAACTTCAACCTCAAACCCTACCAGGGGTAGGGTTAGGGTGTAGGGTTAAGCTTAGGGAATTGCCGAAGTCCCGAATTTCGGATTGCCGAACCGAGGTGCCGAATTCCCGAATTTCGGATGTGCCGAACCGAAGTGCCGAATTCATGAAGTCCTGAATTTCTGAAGTGCCAAATCAATTTTTTTGCCCATGCACATACCTAATTACAATTAGTGTATATTCGAGAAAAAGGAGCCAATAAAATAAACTAAAACATTTGAGACAGTATATATTGCTGATGTGGACTCAAAGACTAGAAAAAAAAAACACAAGTCACCCACAAACTCAAATGTACTCTCATGTACTAAGAGCATATTTTATATTGTTCAGATTTTATCAATGATACCATAAAAATGTATTGATAGAATTATTGTTTGTCCTATTTCCACAGTTATTAGACAGAATATGTGCTTCAATAAATTGATCTTGCTTCATTTTAATGTTTTTTTACTCTCACCATAAACTTATGTCTCGTGGCACTTTAAAGGGGAACTATCAATTCTCTAGAGTTTAAACTGTTGCATAAAATCTAAAAAATTACCTGTAACGTGTCAATGTTTTTCAAGAGATGCTCGGTTTCCTTTTAAAATTTTATTAATAGTTTACAAATTACATCTCCATACAATCCATACAATACAGAGCCAGGAAAACCATTGCAAATGTAGAGAAGAAATAGAAACATTGTGCCACCTTCTCCGCATGCTTTATCTGTGCTCACTGTCTGCAAAGGACAGAGCTTGAAGTTTGGATTTCTACAAATTTTTAGGCCTCATCTACACTGAACAAAATTATAAATGCAACACTTGTTTTTTTCCCTAATTTTTCATGAGCTAAACTCAAAGATCTAAGACTTTTTTCTAGGTACACAAATGGCCTACTTCTCTCAAATATTCTTCACAAATCTGCGTTAGATTGTGATGGAGATGGATTATCTCCTTTGCCGAGATAATTCATCCACCTCACAGGTGTGGCATATCAAGATGCTGATTAGACAGCATGATTATTGCAAAGGTGTGCCCTAAGCTAGCCACAATAAAAGGCAGCTCTAAAATGTGCAGTTTTACTGTATAGGGAGGGTCCGGGGGTGTTCGAAAACCAGTCAGTATCTTGTGTGACTCCCATTTGCCTCACACAGTGCAATGCATCTCCTTCGCATAGAGTTGATTAGGATGTTGATTGTGGCCTGTGGAATGTTTGTCCACTCCTCTTCAATGGCTGTGCGAAGTTGCTGGATATTGGCAGGACCTGGAACACCATGTCGTATACGCCGATCCAGAGCATCCCAAACATGCTCCATGGGTGACATGTCCGGTGAGCATACTGCCCATGCAAGAACTGGGATGTTTTCAGCTTTCAGGAATTGTGAACAGATCCTTGCAACATGGGGCCATGCATTATGCTTTTTTATGTTTACCTTAGGTTTCTCCCTATGGTATACTTGGCTATTTTTTGTAGAGCATTTCTCTCTGTTACAGTGCTCCTGTCTCTTTAGATGTCCTGTGTTAACTACTTTGTTGGGGATTCTTTGCTTAGACCCTACTTAATTCCACTCTGGGTAGGGCTAGACTCTCTGTATATACTTTTTGCAAATATTTTCTGTATTTTGTTATTACTATTTTTGTGCACTGTGTATTTGGATTCCTTCTCATGCCTAGTTATAATTATTTTTCGTTTCCAGTATTTTACTTTATTATATTATATTATGTACTTGATTATATTTTGAACTACTTTCTTATTGCATTATAATAGGGCTTACACCAATTTAATGTTTATATGACTTTTTAAGCTTTTCTTTTTACTCCTATTGAGGAATCTATCTATTCTCAATTGCTTTGCCCTAGTTCGATGCTTTCTGATCTCCTAGGCAGTCAGGAGATCAGTGTAGACATAGACATATAATACCTAGATGCCGCATTGACCGCTGTGGTGCGAGAAATGCGGGCGCCATTTTGGACCGGTCGTAAAAAGGCAAAAAGAATGTTGATTACTCATTTTTCCAGTAATGAATGGATGTTTTTCCTATGTGCAACATCTAATATGTACACACTGCTGGGCAGCACTCTTCATGTGCTAATCCTCAATAAATGTAAAGATGCTAGATGTAGACTTTCAATACTAACATCTCTATAAAGCTATAATAAGACATGTTTACAGACAATGTACATAGCAGCTCTCTACATATACCATATACTGGTTAATCACTGTTGGTACACTTTCCTTCCCAATAGCCAATGACCAGGGAAGGGGGGGTTACAGGGAGCAGATATTAACCTGCCCCTTAAAGAGGTTCTGTAGCAGCTCTGAACATATTCCATATACTGGTTAGTCATTGTTAGTACACATTCCTTCCCATTAGCCAATGACCAGGGAAGGGGGGGGTTACATCTCAGGAAGCCCAAATCATGTGGATAAAACGCGTTATGTCACAAGGGGGCGGAGCCAGGATGCAGAACAAGGAAGTAAGTGGAGATATTGACTTTTAAGCGAGCGTTTTCTGTGGGAACTTGTATATCTCAAGCCCACAACTTGCTGAGTAAGCAGTTTTAATTGTTTTATAATAAATATATCCTTTTATACTGTGCCATTGGTGTGCTCTTGATTCTGTTTCCCATACAGTACTGCAGAAGAATGTTTGGTCTCTCTGTGACACCAGATTGTGGGAATATTCCCCTCTCCATAGAAGCTTATCCCTATCAGCAGCTCGCCATTTACAAGAAGGCTGTTCACTCTGTTTTGTGAATGGGTAGTTTCTGATAGACTGAGGGCAACAGATGACCTTCTCACCTGAAAGGGTTCAGCCGTTAACAAAATATTTAACCCCAACGTCTTGAATCCAGCATCCTTTTATTTTCCCTGTGAACATCCACTGTAGTCCGAAGGCTTGGAACAGTAAGCCTCGGATAGGCAGCTAATAGGCTGAGAAGGTCATCTGTTGCCCTCAGTCTATCAGAAACTACCCATTCACAAAACAGAGTGAACAGCCTTCTTGTAAATGGCGAGCTGCTGATAGGGATAAGCTTCTATGGAGAGGGGAATATTCCCACAATCTGGTGTCACAGAGAGACCAAACACTCTTCAGAGAGACCAAACAGTCATGTTTAGGGATCTCCTTGCACCATAATAACTGCATTACAATTAAGTTGTTCTGGTGCCTAGAGTGTCCCTTTACTAACAGCTTACCTTTCCAAGTCTCCAAGTGCAGTTTTCTCCAATATATGTAGGAACAAAGCAAAAAACACATCATGATCTGACAAATAGTGTTTGCCACAGCAGAGCCTCTAAAATAAAAATAAATCATGATAGATAATTATGACTCAGAACTCTCTTATACACTCTTACTTCAAAACTATGATTAGACCCACCGAATCCCTAAAAAAGACATTGACCAACTTTAGCAATAAATGCATGTGATGACGTATAACTTCAAGCAGAAAATGACAATCAGTATGGTCACCAGGAAGCTGAGCATGATAACTATTAATGGCACATGTGTAGATGATGACCTATTGATCATCACTGTCAGATTTGGATTTTAAGCATTTGCCCAATGCTCAAACATAAACCTCTAAATTTAAATCTATGTATCTACATACAAAGACACACTAACATTTAAACTCACAGAAACTGCAAACAATACAACACTGAAAGGATAGACACATTATTGATTTCCACCTGGCAGCGCATTGTGAAAGCTGTGTGACAGCTGATGAATCTACCTTTTGGCCAACCTTGTGTTTTAGAAGGACCAAATATTTTCTTCCACTAGGGCCATCTTTTTATTAGTTCCGCCACAGTTTCAAACGGTTTCCCCTCAATTACATTTTTTGAATTTGAGGAGCCATGTAACATACTAATGATCCACTTGGTTTCACTGGATACATTACCACCCAGTATAGCAAAGCAATCAAGCTTAGTTCTAATAGCAGACTGGACATATGATTAACATAAGAGCAATCAGGGTCACAACAGGAGATACAACTGCAGCAAAATAGTAGCCAGATTGTGCATTAATTCTACTATCACTAAGTGACCATATATTGAAACAGAACAGATCTTTATATATAGTCAGGATCATGATTAAAATGACACTATTAGCATCAAAAGAACTTTAGCTTAATTGGGTGGTTTTGGTGTGTAGACTATGCCCCTACAGCCTCACTACTCAATTATCTGTCATTTAAGAGTTAAATCACTTTGTTTATACAGCACTGGTCACACCTCCCTGCATGTGACTTACACAGCCTTCCGAAATACTTCCTGTAAAGAGATTGATAAACGTCCTTTATTGCACATTTTCTTTAATTTAGAATTACTTATCTCCTGCTTCCTGTGTGTGATTAAAGTTCCATTAAAAAACAGAACAGGAAAAAACTGTAGAAAACGTCTAAGGTATTGAAAGTAAAATTATTTTTCATGTAGGCTGTGTGGGTCAGCCAGGAGAGATCTACCTAGGGATGCATCAAAAAGCTAATTTAACTCCTGAATGAAATATAAATGAGCAGTGAGATTGCATGACTCTCTAGTAACCAACAGGCAGAACTTAAGTTAGAAGGCACTAAGGTAGCATGGAATAGTAGGTTAAAGTGCATTACCAGACCTTTGAGTGACCGGGCTTGACGCATGCCAGAATAGTAGTGAATACGGCAATGTCAGGGAGACAGAGAGAATCGTAATCAAATAGACAATCTTCAGGGAAAACAGTTTGGAGAATGGTCAAGGTACTAGCTGGGGGTCAAAATTGACAAACCACAGAAACCAAAATTAACACACTCTTTGGTCACCACTAAGGGAAAACCAAGACAGGGCACAATAATCTGTGTATAATGGACTATAATAACCATAGAATAACCATGTGATAAGTTGGCATAATTCCTGTACATTAATGCCACAGGAGGGTATGGAGTCATATAAGGACTAGGAACTGTAGTGGCCAGCATCCGACATAACAAAATTGCAACAGAAGTCGCTTTCTTTTACATAAAGAAATGTCATGCTGTATTGGAATCCGCCATACTGACACAGTGACATCTATAGACTGAAAGGGCTTTATTAAGGTTATTTCGGTGCTTGCAGTGTCCCTTTAAGAAAACTGCAGGAACCATATGACGTGAGCACATCTGATGCATAGGGACCAGCAGTTTGAATGCTGCTACATCTCCACCAGACCATGCTGGGAACTGGCTACTTCCCATGCAGAGTAGGCTATTAGGCAAGCATACAAGGAGGACGTACATGTACATGAATTATTTCCACATGCCTTTTTATGATCGATTATGTTTCTTGGATTCCTCAACCTGCACAGACCATGGAAGGAATGTTTATGTTATCATCTTCTGCTCTATGCCTATTTAATGAGTGGCTATCTACTCACATGTGCCAAAAGAACACCTCCTGCAACAGGATCACCAAAATTCAAGGCATACCTAGATGGCCCAGACTTTCACCTACCATGAAGTCGAAGCAACATATAAACATTTTACAGCTATAATAAAAAACACTTCATAAAGCATTCAATATGCAATTTTAACAGGTATGTTATTCATTACCAATATAAATACTCTACAATATGTAAAAACATAAATTTACTTACACTATTCCCAGATTAAGCACGTACAGCAATATAGCATGAGCAGCAGCATTTATAATGTTTACTGCAATACCAGTGAACACTTGAGGCCATATTATACCCTAGAAATACAACATTTATTATAAAAAGGTTAATTAATATATTAATAAACAAACACAATTTTGACAATTTTACGGTCTCTGTTTGATGTTGTTTTACTTTGAACTTATATTCTGCAGGTTTGAATAATAAAATCAAAGCTGCTAGGGACACTTAACTGACCTATAAAACTAGCAATAAATAACTATGACACTTAAAGGTTTTGCTTCAGTTTTTGTGCAGGAGAAAAGCAAGATTTGTAGGACCACAGAGGCAAATGGTCCTACAAGTTTTTGTTCTTATACAAAAAAAAAAGAAAAATCTACTGGATTAATAAGGACTAATAAGAAAGACTAAAGATGTTGTGTGTGCCATGATTAGTTCTGCCAGTTTATCTCCCCCATCATGGATATCTTGCGATGTTCCTAAAATGCTAATATACTTTAATGTCAGGAATTTTAAAGATTTTTTTTTAAACTAATTGTCCAATTCTCTCTTTATAAATATACCTATTTCTTTTAACTGCATATCTGCACACCTTACAGACAAAATGGAAGAATTCCGAGCAGCAACCGATGCAGAAAGAATCGATCGGGAGAAAAAGGACAAAAAATCAATAGCTGAGATCTCCTCTTATGTGAGAAGCAGTGATTTAAAGTGGCACTGTCATGCCGAACTTACCTTTCCCCAATCGATTCCTCTTCTCTCCCTCTCTCATTATCTGTTCTTCATTTCTTCTTGTCTGCGCTAGTTTTCTTTAAAAATTAAGACAAAGTAGGGACTATTTCTCTTCTGGAGGTTTCCTACACCATGACCAGCTATGACCAGCGGAGGAGCAAAGTGTGCTTCGTTCCCGGCGGTCAGAGCAATTTTCCCATGATCCTTAGCTTTCCTCCCTGTTCCCACGATGCTTCTTGTCAGTATTGCCGAATGTCCTGTCACTTTCACAGAACGCCGGCATCCTAACAGAATGAGAACAATTTCTCCATTCGTGTTAGAACGCAATTCGGGACTTTGTTCGGATCGCAATTTCATTCGAATGAATGAAACTCCGATCCTATTCATTGCCGTGGCTGCATCTTGCAGCCGCTTAGTAGATAACTCCCTAATTCCCATGGTATCAGGGAGCTATCTACCATTGTTCATTTGTATTTGTTTTATTGCTGTTACGTATCTGCATACCAGGAGGTCCCTGAAGTAGTCCATCGGACGAAACGCATAGGACCTGGTACTAAAACAGCTTATTTATACCTTTATACTTTTAATTCTTTTAAATAAAGAAGAAACCTTTTTTTACTCCACATCCTGAGTCGTATTTCGCCTTCCTTGGAGCAGGAGCAGTGATAATGCCTCCCATCTACATCAGGGGAGGCACCCTTGGGCGCTAACCATTCATCAATCTTGTGAGTTATATTCTACACAGCACACTTATACTTTATTATACAGTGTTGCACTATTGTTCTATTTTGGTTTTTTTGTAGATCTACAGCTGCATCCTCATTTTTGTATATAGCTATCTACCAAAAGGCTGAAAGACCTAAATTGGTCTTTCAGCCACATTTACTATTACTAAGAAAAGATTACTTAGTATTAGTAAATTCTGCCCATACTTGCTATACCACGAGTAGGGGGATGTCTAGTAAACAGTGAGCAGCCAACAAAAAAAAAAATATTGCCCCCCATGGCCCCCACCCCTTAAAGTAAAATAAGGGGGGACCTATTGTCCTCCCCCCGGCCCGACCCCTACGCGGTGGGTGGGGGCCCTACATAACAATGAGGTGGGGGACCTGCTGTCCTCCCCCCAGGCCACCATCCCTGCACGGTGGGTGGGGGACCTACATAACAATGGGGGGACGACCTACTGTCCTCCCTTGGGCCCCCACCCCTGAGCGGTGGGTGGGGGCCAAAAAGATAATGAGGGGGGAAGACCTTCTGTCCTCCCCACACCCCTGCAAGGTCGATGGGGGCCATAAATCACAATGGGGGGACTTACAGTCCTCCCTCTCTGGCCCCCACCCCTGAGCAAGTATTGTTATTTAGGGACCCTGCCGCGCAAGGGTGGGTGCTGGGGAGGAGGACAATAGGTCCCCCCTTATTGTTAATTAGGGCCCCCACCCGCCGCGCAGTGGTGGGGGCCATGTGGGGGAGGACAATAGGTCCCCCCTTATTGTTATTTATGGCCCCCGGTGGGGGCCAGGAGGGAGGACAGTTGGTTACACATTCACACATTCTTATTTAGGGCTCCCACCCACTGCTCAGGGATGGGGGCCGGAGGACAATAGGTCCCCTCTTATTGTTATTTAGGGCCCCCACCCGCCTTACAGGGGTGAGAGCCGGGGGGGAGTACAATAGGTCCCCCCCTTATTGTTATTTAGGGCCCCCACCCGCCACGCAGGGGTAGGGGCCGGGGGGGACAATAGGTCCCCCACCCCCTTATTGTTATTTAAGGCCCCCACCCACCGTGCAGGGGTGGGAGCTGGGGGGAAGGACAGTAGCCCCCCTCTTATTGTTATTTAGGGCCCCCACCCACCGCGCAGGGGTGGGAGCTGGATAGTAGGGTTTTTTTTTAAAGAGAGAGCAGCCACAGGCTAATCACTGTTTAGTAGACATGCCCGTAGGGGCGTTTGGGAGATTTTAATCTCCCTTATGCTATAATGGGGGTCATATTGACCCCCATAGAGTGAGGGGGGACCTGCGGCGCTTAGGAAGTGGCAGTGAGCACTGCTCCCTACCTCCTCTATCTTTACATATTACAAGGAAGGAGCTGCGCACCGGTAGCTCCCTCCTTGTAATAAACTGAACAAACAAATGAACACTGATATTCAGTGTTTTCTTTGTTCGTCTGAAATATCCATTCATTCATTTGTCTTTCTGATGAATGAATGAATAGATGAAATTACTGTTCGCATGCCCAAGTGTTTAACTGGAAATCTCAGTGCGGGAATCTCAGTGCTATCTAGTGTGGGCAGATGACGTGTCCCACAGGGACTTCCTCTACCCACACAAAGATGGTGCCGCACTGAATATAGATCGGGCAGAAAATAAAGATTAAAAATAGGTAATATGGGGGGCTTAGGGGTATTTGAGGGTGACAAGGGAGTCAGTTAGATGTAGTGGAGTCAGGAGGGGGGTTAAAAAAAAACAGGATTCGGCCATGACAGTGCCGCTTTAAGAAGGAGGTAAGTAAGAAGCCAAATCATACTAAAACTACTTACAGGTGGGCACCAGGCTCTCCTGGAACCATAACCACCATAGCATACTGTACTGGTCATAGCAATGCTACTTCAGAGCCACATTCTTTTGCTGATTAACATTCTTTTGCTGACTCCCAGAACCAGAACCAATACTGCACACTATAGTGGTTATGGTGCTTTGAATGTTCTTTTAATCAGCACATGAATGATGCTCTGAAGTGGTAGCTCATAAGATCTGTAATCTGCCTTGGTGGAGGAGACAATTACTTCATGCCCATGCCCTTTCCTAGCTCTCCCAACATTAAGAAGACTAAATGTTACAAAATGTAGGTAATGTTAATAACAATGCTGTAAATAATTGTGTAGATAATTACCTGGTTGATCAAATACCTCAACTGTAGTTGATAAAGGAAAACAGCCTGAAATAAAGGAAATATACACAGGAATAAACCACACATAGTCCTGTATTTGTACTATTTCTGTTGCCTACATCATATCACAATTACTTCAGAATGTTAAGCATAAAATATTTTTCTATAGAATAAACACACTCTAAGATTGATGCTATACACTGATCAGCCACAACATTAAAACCACCTGCCTTATATCGTGTAGATGCCCATCGTGCTGCCAAAACAGCTCTGGTGCATTGAGGCATGGACTCCCCAAGATCTCTGAATGTGTCCTTCACTATTTGGCACCTAGATATTCGCAGCAGATTCTTTAAGTCCTGCAAGTTGCAAGGTGGGAACACCATGTATCTGATTTGTTTTGCCAGCACATCCTACAGATGCTCAATCAGAGTACTGCAAAATTTTGAGACCTATGTAACACCTTGAACTCTGACATGTTCCTCAAACCATTTGTGAACAATTTTTGCAATGTGGCAGGCTGTATTTTCCTGCAGACTGAGGCCACTGCCATCAGGTAACATCATTGCCATGAAGTGGTGTATGTGGTCTGCAAAAATCTCTAGGTAGATGGTACATGAATACCAGGACTCAAGGTTTCCCAGAGCATAACACTGTCTCCTTCCATTGTTCCATGGACCAGTTCTGATGGTCCATGGAACAATAACAGCCTATCAAGCTATCAAGCCCTGCCACAATATAAGAGAGCAGAGATATTGAAATCTGAGGTGCTTAGGCGGTAGACCAGGGTCATCATGGGTACTCTGAAGTCTGAGGTGCTTAGGCGGTAGACCAGGGTCATCATGGGTACTCTGACCGGTCTGTGGCTATGCAGCCTCATATCCATCAAATTACAATTCACCATGTGTTTGGACACCTTTCTATAATAGCAAGCATTACTTTTTTGTTGTTGTTTTTTTTTTAAATTAATTTATTTTTTTACATTCTTTATTTTTGATGGGCATTAGCGTGTACATGAATAGGCACTGACAAACGACAGTTTTGCACAAGGATATGAGTCTCGGTTACAACATTATTCTTCACTTGGGTCTATCAATGAGGGTAAAGGGGATGGAGTTAAGAGGCGGAGTTAAGTGGCAGATGAGGGCGGAATTAAATGCAGCCAAACCCTCTTCCTGGTAAGTGAATAGAAGCATAGAAACATAGAAACATAGAATGTGACGGCAGATAAGAACCATTCGGCCCATCTAGTCTGCCCAATTTTCTAAAAACTTTCATTAGTCCCTAGCCTTATCTTATAGTTAGGATAGCCTTATGCCTATCCCATGCATGCTTAAACTCCTTTACTGTGTTAACCTCTACCACTTCAGCTGGAAGGCTATTCCATGCATCCACTACCCTCTCAGTAAAGTAATACTTCCTGATATTATTTTTAAACCTTTGTCCCTCTAATTTAAGACTATGTCCTCTTGTTGTGGTAGTTTTTCTTCTTTTAAATATAGTCTCCTCCTTTACTGTGTTGATTCCCTTTATATATTTAAATGTTTCTATCATATCCCCCCTGTCTCGTCTTTCCTCCAAGCTATACATGTTAAGATCCTTTAACCTTTCCTGGTAAGTTTTATCCCGCAATCCATGAACCAGTTTAGTAGCCCTTCTCTGAACCCTCTCTAAGGTATCAATATCCTTCTGAAGATACGGTCTCCAGTACTGTGTACAATACTCCAAGTGAGGTCTCACCAGCAGAGAAAAGACCCTGCTCTCCGACCCTCCTCCACTGTGCCCCACTCCCCCACCTACCACCACTGTGCCCCTTGATTCCCTCACCTACCAACACTGTGCCCCTTGATCCCCCACCTACCACCACTGTGCCCTCTGCTCCCCCACCTATCAGTACACTACTCCTGCTCTCCCATCCTCTGCCACTGTGCCCCTGCTCTCCTACCTACAAATGCACTACCCCTGTTCCCCCAGCTAACACCAGTGTGCCCCCTGCTCCCCCACCTACCACCACTGTGCCCTCTGCTCCCCCACTTATCAGTACACTACTACTGCTCCCCCACCCTCTGCCACTGTGCCCCTGCTCTCCTACCTACCAATGCACTACCCCTGTTCCCCCAGCTAACACCAGTGCGCCCCCTGCTCCCCCAACTACCACCACTGTGCCCTCTGCTCCCCCACCTATCAGTACACTACTCCTGCTCCCCCACCCTCTGCCACTGTGCCCCTGCTCTCCTACCTACCAATGCACTACCCCTGTTCCCCCAGCTAACACCAGTGCGCCCCCTGCAACCCCACATACCACCACTGTGCCCTTTGCTCCCCCACCAATCACTGTGCCTCTGCTCCCCCAGCTACCACCACTGTGCCCCTTGCTCCCTTACCTACCCACTGTGCCCCTGCTCCCTATCGTGCACCCTGCTCCCCTACCTACCACCGTGCCCCCTGCTCCCCCACCTACCACTACATTACCCCTGCTCCCCCACCCTCCGCCACTGTGCCCCTGCTCCCACCACTGCTGCAAGTAGAACTCGTACGTACATGTTAAAAACAATAAGGATACATTTCATATTCTAAGATTTGTCACGAGTTATGGCTCTAGCTGAATCTATGTGTAACCTTACTATTATGATGTAATCTAAAAGCCCAACATGGGGTATTTTTGTCTTAAACCTTGAGATAACAGCCTATCAAGCTATCAAGCCCTGCTACAATATAAGAGAGCAGAGATATTGAAAACACTTATGCAATACTGTCTGAAAGTCAGAAAACGTCACTGAGCAAATGCTGGATTGTGATTTATTTCTAAATATTGACATACAAAGCAGGGTGAACTTATTCACAAAACCAACAAAGTAACTTACAGGAAGTGCTGGGATGTAAATCATCATATATGCATGTGTTAACCTAGAAGAAAATGAAATTGTTACACAATCAAGCATACTTTTCGTAAAATCACAGTCTACTCTAGATATACAAATAGAGAAATGGACAGGCAGGGGTACATGGTGAAGTCCACATGGAGAAATGTGCTTCCCTGTAGTATAAAAACCAGAGCTAGAGCAAATATGGACTAACTATATTTTTATGCATTACTTTCCAGTGCAATAAAAAGGTTTCCATATACACGGATGTTATTAGAGGAAGGGCTTAATGCTGGTTACCCTTTATAGGACAGTGTGAAAAGCCAGGGTATAAGACTCTATAGAGTAGAGACTATTTGGGCAAAGCCATATATTAGCTATATTAAATCACTTCTAAGGACCCCAAAGCATTTTTTGTATATTTAAAACAAACTCGAGTGGCTATATAAAAGAGGATAAACTTGTTCTACCTAGTGACTGATCAAGATTCAACTAAAAATTAATTCTGTACCCGGGAGCATAAATTGTTAAAAGCAACAATGAAACTAGAGATATTTTGTAAAAGCAAGAAAATCTTGCTGGACCAGTGATGATACCCAGTGGTGAGCTTTTTCTAATAGAAGAAAAACTATGTATTAAGCTTTATCTCTCTACCGTTAAATGCCCCAAGGCCTGCAGAGAAAAAGGACAAAACCCTGAACTTCCTTAATGTTTCTCAAATACGAATAAAGCAAAGGGGGCATAAATATTGACTGTTTAACCTGGCAATTTCCGGGTTCTGCCTGAATAGCAACAGAATGTGTTCAGTATTAATGAAGATGGCCCAGCATGGGAAACAGAACAGTAACAGGATCAGAATTCCTCTCTGTAATATAGTTCCAATGCGTTTCATGTTTCTACCTCCGTATGTCTAAATATGGGAAATAAAAATGAAAGAGCAAAAATGTTACACACATAAAATGAATAAATACAAACAAACTGTAGCTGGGTCACTGATGGCATAAAAACTAGAGTTGTGTGGGTGGGTGTGGCACCTGGTTCATTAAATTCCTCTATAAGTTTATTTTGTCCAATTACAATTGTTGTGCCCCAGGTATTTTTGTTGCTCCTTTTCCAGGGCTAAAAACGTAAAGGAGAAAGTCCCTTGATATGATATCTAACCTAGCATCTACAAACAATAAGGATATGTGCAAAAATAATGGGGGTTTAGTTACATTATATGATCATACATTGCATAAGCCTGCCACAATGTAGCCCATCTTTGGCAGGTCCTACTCTAACAGCCTAATGGAAAAAATTCCATCTGAGGCTCTCTGCAGCACAAGGTTAAATAGGGTCCTGGGATGATGCACCTGTGACAGGGAGGGGTGCAAAACCAAGGAGTTTTGATCATATAATGTAACTAAACCCCCATTATTTTTGCCTAGATTAGGTGTTTTTAAAAAAAACAAATAAAATCTGTCAACATTGAAGTTGCTGTTTAGTGGATAGGTGAGTGCGCTGGATCTTGTGTATTGTATAATTTGGCTCCCAGCAGCACCCCATTTATGCATGTTCAGGTGAGTGCAGCCACACCCCCTTGTTTCATATATATATCTTTGGGAGTCTAGCCAACTCCTTGGTTTTGCACCCCTCCCTGTCACAGGTGCCTCATCCCAGGGCCCTATTTAGCCTTGTACTGCAGAGAGCCCCAAATGGAATTTTTTCCCCAAGTAAGTGGGTTAATCTCATAAGAGCAGACATTAGGCTGTTAGAGTAGGACCTGCCAAAGATGGGGTACATTGACGTTGTGGCATGGTTATGCAATGTATAGTCATATAATGTAACTAAACCCCCATTATTTTTGCCTAGATTAGGTGTTTTAAAAAAAAAAAAAAAATCTTTCAACATTGAAGTTGCTGTTTAGTGGATAGGTGAGTGCGCTGGATTTTGTGTATTTTATATATATATATATCTATATATATACATCCTCAGTGGATCAACTTTAATAAGGAGTCATGAATCTCATTGGTTGTCTTGTATAAAACTCAAGTGCTGGTCGCCTGGGACAGGATACATTTACTCTCCAGGGTTTGTAATGACCTGCATTATCCACCATTTTTATATATAAGTTTGTCCTTTCTTGTCTCTCCTTTTTTTCCCTTTCATTGTACAAAGATTACTATATTGATTTAAAGTTATTACATTTATGGGACGGCTAGCATCACACATATATTACCTAAATAAAATCTATTCTCAATATTTAAATTTTGAGTGTGGTCTCTATTTTATATTTTACCCACTTTACATTAGTTGAGTCTGCCACTGCCTACATCATTGGCAGTCAGTTCAGAAAATGATCCCATAGTATAAAATAGTTTTAATTTGTTGTAACCATACCTGAGATATGAGTGTATCACAAGGATAGGATAAACCTGTTCCAATGGATATTGCAGTGACATTTATGATCTGAAACCAAAAGTTATACAACAGTTTAAAATATTGCTCCAAGTGATTTTCTAAAATGTCTGTGCTTCAATTTTGTACTTTTTTGGCTTGTATAACATGTTGCTCTCAACTTATTTTTTTTTAGCAAAAAAATGTGTTTCAGCTGAACCATTACTTGTAAAAATAAAAAAATTCTGGATGACAAACTCTCATGCATATGGTGGTTTGGTCGTCAGTTATTGCGCATTAAAAGATTCGGGAAAATGCATCAGATGAACCAAAGGGGTGGGAAAATGTGTATTACAAAATATATGTCCCCAAAAGAGGGAAAAAGAAGACATGCTGTAGAAAATGTATGTAAACAAAGCTCCGGGTGTGACAGCATTCACCCATGAGTACCTAAGGTGCTAAGTGAGGAAATAAGTGAACCTCTGTATTTAATCTTTCAGGATTCTTTTCTTTCAGAAATTGTACAGGATGATTGGATGAAGGCAGATGTGGTTCCTATATTCAAAAAGGGTTCAAAATCTTTGTCTGGAAATGAGAGATCTGTGAGCTTAAGTTCTGTGGCTGGGGAAGTATTTGAATTGATACTAAGGGATAATATTCAGGAATTCATTGTGAAGAACACTGTTATCAGCAATAATCAGCATGGGTTGATTAAACATAGGTCATGCAGTCAAACTAACCTAATTGCATTCTACAAAGAGGTAAGTAGAAGTATAGATCAGGGTGTTGGAGTAGATGTGATCTACTTTGATTTTGCCAAGGTGTTGGATAATGTTCCTCACAATAGATTAGTGTTCAAACTAAAATAAATTGGTCTACAATCAGATAAACTTCTGGGTAAAGAATGCACAGGTAACTTACACCACCCTAAATGTCAGTGAAATAGAGATAACACACAAGAAGGATTTGGGAATGGTTATAGACAAAACAGGAACGAATATGCAATATCAATCAACAGTTGCATAGGCCAGTAAGGTATTCTCATGTATAAATAAGGGCACTAATTTCTTAGGATGAAAATATCAATTTTGCATTTTTATAATCCACTGGTATGACCCCACTGTGAATATGCTGTGCAATTTTCAAAAGAAGGATATTATGGCATTAGAAAAAGTGCTGAGGCGAACTGCAAAATTGATAAGAGGAATGGAGCAATTTAGTGGTTAAATCTCCTTAGTTTGGAAAAACTGTAGCTCAGACGGATATTATAGCATTATACAAATACAGTTGCAAGAAAAAGTATGTGAACCCTTTGGAATGATATGGATTTCTGCACAAATTGGTCATAAAATGGGATCTGATCATCATCTAAGTCACAACAATAGACAATCACAGTCTGCTTAAACTAATAACACACAAAGAATGAAATGTAGCCATGTTTTTATTGAACACACCATGTAAACATTCACAGTGCAGATGGAAAAAGTATGTAAACCCTTGGACTTAATAACTGGTTAAACCTCCTTTGGAAGCAATAACTTCAACCAAATGTTTCCTGTAGTTGCAGATCAGACGTGCACAACGGTCAGAAGTAATTCTTGACCATTTCTCTTTACAGAACTGTTTCAGTTCAGCAATATTCTTGGGATGTCCGGTGTGAATCGCTTTCTTGAGGTCATGCCACAGCATCTCAATTGGGTTGAGGTTAGGACTCTGACTGGGCCACTTCAGAAGGCGTATTTTCTTCTGTTTAAGCCATTCTGTTGTTGATTTACTTCTATGCTTTGGGTTATTGTCCTGTTGCAACACCCATCTTCTGTTGAGCTTCAGCTGGTAGACAGATGGCCTTAAGTTCTCCTGCAAAATGTCTTGATAAACTTGGGAATTCATTTTTCCTTCGATGATAGCAATCCGTCCAGGCCCTGACGCAGCAAAGCAGCCCCAAACCATGATGCCCCCACCACCATACTTCACAGTTGGGATGAGGTTTTGATGTTGGTGTGCTGTGCCTTTTTTTCGCCACACATAGTGTTGTGTGTTTCTTCCAAACAACTCAACTTTGGTTTCATCTGTCCACATAATATTTTGCCAGTACTGCTGTGGAACATCCAGGTGCTCTTGTGCAAACTGTAAACGTGCAGCAATGTTTTGTTTGGACAGCAGTGGCTTCCTCTGTGGTATCCTCCCATGAAATCCATTCTTGTTTAGTGTTTTACGTATTGTAGATTCGCTAACAGGGATGTCAGCATTTGCCAGTGATTTTTGTAAGTCTTTAGCTGACACTCTAGGATTCTTCTTCACCTCATTGAGCAGTCTGCGCTGTGCTCTTGCAGTCATCTTTACAGGACGGCCACTCCTAGGGAGAGTAGCAGCAGTGCTGAACTTTCTCCATTTATAGACACTTTGTCTTACCGTGGACTGATGAACAGCAAGGCTTTTGGAGATACTTTTATAACCCTTTCCAGCTTTATGCAAGTCAACAATTCTTAATGGTAGGTCTTGTGAGAGCTCTTTTGTGCGAGGCATCATTCACATCAGGCAATGCTTCTTGTGAAAAGCAAACCCAGAACTGGTGTGTGTTTTTTATAGGGCAGGGCAGCTGTAACCAACACCTCCAATCTCATCTCATTGATTGGACTCCAGTTGGCTGACATCTCACTCCAATTAGCTCTTGGAGATGTCATTAGTCTAGGGGTTCACATACTTTTTCCACCTGCACTGTGAATGTTTACATTGTGTGTTCAATATAAACATGGCAACATTTCATTCTTTGTGTGTTATTAGTTTAAGCAGACTGTGATTGTCTATTGTTGTGACTTAGATGATGATCAGATCACATGTTATGACCAATTTGTGCAGAAATCCATATCATTCCAAAGTGTTCACATACTTTTTCTTGCAACTATATATTCAGATCCAATACATATTATTGTTTGGAATTCTTTTCATAAATAGGACACAAGGTCATGCATGTAGACTGGGATAAAGAGATGGTTTTATCAGACTCTATACAGATGTTTAAACAGCAATTGGATAAATACTTGCAAAAATATAGTATACAGGGATATGATTTTTAATTAGTGGAGCAATAGCTTCTTAATCCAAATATATACTGGACTGCCATTCTGGGGTCAAGAAGACATTTTTTCCTAGTTTGTTGCACAATTGGAAGCGCTACACATGGGGCGATTTGGACTGCAAAATCTGGATAACCTCACACTATTCAATGTCTAGATTTTGCAATTCAGCCAGACCAAATGCTGGTGGATGACTGAAATCTCAAAATGCTAAAAAATTACTTAAAATCCAGGCCTGGATGGTTCAAAACCAGCCAAGATTTAAAAAAAACAAACAAACTATTTGCTAGCTAGCATCTCTAGCAGCCAACGGGCAAATAGTTTAAACCCTTAGCAATGTGAAGGTTAAAGGGACACTCCAGGCACCCAGAACACTTCTGCCCATTGGAGTGGTCTGGGTGCCTAATCCAACTACCCTTAACCCTGCAAGTGTAATTATTGCAGTTTTCATAAACTGCAATATTTACCTTGCAGGGTTAACTCCTCCTCTAGTGGCTGTCTTTTAGACAGCCACTAGAGGGCACTTCCGGGTTCATAGCACACAAAAAGTGTGCTATAGCATCGCTGGACGTCCTCATGCTATGTGAGGACTTCCAGTGTCACTGAAATCCCCAAAGGAAAGCATTGAAAGCATTGGCGCGCATGCGCATTAGGTCTCCTCCGCTGGCGGCTATCGTAGGCGGGGGAGGATCGTGGGCAGACCCTGAACCATCACCGAGGGACATCGGCGCTGGATACAGGTAAGTCACTGAAGGGGTTTTAACCCCTTCAGCAACTTGGTAAGGGGGTGGGAGGGAGAGGGGACCTGCAGTGCCAGGAAAACAGTTTGTTTTCCTGGCACTGGAGAGTCCCTTTAATTATGTGGTGGCTGGCTAACGCTTGCTAAAACCACAAAGGATAAAACATAAAAGTAACCTTTGGGGGACCCTTTTATTAATATAAGGGTGAGTTTTAACATTTTCAGAAGGGCTTTTCTTGACTATTATGACTGTTTTATCTAGTATCACTCAAATGTTATTTTAAGCCCTTAAGGACACAGCTTCAGAAACTTGTCTTACCCTTAGGGACACAGACATTTCTGCATATTTTGCTGTTTGTGTTCAAACGCAATTTGCATCTCTGTCATTTATTGCACAAACACATATTATTATAATTTTTTTTTTTTTAAAGAGCAAACAGGACTTTAATGTTATGTCACATATACATAGATACATTCTCATTAATCATAAAAAAAAATGCCCAAAAATGGGGGGGGGGAATACATTTTTTTCACAGTTTTGGCAATAACAGCGTGTGCATAATATGTCCAGCTTAGAAAAAGTAATTCAAAATAAATTAATTTAGATGTCTTGATTTATAGAGTACATAATATGCATAGGATTTCAACTTATTTTGAAAGTTACAGAACACAAAATACAAGGACTAAAATAAAATTTTAGTGTGAAACAATTTTAGAAGTTGGTATGTTTGTCTTGTAGGTTTAGTAGCCACCACAGAAAACAAATTTGCCACACAAAAGTATAAATTTATGTAAAGTAGACATCACAGTCTATTTACCTAAGGATTGTTTGACACTTTTTACGTAGCCATTTCATCGCCAATCTCTGCTACATATTTGAGTAAAATTGTGTTTTTTCTCTATTTTGGCATATACAAATATAGCAAGGTTTTTGTAATGTATATTTCGTAAAGCTGATGTGTGCTATTCCTGCACAGAACCCCATACTGTGTTCAGCTACATCTGCTGAGTATAACTATACACCCATTGTATGCCTTTGGTGCTATTCTGTGAAGCTACAATGCCGTAGAAGAGACAAGGGTAGTATTATAAACGTAAAACCATATGGCAAGTATTGAGTTTAGCTTTTCTAGAGCCTCTAAGGGTAATAAGCAGGTGATAAGCAAAGTGCCAATTTTCTGGGGATGGCACCACCCCAATGAAGATTCTCTAAGGCTTCGGAGGACTTTGTTGGAATAACATAAAATATATTATTTACAAATAAAAAAACATATATAGTAAATGCTATGGAAAGTAAAAACAGTCCAATAAAAAGTCCAAATCTCATGAAACCCATTTCACTCATACATGAGCTTCATAAGTCAGCTGTAGTATAGCCCCAGGAAACTTCTGTCTTTTAAATGTCCTGTAGGTCCTCTAGACCAGTGTTTCCCAACCCAGTCCTCAAGGCACACCTACCAGTCCAGGATTTAGGGATTACCCAGTTGTGTCTAAGGTGTTTTTTTTCTTCTTTGTAAAAACACCTTAGACACAACTGGGTAATCCCTAAATCCTGGACTGGTAGGTGTGCCTTGAGGACTGGGTTGGGAAACACTGCTCTCGACCCTCCTTTTTAGATTACATGTGGTTAAATTAACCAATCCCAAGTTGATATTTCGTGCCATGTCTTTAAAAATTATCTTCACCTGTGTGCCTAAATCCTCTATAGGGTATTTGCCATCTTTTATTCTAATCCTTTCATTGGTAGTCAATGGTGCTGGTCTGGTCGCGTCATATCCTATTTGTGGTTGGGGGAAGTATCGTCTCAGACTCCGCCCACCACCCATGGACACCGCACGCTCCCCAGTCACGGCTTTCTCCAACTATTGTCATTAGTGGCCAGAGGTGCCAGTCATGGATGTGTCATATCTTATTTGCAGCTGGCAGAAGTGACATTTGGGACTTAGCTGCTCGCCACATCTGCCAGCCTCTCATGGACACCACGCCCTCCATAAACCCGGACAACCTCTGGCTTACCTGGATGATATGATCAAATGGGAGGATATAGATTGGCATATCGGCTTCGGCTGGAGGGCGTCCCTTCCAGCGTAAGCCATACAGATTCCACCATTTTGGATGTGGGCAAGAGAGGGTAAAGGTATCCAAGAATATCTAGAGAAATGTGGTTTATCTACTCTTACAGAGGACCAAATTAGAGATTTAAATCATTCAATAACGCATGAGGAAGTAGGCTTTACGATAGACAAAATTTAAAAAAAAATAAAGCCCCAGGTCCGGATGGATTCTCTGGAATATTTTACAAAACCATGAAAGTAAATCTATGCAAACATCTTGCAAAATTATTTAATTTCTTTTCAGAAAGAAGTGAAATATCAGCAGAATTATTATAGGCAAATATAATACCCACACTGAAAAATAAAAAAGATCCATCTCAGATTGAAAATTAACGTCCCATTTCATTGATCAATGGTGATATAAAAATATATTCCGCTATCATAACTGATAGACTAAAATCCCATCTCTAATTCATATTGAGCAAACAGGATTCGTAACTGGAAGATATCCTTCTGACAATATTCGCAGAGTAGTAGATCTAATTGACCTATCCAATTGAAGGATGGAACAGACTATTTTATTTTCACTTGATGGTAATACAGCTTTCGATAGAGTTAGTTGGAATTTTATGTTCCAAACATTAAGAAAGAGGGGTTTCAAAGGATGGATACTACAGGCAATTCTTGCTCTATACACTAATCCCTCAGCCAGGATAATAGGGTCGGGTATTCTTTCCCCGTGGTTTAAGGTTTGAAATGGGACTAGGCAGGGCTACCCCCTCTCTCCCATGTTATATATTCTTACTTTGGAGCCACTCTCCCAATATATCAGAATGAATAAAAATATTAAAGGAATCCAATATGGCTATAAAGAAGCAAAATTAAGTTTATATGCTGATGATGTCACAATGACATTAACAGATCCCCAAAACTCGATAAATCCTCTACTTAAAGAACTAGAAATATTCGGAAATATGTCAAACTACAAGCTCAATACATCTAAGTCAATTATTATGAGCTTAAATCTAGACATGGAAATCCAAGATAGACTAAAGGAAGAATATACCTTTAAGTGGGCTACAGATAGTTTTGAGTACCTTGGCATAATCATCACTTCTCACTCAATTTTGTTTTATAAAGGCCAACTGGGAGGCATTGTTAAATCAGACTTCCATAATGCTTAATGATTGTAAGCCCTTGGAACTTTCATGGCTGTGACGAATTAACGTTATTAAATCTTATGTGCCAACAATATGGAATTATCTTTTTGGGGCTCTCCCCATATACTTACACAGATCGAATCTAACTAAAATACAGAGAACTTTCTCTGAATATATATCAACTGGCAAAAAAACAAGAATAACGAGAAAGATTTTAGAGAAAAGTATAGATAAAGGAGGGCTAGCAATCCCTAATATTAAAAGATACCATGACGCTGCTATCCTTAAACATATTTTTAAATGACTCAAAATAGATTCTTAAGATTCTTGGCAGGACATAGAAAAATATATGTTGGAGATATCGGACCTCTCCCTCCTCCTGTGGATCGATCCTAAAAGACTGAGCATACATAAGATTCCAGCCAACAATTGAAGCAAAAACAGCCTTAGCTATCAAATTTTAAAATTGTGGTCTAAATTCAAAATAGAACATAATTTGTCATGGGAGAATTCTATTAGCTGTAAGAGCAATACTAGCCTCCTAGAATATAATGTATAGGAACTGAATCTATGTATTTGGAAAGATAATGGTATAACGACTTTTAGTGATATCTTAAATGGCTCTCATATTAAATCTTTTCAAGAAATAGTCTCCGAATACCATATTCCCGCAAAGGAATTCTTTTGCTACCTTAGAATTAAAAGTTTTCTTCGAAAATATGTATGCAAAGAAGACAACGAAATTCAGGATTTGGAATGTCTGTTAAAATATGGAGACAATGTTAGTACCCTGATGAAAAGTACCCTTTTCGATGATGAAGATCCTTCTATAATAGATCCAGGTTAAAAATATAATAAATAAATGGGAAACAGATCTTGAAATAGAGATCAGAGTTTTGGACTGGTTTAAGATTATATCAGAAGCTAAGATATTTATACATTGCCTTAATCTTATAGAGAGCATAAGTGAGGGTAAAGGGAAAAAATGCATTACATGCATAAAATGTACAGTTGAGTGTAATCCACTATAGGCATTTACAATATAGATTAATGATATCTTTAAACCATAATCACAAAATTATCTTTTTTAGGAGAGAGAGATATATAAACACCAATAAGAATGGAATTAAAAATTAAAAATTTAAATTAAGACCTTTGCCTATAATAATAAAAATGGGCAAAATGGGCAATGATGTTGGGTTCTTTTACATTCACTACGATGAAAACTTTAATTACAATAAGAAAATACATCATGTAGACTATCCGAGTACATCAACAGATGTCTACAACCAATAGTCCAAAAAATACCTAGTTACCTTAAAGATACAGGAAGTATACCACGACATATCAACGAACTGGTTTGGGAAGACAGTTATTTTTTAGTAAACGCAGACGTAAGTTTCCTCTACACTATTATTGCACATGAGAGTGGCTGCGCTGCGACCAGATATTTTTTAGAACAGTCAAACAATTTTAAACCAGAGCACATGGATTTTATCATGGAAGGAATTCACTTTATTTTATCTAGTAATTATTTTTGGTATGGTGGAGATTTTTATCTACAGGCCCATGGAGCGGTGAGACAAAGTTCACTAATTTGAACCAAGACAAAGAATTCACTATTAAAAAATCTCATCACTTGTCACTCAACAAATGTGATATATTTACTGGAGTGCCCGTGCGGTCTGAAATATGTGGGCCACACTAAAAGTAAACTACATACAAGAGTGGAAGAATACATAAGAAATATAAAAAAAGGATATGAGGGCCATAGTGTGTCACATCATTTTAAAATTATACATAACAGCAACCCTAAGGGACTACAATTTTTAGGTAATCCATAAAGTCTTGGGGAACTGGAATGGAGGAAATTTTAATAACATTTTAGGGAAGAAAGAAATGAGATGGATATTCAACCATGGGACTTTACAGTCAAGGTTTGAATATCGACTTTGAATTATGCCATTTCCTCTAAAAACTCCCTTTTTAATAAAATTTCTTAATTTGACAAAATTTCTCATATAATTTCCCTCAAACATAATTTTAATATAAATCCCTTTGTAATATTGTTCTCATGTAAACATACCAAACATAATAGTTTTATATATTGTTTTTCACATAAAAAAAGTTTTTAATATCTATTTTAATAAATTTGAAATTATATGCAAAGGTCTTAATTTGAATTTTTAATTCCTAATTCCTTTCTTATTAGTGTTTATATAGCTCTCTCTTCTAAAAATATATTTTTGTGATAATGGTTTAAAGATATCATTAATCTATATTGTAAATGCCTATATTTGATAACACTCAAATGTACATTTTATGCATTTCCCCCCCTTTTTTCCCTATACCTTTACCTTCTTTTGCCCACACCTAAAATAGTGGAACCTGTATGGCTTACGCTGCAAATCTACCTGTCCTCTCCTGATCTCTCCCCATCCCTCTTGACTAGTGTCTCTGACTGCCTCTCTGCTGTTTCTAACTGGATGGCTGCCCACTTCCTTAAACTAAACTTGACCAAAACTGAAATTTTGGTCTTTCCTCCCTCAAGTGTTGTTACTCCTGTGTCTGTCTCCCTCCAAGTCAACGGTGCTACCATCAGTTCCACCATGCATGCTCGCTGCCTAGGTGTTCTCTTTGACTCCGACCTCTCCTTCAAGCCTCATGGTTAATCTATTGCCAAATCCTGTCATTTCCATCTAAAAAACATTGTGCGCATCTGCCCCTACTTAACGCCAGATGCGACTAAGGTGTTTGTCCATTCCACTGTCCTTTCTCGCCTTGACTACTGTAATCTGCTTCTCAGTGGTCTTACGTGCTCCCAGCTAGCGCCATTTCAGTCCATAATGAATGCGGCGACGAGGCTCATCTTCCTGTCCACACGCACCTCCCATGCCTCACCCTTCTGTCAATCCCTACATTGGCTTCCTATAAAATATAGAGCTCAATTTAAAATTCTGGTTCTTGCTTTCAAATCTCTACATAATGCTGCTCCCACCTATCTCTCCTCCCTTATACACAAGTATGTCCTGTCTAGGCCCTTACGATCTGCTGAAGACGTATGTCTATCTTCTATCTGACTCCCACCTCTGATGCTTGCCTTCAAGATTTCTCGAGGGCTACACCGTTCCTGTGGAACTCGCTTCCCTCCTCTGTTAGATGCTCACCCAGTCTCCACTCCTTCAAAAAATCTTTAAAAACCCACTTCTTCATAAAAGCATATCCATTAAACTGTTAATAGCTCCTGACTGATTCCTCTTCTGCAACTGTCATTAGTCTAATACTATCCTTACCTTTTTTGTGTCATTTTACCCCACTCCCTCTAGCATGTAAGCTCATTGAGCAGGGCCCTCAACCCCTCTGTTCCTGTGTGTCCAGCTTGTCTGGTTACAACTACATGTCTGTTCGTCCACCCATTGTAAAGCGCTGCGGAATTTGACGGCGCTCTATAAATATCATAATAATAATAATAATGTATTGTAACGTATTGTACAGCTGCCCTCCAACCGAAGCAGATATGCCAATATATATCCTCCGATTTGGTCATATCATCTAGGTAAGCCAGAGGTTGTCCGGGGAGGGCGTGGTGTCCACGAGAGGATGGTGGATGTGGCAAGTGGCTAAGTCCACAACGTCACTTATACCAGCCGCGAATAGGATATGAGGCATCCATGACTGGCACCTCTGGCAACCAGTGAAAATAGTCGGAGAAAGCCGTGTCTGGGGAGCATGCGGTGTCCATGGGTGGTGAGCGGCAGAGTCTGCGACGTCACTTCTGGCAACCAAATAGGATTTGATGTGTCCAGACTACCAATGAAATAATTAGAATAAAAGTCGACAATTACCCTATATAGGGTTTAGGCACACAGGTGAAGATAATTTTTAAAGGGATTGTATGAAATATGGACTCGGGATTGGTTAATTTAACCACAAGTGATCTAAAAAGGAGGGTCTAGAGGACCTACAGGACATTTAAAAAAGACAGAAGATTCTTGGGGCTACACTACAGCTGACTGAGGAAGCTCATAAATGAGTGAAATGCATTTCATCAGATTTGAACTTTTTATTGGACATTTTTACTTTCTATAGCATTTACTATATAGGTTTTTTTATTTGTAAACAATACATTTTATATGTTATTCCAACAAAGTCCTCTAAAGCCTTAGAGAATCTTCATTGGGGTGGTGCCTTCCCCAAAAAATTGGCACTCTGCTTATTACCCTTAGAGCCAGAAATTGAATGCTCTAAAAAAGATGAGCTTAATACTTGCCATATGGTTTTAAGTTTATAATACTAACCATTGGTTGCTTCTCTTAAACCCCTTTTGGAGGAGACGTTATCATGAAAGTGGTGTGTTGCTGCCATAAGTGCAAAAAGGTTAATTTTACAGAGCCAATATAATGTAGGCTCTGGGAACATGTGAGTGGTTCCAGCTTTTTTTCTACAATTGATTGTAATTTTTAGATTATCTACACTATGTCTTTTTTCTTCTTTCATTTTATGTATGTTCAAGAACATTCCAATACTGTATTTGTGGGGTAAGGAACACCTACACAGGTCAGATTTTTATAGCGCTCCACTAATAGATATTTTATACCATATTTTGGCTGTTTAATTTATTGTGGAGAAAAGGGTATCCCACGTTAAGTGTTAAGCTGCTTATCACCAAGGCACTTTACTGTATCACATACTACCTCGTAGCAGAGGTAGATCTCAGTTTCAATGCTTGCTTTTATACGCCTGTAGCAATGGATCGGTTTGACACACCTGAATTCCAATATTTTGGTCCATATAGCTTGTGTGTGAGACAGAATGTTCAATTCACAGTAAGTTAACATGTAATTGAAAATTAAATTCATTTTGATACCTCTTAACTGAAATTTGTTTTCCTATACTCTAAATTAAAATTTTAAAGGCACACTCTGGCATTAAAAGAAGTTCGTACTCTTACTCAAATCGTGAAACAGTTCATGAACAATTTAACTCCAAAGTTGGCACCAGCGGTGATGTTAACTCCTCCCCCCATGCAGCACCTGGCTTCAGCATTTTCAGATTCAGGAAGCACAGAGTCCGCTGGTCAGGGGTGCCGCTGATTGGCTTAGAGCACTCAGCTGATGCACTAAGCCAATCAGTGACTCAATTCACAAAACAGGCATGCAAAGATATGTGCCTTTGTACCTTTGAAATATATCTACAGTTGTGCTCAAATGTTTGCAAAACCCTGGCAGAAATTGTGAACTTTTGGCATTGATTTTGAAAATATGACTCATCAGGCAAAAAATATTTTTATTTGATTGAAAGATAGTGATCATATGAAGCCATTTATTATCACATAGTTGTTTGGCTCCTTTTTAAATCATAATGATAACAGAAATCACCCAAATGGGCCTGATCAAAAGTTTACATACCCTTGAATGTTTGGCCTTGTTAATTTTCCACACCTGTGACTTTTTAAATTTCAATTAGTGTCTGTGTATTAATAGTCAATGAGTTTTTTTAGCTCTCACATGGATGCACTGAGCAGGCTAGATACTAAGCCATGATGTCATGCGGTAACACTTATGGGTTCGGCACTCCGCTGTGTGGAGCAGGACCCCGCCCCCCTCTGACGCAGCTCTGACGGTATTTAGGGAGACCGCGCCAGAGAGAGGGTGCTTGGTGATACTGGGAGCTACTTCCGCCAGACTTACTTCTCCGCAGGCTCTGGCAATGTGGGTCCTAATTCCGAGTATGCACGCCGGCTCCTGGGACATGCCGGCTCTACAAGCTCTGAAGTCGTCCTAGACTTCTGGGCTAAGACAAGTCTGTTTCATGCCATAGAGGATTACTGGAGAATAGAAACTCACTTACTGTACAAGTGGACCTCATCTCTGAACTATTGGAGGACTACTCACATTAACCTTAAGTATATCAGCTATTTGTCTACAATATCATTTAATAATGAACTAATGCTTGCTTACTTAAATCTTTACTGCTTCAAGCTACTAATAAATGGAGGACAACTCCCATCATGCTTATTCACAATGAACTGTTTCTTGCTTTGCAAATACACTCAGTGCTTCAAGCTACTAATTATATGGAGGACAACTCCCATCATGCTTATTAACTATGAACTGTTCCTGCTTTGCAAATATTCTAAGTTACTTGCTTAAAGTTATTATTGAAGATTATTCTCATTAACCTAAAGAATGTTACTTAATGCATCACTTAGGAAATACTTATTAATGAACTTTGTGTTGTTGACTACTTGCACTTCTTCTTATTGGATTATTGCCTAAATACAATTCATTTAAGTTTAACACTTCGTTTGAATCAAGTTACCAGCAATTCTCTCTTTTCTTAAAGCTACAGTATTGATACTTTAAAGATTCTCCTTTTCTTCACTATTGTAATTAGGGAGTTTTACAAGCTGCAGTTGAGTTCCTATCCAAATCACCCAAGTAGCGTAACACATGGGGAGTAGAAATTAACTGTCAAAAGACCAGCGTAACAAGGTAATGGAACTTTATAAACATGAAAAGGATATAAAAAGATATCCAAAGCCTTGAAATGCAAGTCAGTACTGTTCAATCCCTTATTAAGAAGTAGAAAATTCAGTGATCTGTTGATACCAAGCCAAGGTCAGGTAGACAAAGAAAGATTTCAGCCACGACTGCCAGAAGAATTGAATGGGATACAAAGGAAAACCCACAGATAACCTCAGGAGAAATACAGGCTGCTCAGAAAAAGACAGTGTGGTTGTTTCACAATACGATGATACTTGAACAAAAACGAGCTGCATGGTCGAGTTGCCAGAAAGAAACCTTTACTGCATCAATGCCACAAAAAAGCTTGGTTACAATATGCCCTACAACACTTTGACATGCCTCACAACTTCTGTCTGTCAGGAAAACGAGTTGATCCAGCACACAGAATTATTTCACACCTAGGACTAAGGATAACGTTTAAACGGACCTTAGAATGGCCAGACTTAACGTATCCAGAATAGTCAGAATACTTGCCGAGGTCAGGAATACAGAAGGAGACACAATGATGAGGTAAAGCCAAAAGTTAAGGATACCAGAAGTCAGGGAAGTCAAAACTAAGCCAAAGTAAAAAAACAGAATAATAAGCTCAGGAACACACTCTCGGATAACCAGCAAAGGGAAACCACGACAGGTTAATGAGTAAAAGGAAAAATACATTTAAATAACCCTCCTGCAGATCCGATTGGCCGTAACTGGCCTTTGGCCCAGGAACGTGCATGCGCGTCTTTTGAGTGACGTCACGCGCATGTTACATAGTTCCTTGATCACGTTCTGTCCGTCTGGATGAAATTAAGAAAAAAATAAGAATTCAAAATGCTGCACTAGATATTTTTAAAAAAAATTTCAGCAATAGAATATAAAATAACAGATTTATCTGTATCTAGATGGAGTTATGAGGGTATTTATAATCTGGACAAGATACTACAACAGGGCAAACTGAAGCCGTTTGAATCTCTAGCACAACAATTCCAGCTGTCTAATTCAGATTTTTTCCTTATCTTAGAGTTAAGAATGATCTGCAAAATCATTTGGTTTGAAGTTAATACAAATATCTTATCTACCGTATATACTTGAGTATAAGACGAGTTTTTTGGCACATTTTTTGTACTGAAAAACCCCCACTCGTCTTATACTTGAGTCACTGTCTGTATTATGGCAACTTACATTGCCATAATACAGACAAGGACCGCCGGGCTCATTACAAGCCCGGCGGTCCTGTTGGGGGCTGGCAGAGAGCTGTAACTTACCTTTCCTGCAGCTCCTGACAGCTCCTCCGGTCTGGTCAGCTCCCCTGCAAGTCTCACGAGAGCCACGGGGTCAGAGCGTGGCACTCACTCCGCGAGACTTGCAGTGGGAGCTGACAGGGGAGCTGACCGGACTGGAGGAGAGAGAAGGGAGCTGACAGGAGCTGCAGGAAAGGTAAGTTACAGCTCTCTGCCAGCCCCCCCTCCTACACAGCCCATGCCACTAGACCACCAGGGAGTGAGAGACCCCCTCCATGCCATGTATCAAGCAGGGAGGGGGGACAAAGAAAAATATAAATAAAAAATTAAATAATACAAAATAAAATAAAAATATTAATAATATAAAAAAATATATATGTATTAAAATAATAATAATTTAAAAAAATAATAAAAATGCCCACCCCCCACCAAGGCTCTGCATCACATACACAAACACACTCTGCATCACATACACACACTGCACTCATACACACACACTGCACTCATACACACACACACACTGCATTCATACACACACACACACTGCACTCATACACACACACACACTGCATTCATACACACACACACACACACTGCATTCATACACACACACACACACACACTGCAGTCATTATATACACAAACTGTAAATAAATATTCAGTTAATATAATTTTGGGGGGATCTAATTTTATTTAGAAATTTACCAGTAGCTGCTGCATTTCCCACCCTAGTCTTATACTCAAGTCAATACGTTTTCCCAGTGTTTTGGGGTAAAATTAGGGGTCTCGACTTATATTTGGGTCGACTTATACTCGAGTATATACGGTATATTAAAAATTAATTTCTCCAATGAAACAGTCTTAAAAGCTATTGAATTAATCTATACCATAAAATATTTGGAGAATACACCTCAGAAGATTAAGTGGGAAAGATCTTATTTGTGTTTTAGGTCAACGGTAATGGTGTAAAGTATTTCCTTGGTGCTGGCATTTTGGGACAAAAGTAGATTCTTTTATACACATTTGATGGGACTGTTCCAATATGAAGAGCCATAGATACATAATTTAAGTTCAGATATGCTAAGAAAAAAATAAAACTATAGAGGAAACCTGACGTTGCATTACTACAGCTACATTGGCTTAAGAGGTCATAGAAAAATGATAGTTTCATTACACATTGTTTTATTGCTTATTAGATGCTGTTAGCCAGCAAATAACTTGTGGAAACAACTGCAAGAATTATCTTAGGCATCAATTGAAGCTCAATTGTTTTTACTAATCAGGATGAAAAGAGACCTGAGCATACCTTTTCTGATCTCCCTTAAAAGACATGATATGACCTGCCAAACTTGTACAACTATTACCTGGCGGCACAGTTAGCACAGATCGCCATGTGGCACTCGACACCTGATGAACTCAGGTGGGTAGATCTTGAATCCGGCATGATGGGAGCAGACCTGCCCCAATTCGACCTGCCCCTTCACACTCAGTGCCCTGCGGTCTTAAACTCCCTTCGAGTCTGGGATGCCGTAGCCCTGAAATAATGACAAATTAACTACATCACCCTCACCCATGATGCCTATACTAAGAAATAGGGCATTCCCCCCAGGAAATCAAAGCCAGCGGCTACAAAAACATAGAAGGCACGGGCTTACAGAGGGCGGTCCACTTATACGAGGGAGACAAAGTAATGACATTTGAGGCATTGAAAGAAAGGACCTGATTAAAACCCACAGATTTCTTTAGGTATCTACAAATCTGAGACTTCACACAACACAACCTAGCAAAAAGAGCGGCTCACAATACACTAACGGGCTTTGAACAGATGTGCCTCAGAGAAAACCCCCCGAAGGGACTCATCACCTCCTTGTACGCTCACCTGAGCTCCAATAGCACCGAATGGGGAGAATTACATTACACAACACAGTGGGAATCTGACCTAGGAGAGGTCCTAGAGGGCACAGAATGGAGGGAAATATGGGAAGCAAATATGGCCACCTCAATATGCGTCACACAGCAAGAACAAGCATACAAAACCATGTTTCGATGGTACACTACACTGGTAAAGCTATACCATATGCGCAAGTCTCCAGATGACTTGTGCTGGAGGGGTTGTGGACACAAGGGGACATATAAACACATTTGGCGGGACTTCCCTAAAGCACAGGCCTTCTGGGAGGAGGTACGGGGTCTTCTGGAGAAGGTGTTCCAGAGACGGGTGAAAAGAGACCCATGGGTGTTCCTACTGTCCACAACAGTAGACGACTGGCCAAGAGGGGAACAAAAACTACTAAACAAACTCACCTGAGTGGCCAGGCAAACTATGGCACAAGTTTGGCTCAAACCTGAAACCCCCCAGTTGAACATGACTCTAAACAAAATAAAAGACACACATGTAATGGACCACCTAACAGCCCAGGTAAGAGGTACAACAAAATCATACGAGAAAGTCTGGGAGTTGTGGATGGCTAGGGATTGGGGGGACTAGGGAGACAGGAGCTGGGAGGGGGAACAATCACCCCTACATCCAGTAAAAAGAATCCCACCCCTGGCCGGCCGGCCCCAGGGTCCGTGAACCCACGACTGCCACGAAACTCCCGCCGGGCCAACCAATCTCGAATAGGCTAGTACCTGACTATGGAAGCCAAACCAAATCGAGCTGGAACAACCTCCTCACTCAGAACCCCGACCACAAGAGGGACACTATCCTTCTCCCCCCCTTTCTCCTTTTACCACTATTTATCCTGTTCTGTTTCCTCTTCTCCATTTTCTCCACTTTTACTACTACTGGTGAGAGTGTCTTCAGACCACGGATAATATAGCAAACACACCGCTACAGCCGTGGCTCAACGGTGACTATGTCTAAAAGCACACTCTCCACTGGTCAATGTTAATTTACTGTGTTAAGTTTTTGATTAATGAAACAATGGTGTAGCAAGCTATCCCCTACAGGGGCTGGGTAATCAACCACTGAGGAGCATACGACGACCTCTGAACCTGTACCCATATCAAAAATGCATGTAATGCGTAATGTTTTTCTTGATTATAAGATGTGATGCAATGACACACAAAAAATAAAGAATTATAAAAAAAAAAAAGACATGATATGTGGCAATCGTGGTTAACGACAATAGATTCTCCAGGAAACACTATCTAGAGAAACTGGTTTAGATAATAATGCCTTGTAGCTTTCTACTATGATTGAGTTCTGATTTAGCCCTTTCTCCCCCGCAAGAAAACAGAGAATGTGTATTTAGATGTATATGTTAGTCTTTCTTTTCTATTTAATAGTGGTATGTATAGATGCTTTGCTTGGCAACTGTAATTTTGCTATGTTTTTTATGCTGCTAAAGCTGATGTCTTACACTTGAAGTTTTTTTATTAAGATTAAAAAAAAAAAAAGTGGTGAAAATGGACAGAATTTACTATAAAGAAAGTAGTCACATTTTAGATTACATTAATAAGTAAATATTCCCATATATTCTTGTCTTTGTGTTGACTAGATTAAGATAAATGTTAATCAAGAGTGAACCCATATATTTTTCTTATATTTATATCTTTGTTATTTATTATTGTGGTAAAAATAATAGGAAGAGTAAAATGAACATTTCCATATATGGTTTTAATTTACTTATACATGTAAAATGAGAGTTTTACTATACTATAATATACTATACTATATAACAAAAGTATTTTTAGTGTATAATAAGTATTGGTTAATACATACAGCAATTGCGAGTATCACAGAGTCAAGTTCAATTTTGCCCAAATGTCCACAAAAAATACAGCTCACAATATTGACCAGGAATACCATAATCTGAGATAAGAACTGAAAAAGAGAGAAATACATTTAGTATGCTTTCAAAAAATTAGGTTATAGATTCCCAATTTAAATATACAAAAATACATTTACACCACACTATATATCATTGTATCTTCAACTTCTTTCTATCCTCCATTTATCTCCATGTATTTTCCTTTATATTTATACATTTATATATTCCATTTTTATCATCTGCCCTTTAAAGTAGATAGCTGCACTTGTTACTATAGTATACCCATATATTACAGTTTTAGGCTTAAAATTACAAATCGTAACTGTGATCTATTGGTCATAGCTCCCTCCCACCTGCAGATAGAGAAAATACAATGATCATTTAATTTCATGAGTTAATGGGGTTTAACCCAAAAGCACAGGGGGCTGAATACATATAGCACGCCAAATCTGACAACACTGGAACAGAGAAAAATTAGAAATAAATATCTAGTGCAATCAAAGACTACATTTCCAGATCAGAAATGTAAATTAACAGTTTCTATAGTAGTGTTTAAGCCTGTTATTCAATTGTGTTCTGCATCAACTCAAAGTTCACTAATCTGTTTGAAAAGATGAACGTATAATTTTTTTTCTGGAATTTGAACCCCAGATTTGTTTTTTTTCCTCTGAGAAGAAGGTTACTAAGTATACTTAAAGGCTATTAAAATATGATCCAGGGCAGCACTGGGTTTGCCCTATGTATGTGTGTCAGGGCTGGCCCAAGACACAGTGCTGCCCTAGATCACACGCCCACTCTAACTAATTTGACACACTCTCAATGACAGACCCTCTAACTGATCCATTCTCTGTTCACACTGTGCCATCCTCACATATATAACACTATGATATGCTGTCATGTACCTATTCTCTATACATTGTGTGTGGCATATTACTGTAAATGAGGACCTGCATGTGCACTGTGCCATCCTCACATATATAACATGTATAACACATATAAATAGCCAACACAATTGTAACTATATTGTCCATTTAATAAAGTGATATATGGGTTGGCCAGCTCTAAATTATTAACGAATGGTATTATACTTAGAGACCCTACCTGCCACCAGCACCTGCCTATTGGCAGTGGGTGTGGGATCTAAATATAGTAGTGTGGAACCTATGGTACCACCAGCCCCAACCCATTGGTGGTGGATGGGGGCTCCAGATAATAAATGGGTGATATTCACTTAGAATTAGTAAATTAGCTGAAAGACTCAGAATAAGAAAAAGATGGCCCTTCAGCTTCTTAATAGACAGCTCCCTTGTTACGTACACTTATGACATCACACAGGTCCCCACCAGATAATTGTTGTCATAATAAAAATATTCAGTGGTTCCCAACCCAATCCTCAAGTACCAACCTAACAGCTCAGGATTTAGGGATTATCCAATTGTGTCTAAGGGGGTTTTGAAAGAAAAAAAAAACACAAGTAAAAACACGTTAGACACAACAGAGTAATCCCTAAATCCTGGACTGGTATGGGGGTACTTGAAGACTGGGAACCTCTGGTCTAATTTGTACCCTTATATATGGCAATCCCACAAGGGTATACGTTTTGGACGTTATCTACTAAGCAGCTGTAAAATGCATCCGTACAAACATCATTCATTATCTGTCTGTTTGTGATATAGTGGAAAAGTGTTAGGCGTTTATATAACACCACAGTGCTGTATGTAAGTGAACCCTTTTCCGAAAGGAAACAATATCAGTAATTCAATCTTTTACCACTGGCAATAGATTTTTTTTCTTTATTATGACAACAATTATCGGTTGGGGACCAGCCCTAAGTACCCCAATGAATGAGCCACCACTGGGCTCAATGCTTTAATATTTTGCATAGTTGCATAGTTATTCACACTGATAGTTAACACTCACACATTTAGTTAGAAATAAAAACAAATCTTAAGTGAACTCCATCCGAGTTTTTAGCCATTTCACCTGTGCCAGAGTACCCATAGTCCATAATCTTTGTAACCATGGGCATCCGCAGTGGGGTGGGGGGGAGGTGTCAAAGGGGGGCACTCCCCCCTCCCTGGATTTTTCAGCTTGTTCTGCTATTTTTTTGTGTGGATTGAAAATACACTGCAATACCGGCGCCGGCCAATAGGTGGATAGAGACAGGGATAGGAAGCTACATCGTATCCCAGCTTCTCTCTCCTGACTGAATCCACAGGGGAGCAGCACATGCAGCCAGCAACTCCCAGCATGCAGAGACAGCCTACAGTTAAGGCAGGTGAGGCATGGGTGGTGGGGGGAGAGATAGCCTATAGATCAGGGAAGTTTGGCATAGGGGGCAGCCTAAAGAACAGGGAAGTTTGGCATGGGGGCAGCCTATAGATCAGGGAAGTGAAAGGGCATGGAGGGAAGCAGCCCATAGATCAGGAAGGAGGCATGTGCAGCAGCCATAGATCAGGAAGGAGGCATGGGGGCAGCAGACTATAGATCAGGGAAGCGAGGCAGCAGCCCATAGATCAGGGATCTAGATGCATAGGGGTCAGCAGCCCATAGATCAGGAAGTGAGGCATGCAAAGGTAGCCCATAAGACTCGGGCGAAGTGAGGCACAGGGGGGGCAGAAACCTATAGATGAGGGAACTGAGGCATGGGGGGCAGCAGCCTATAGATCAGGGAAGTGAGGCATAGGGGGCGGCAGCCTATAGATCAGGGAAGTGAGGCATGGGAGGGCAGCAGCCTATAGATCAGGGACATTAGGTGTAGGGGCAGCAGCCTATAGATCAGATAAGTGAGGGGGGGAAGGGGGAAGACAGCCTATAGATCAGGGAAGTGAGGGATGGGGAAGCGGCCTATAGATCAGGGAAGTGAGGCATGGGGGGCAGCCTATAGATCAGGGATGTAGAGGGCATAGGGGGCAGCATATAGATCAGGGGAAGTGAGGATTGGGGGGCCTAGATCAGGGAAGGAGGATGGGGGGCAGCCTATAGATCAGGCAAGTGAGAGATGGGGGATCCACCTACAAATCAGGGAAGTGAGGGATGGGCAGGGAGACAGCCTATAGATCAGGTAAGTGAGGGATGGGAGGCAGCCTATAAATCAGGGAAATGAGGGATGGGGGTCAGCCTACAGATCAGAGAAGTTAGAGATGGGGGGATTCACCTACAGATCAGGTAAGTGAAGGATGGTGGGGGGGGAGACAGCCTATAGATCAGGTAAGTGAGCGATGGGGGGAGGCAGCCTATAGATCAGGTAAGTAAGGGATGGGGGAGACAGCCTACAGGAAGGGTCAGCAAGGAGCAGGAAAGTAAAGTAAGAGAAGGAGCAGAAATGAGAACGAATAGAAATCAATGAGCTGGAAGGGACATCAAGGAGCTGGAAGGGACAGCAAGGAGCACAACAACAGGTAAAGTGGGAGAAGGAGCACAAAGGAACAGAAATGAGCAGGGAGGGGCAGCAAGGAGCAGGATGGGTCTGCAAGGAGAAGGAAGGGTCAGCAAGAAGCAGGAAGGGGCAGCAAGGAACTGGAAGGTAAAGTAGCACAACGGTAAAGTAGAAGGAGCAGAAAGGGTCAGCAAGGAGCTGAAAAGGGCAGCAAGGAGCAGAAAGGGACAGAAGGAGCACAAAGGTGAAGTAGGAGAAGGAACAGAAATGAGCAGGAAGGGACATCAAGGAGCAGAAAGGGTAAGCAGTGAGCTGGAAGGGGGAGAAGAAGCACAAACGTAAAGTAGGCGAAGGAGCAGAAATTAGCAGAAAGGGTCAGCAAGGAGCAGGAAATGTCTGCAATGAGCAGCAAGGGGCAGCAAGGAGAAGGAAGGATCTGCAAGGGGCAGGGGGGTCTGCAAGGAGCAGGAGAGCAGGAAGGGTCTGCAAGGAGAAGGAAAGGTCTGCAAAGAGCAGAAAGGGACACAAGGAGCACAAAGGTAAAGGAGCAGAAAGAATCAGAAGGAGCACAAAGGTAAAGTAGGAGAAGGGGCAGAAAAGGGTAGCAAGGATCACAAAGGTAAAGTAGGAGAAGGAGCAGAAATAGTCTGCAAGGAGCAGAAACGGATCAGAGAGAGAAAGGAACAGAAGGGGGAGCAAAATAAGCAGAAAGTAGCAGAAAGGTAAAGGAGCAGAAGGAGCCAAGGAGGAGAGAAGACAGTGTCAGAAGAAAAAGAATACTGTGTCAAATGAAGGAGAAGAAAAGGAGATTGGAGCAGGAAGGAACCCTCCACTTTATTCTGGACACCACATCATAAGGCTTTGGTACCTGGGCTAGGCAGGGAAACTTTGGACCTTCTCATCTCCCCAGGTAAAAAAAATATTAGTGTTAATGTGTTCACTTTTATTTACTGAGTGTCAGTGCACAGAGTGCCACTGGGTAGTGGTGTTGTTGATTGACTAGAGCGGTCAGCTGTCACTCTAAGCCAATCAGTAGCTCCCCATTCATAAAAAATTTAAACATTTTTATGAACCGGGAACTAGCAATTGGCTTAGAGCGTCATCTGACCACTCTAGCCAATCTGCAGCATCCATGCCTGACATCAATCTGCACTGACACTCCGTTTCAGAAGCCGAATACCCAGGGCCGGATTAACATAGGGGCTGATGGAGCTGCAGCTCCAGGCCCAGGCCCAGGCCCATGGAATAGGCCCATTTAAAAAAAAAAAAAAAAATGTATTTATTTATTTATTTATTTTTTAAACACACTACTCTTAGGTTTGCCACCTGACTGGTATTTTAATGGCACAGACGGTATTTGAGGCTGCCTGGCCGTGCCGATATTGCAGTAATACCAGCAATACAAATGCAGGTAATTTTCTCAGAATAAATGGAAATTACTCTGCAATACCAGCACCGGCCAGTAGGGGGTCACTGTGTGTGGAGAGAGGCAGGGATAGGAAGTTACAGAATATCCCTCCCTGCCTCTCTCCACTACTCACTGATCCGTGGGGGAGCAGCTACACAGCACAGAGAGTCCAGACAGCAGCTCTACAGCTCAGGTAAGTGAGGGATGGGGGAAAAGGCAGCAGGGACACATGGGGACACTGAGACACTAGGTGACATATGGGACACTGAGACACTAGGGGACACATGATGACACATACACTAGGGGACACTGAGACACTAGGACACAGACACTGGGAGACCTGGGAACACTGAGACACTTGGGGACACTGGAAAATATGGGGACACTGAGACACTAGGGGACACTGAGACACTTGGGGACATATGGGGACACAGACACTAGGGGACACATGGGGACACAGACACTTGGAGACCTGGGGACACAGACACTTGGGGACACTGGAAAACATGGGGACACTGAGACACTAGGGGACACTGGGACACATGGGGATGCTGAGACACATGGGGACGCTGTGAGACATAGGGACATTGGGAGACATTGGGACACGGAGACACCATGGCCCCCAGCCAGTGTCCCTAGTGTTTCAGTGTCCCCAAGTCTCCCAGTGTCTGTGTCCCATGTCTCTCAGTGTGCCAAGTGTCCCCATGTGTCCCAGTGTCCCCATGTCTATGTCCACAACTGTCCCCATGTCTCCCCAAGTGTCTGTCTCCCAGCCAGTGTCCCCTAGTCTCCCAGTATCCGTTAGTCTGCCAGTATCCCCTAGTCTCCCAGTCTTTGCGTCCCTAGTGTCTTAGTGTCCCCAAATGTTTCAGTATCTCCATGTCTCCCAGTGTCTGTGTTCCTAGTGTCTCAGTGTGCCTGGTGCCCCCATGTTTCCCAGTGTCCCTATATGTCCCAGTGTCCACATGTCTATGTCCACAACTGTCCCCATGTCTCACAGTGTCCCCAAGTGTCTGTCTCCCAGCCAGTGTCCCCTAGTCTCCCAGTGTCTGTGTTCCCATGTCTGTGTCCCTAGTGTCTTAGTGTCCCCAAATGTTTCAGTGTCCCCATGTCTCAGTGTCCCCATTTCTCCCAGTTTCCCTAAATGTGTCAGTGTCCCCATGTCTCTGTGTCCCCGGGTCTCTCAGTGTCCCCATGTCTCTCAGTGTCCCCAGTATCTTAGTGACATGGGGACACACTTAGACATTGGGACACTGGGAGAAATGGGGACACAGACACTGGGAGACTAGGGTCTGGGCGACATGGGGACACTGACACTGTGATACATAGGGACACTGAGACACTGGGTGACTTGTGAGACTGAGACACTGGGAGACAGGGAGACACTGGGAGCGATCCATCTATACAGCAGAATCCAACTGTGAGTAGTTTGTTGGTGATTTTACAGAATTTTCTCTGATGTCACACCTTGTGATTTACATCATGTGATGTCACGCATAACTAATTAATTATACAAATGATTAAGGCTGGTATTTTTTTCCAAGAAAGGTGGCAACCTTAACTACTCTTCACATACTCTTGCTTAAAGGAGCACTATAGTGTCAGGAACACAATCATGTGTTTCTTACCCTATTACGTTAAAACCACCACCCTGGCCCCTTCTTGCCTCTCTAAATATAGTAAAATATTACTTGTATTCAATTATGCAGCTACTGACTCAGAAGTGGTGGTCTGAGCAAATTACAATACTTCCCCATAGGATTGGCTGAGACTGTCAACTAGGCAGATCTGGGGCAGAGCCAGACCCTCAGCATCTCCTCATAAAGATAAATTGAATCAATGCATCTCTATGAGGAAAGTTCAGTGTCTGCATCCAGAGGGTGGAGACACTAAATGGCAGTGCTGCACACTAGGCCGTACTGCCCCAGGAAGCACCTTTAGCAGCCATCTAAGGAGCGGCCAGTGGAGTTATTTTCTCTGAAAAGACAGTGTTTACTGCAAAAAGCCTGAATGGAATGATTCTACTTACCAGAACAAATACAATAAGCTGTAGTTGTTCTGGTGACTATAGTGTCCCTTTAAGTTTGGAAGCTTAAGAGGGATGTATGGGAACAAAACTTGTGTGCACTGGTTGACATTAAAGTTAATTTAGGTAATGCAGACGTTGGTCTCTCTAACACTGTGGCATGTCCCCTTTCTTCTACACTCACTACAGACACCTGTTCTCTGTCTCAGACTATATACCAGGAACTTCTGCCTGCTAGTAAGAAGGTAAGGAGACAAGTGGACCAGCGCGTGCTGGGGGAAAGTCCTTAGAAAGCATGGAGTGAGCACATCATTAGACGCATTTATGTCAAGCTCAAGGTGCTGCCTGCATAGTATGCCCTTAGTTGGACAGCCTGCAGGATTGGCAGGCAGCCTGACATGCATTCATGCCAGGCTGACCTTCCAATTCTTTGGACAAATATGCCCCCTTTTTAGGGCATGTTCACCCCTTTTGGAAGGTCTTGTCACGTAATTCGCGCCAGTGGCACACCCTTTTACAATAACCATTAACTTCCTGCTTCACTGAACACTGCTGTTAGGGGTTATGGACTTACTTGAAGGATGAAAGCATAAATTAGAGAGAGATTAGCACAGAGTATGTGTTTTCTTATAGCTGCATCCTATGAGTTTCCCTCCAGCACCATCTCCATCAGATACATGACGCTTGGGAGGTATGATTGTTTCAGGTCGATAAGATTCCGTAATTAGGCCCATCATAATTGTCAGCACCAGGCCCACTGTGCTCTTAATCCGGCCCTGCGAATACCACTGAGCGACCCTGAGATCTGGAGCTGGAGGAAGCCTTTGAGGTTAAACCATTTGAGAGCGGTTAAACCCCTTAAAGGAAAGAGAACACCCAGGGGCTTCCTGGCATCATAACATTTTCAATTTAGATGAAGTTGTTATGGTGACCAAAATGTTCCTTTAATTTGCTTAAAGGAACACTATAGTGTCAGGAATCCAAACATGTATTCCTGACATCATAGTTGGGGAAAATCCCCGGAAAAAAATAACAGCAAAGTCTATTTCACAACAAACTGACAATAACCTGAAAATATGGATAGCTATTCCCTTAAGAACTAATGATTTTGGTCAGAAAACATTATCGATCTGGCTATTGATGCTGATTTGTAATATAGCCATTTATTAGACACTGCATTTACTTCCATCCTGAGGATAGTAACAGAAAAGGAAATGCAGCAAAAGGTGTATGAATTTCTCAAAAATTCCCAGGTTAACATTTTTCCTTGATCCAAGACTATACAATGATCACTTACAGAACTACATAAATGTTTTCAAAAGCCCAGTTTAAATCTAAATGTTTTTGATTAAAAAAAAATGCAAGTGAGGGAAGTTAGGATAGCAATAAATGACCATGTACATTCTTTTCCCTCTTTTTTGTGTGCAATTGTCCAATTCTTGATTTTCCAACAGTAGTCCAATATTTCAATACAAATTCAATACTATTTACAGACAAACGTATACACATGTACTGGTTTTACAAATGATTTGTTCAGTAATGTGTTACATGCATATAAACCACTTTCTTCCCTTACCACAGGTCCAGCCAGCGCACACTGCTCCTTCAATTCATCCAGAAAGCCAGGGGACAGCAGTTGGCAAGCCCCCTGGTAGAGCCACATGTTTTTTTTGAGAGGGGAGCTTTCTTCCAGGAACTGCCAGCCCCCATTACTGTGTTTCTTCAGACTCTTCATTACAATATCTTACTTTGTTACACAGTTTTCATAGTACATACTCTCCTCAGCCAGGTAACTCTACAGGTTGCGAATCTCCGCCCCTAATAGTACAGGTTTAGTAAGTTTATTGACTGAAATGATTGTTCCAGTATAGATACTTTGTCAGTGTCAAATGTCAGAAGGATGCACCTTGTTATGTAAAACGTGTTGGGTGTTTGACTGAATTAGTATATGACGACCTATTATGATTTTTATGAATTGCACATCCTAAACAAGAATACTGCACCTGTGTGAAGCTACGCCCAGTACAAACGGTACTAATAAAAAATCCAATGTGTACTTGTTACATTTGTGCTGCGTTTATTATTAAGGTAATTACTGATTAAATAAAGGACACCCATACCCCTTACAAAAGACATAATTTTCCCTGTCAAAAAACTGTTATATCTAAAAAAACAAAGCAATTCAAATACAAATTTAAACAGTACAAACGCAGCACTAACCAACCAGCTCGGTTTCATGTTGTTTGGCTGTTGTAGAGGAGCTGTTGACGTTTTGTGATATTTATTAAACGTTAATAACTCAAAAATGAAATGAGATTGAAAGGATCTTCAATTGGCACAAACCAGCACATTATTAGGCCAAATAACTACAATAAAAAATTGTGCAGCACTGTCCCCAGGAAGCACCTCTTGTGGCCATCTGAGTGACGGCCACTGAAGGTGTTATTACCTCTAAAACAGTTTACGGTGCTAAAAGACTGGAATAACCACTCCCCCTAGTGGACACACATAGACAATCCAAAGAACAAAGAATACAAACTGCACACCTTAATAGTAAAATATATTTTTATTAAACATTAAAAGTATAATAAAAAATAACACAGGAATATTGTTCTTTGGATTAGCAATATAAACACTTCCTTTTCTCTGAAAAGATAGTGTTTATATAAAAAAAAATCCTGCAGGGAAGGACTATACTCACCAGAACACAATAACAACTTAATTTAGATTATGTTGGGTTGGTGGTGGGAGTGTTCCTTTAAGATTTTTTTTTTTTATTAAGAGTGTTGCTATATTAGACAAAACAAACATTGTTTGAGAGATTACACAAAGTTAATATATTATCTTACATGGATCAACTCTAAAGATATTACGATAATATAAATTTAATAAGTGCATGAAAGGATCACTATAGTGTCAGGAAAACAAAGCGGTTTTCCTGACACTATAGTGCCCTGAGGGTGCCCCCACCCTCAGGGTCCCACTCCCGTGGCCCTGAAGGGGTTAAAACCCCTTCAGTTACTTACTTTAATCCAGTGTCGGGCTCCGGTGCTGGTGACCTCTCCTCCCCCGCCGACGTCAGCTCCCTCTCCCGACGTCAGCAGAGCCGAATGCGCATGCGCGGCAAGTGCCACGCGCGCATTCAAAGTGTCCATAGGAAAGCATTTCTCAATGCTTTCCTATGGACGCTCTTCGCAATGGAGGCGAAATGTGTCACCAGCGTCGCAGGTGCGCCTCTAGTGGCTGTCCGGAAGACAGCCACTAGAGGCTGGATTAACCCCAAATGTAAACATAACAGTCTCTCTGAAACTGCTATGTTTGCATCTGAAGGGTTAAAACCTGAGGGACCTGGCACCCAGACCACTTCATTGAGCTGAAGTGGTCTGGGTGACTATAGTGTCCCTTTAAACTTGTGTTCCCGTGACTATAGTGTCCCTTTAATGCTATAATCAGTCTTTGATTCACTCACATAGTATGCTGTTTGCTCACAGTTTCAATGACAGGCCAGAGATACAAACTTGCTAATCATCTGCGGCACTCCTACTTGACTTTGAGACAATCTAAGTTTGTGGAAGATATGCAATGTCACAGGTTAAGGTGTTATAAAGAATTACAGACTAGGTGGTAGTTGGTGATGTAGAGGTGGTGAAGGGGCCTAGCAAAGCACACAAGGGGGGTGGAAAGACACTCGAGCGGTGAGGGTGTTGCAGAGAGACACACTACAAAGAATAAGGAGAAGTAAAAAAATGCAGTAAGAGGAGAAACACACACACACATACAAGACTTTTAAGGTTCAGGGGTGAGAAGGTATGTCAAATACCCTATGTATGCCTCTGGTATGTATGCCCTTCAGTTACTTACTTTAATCCAGCATCGGGCTCCGGCGCTGGTGACCTCTCCTCCCCCGCCGACGTCAGCTCCCTCTCCCGACGTCAGCAGAGCTGAATGCGCATGCGCGGCAAGTGCCTTGCGCGCATTCAAAGTGTCCATAGGAAAGCATTTCTCAATGCTTTCCTATGGACGCTCTGCGCAACGGAGGCGAAATGTGCCACCAGCGTCGCAGATGCGCCACTAGAGGCTGGATTAACCCCAAATGTAAACATAGCAGTCTCTCTGAAACTGCTATGTTTGCATCTGAAGGGTTAAAACCTGAGGGACCTGGCACCCAGACCACTTCATTGAGCTGAAGTGGTCTGGGTGACTATAGTGTCCCTTTAAACTTGTGTTCCCGTGACTATAGTGTCCCTTTAATGCTATAATCAGTCTATGATTCACTCACATAGTATGCTGTTTGCTCACAGTTTCAATGACAGGCCAGAGATACAAACTTGCTAATCATCTGCGGCACTCCTACTTGACTTTGAGACAATCTAAGTTTGTGGAAGATATGCAATGTCACAGGTTAAGGTGTTATAAAGAATTACAGACTAGGTGGTAGTTGGTGATGTAGAGGTGGTGAAGGGGCCTAGCAAAGCACACAAGGGGGGTGGAAAGACACTCGAGCGGTGAGGGTGTTGCAGAGAGACACACTACAAAGAATAAGGAGAAGTAAAAAAATGCAGTAAGAGGAGAAACACTCACACACATACAAGACTTTTAAGGTTCAGGGGTGAGAAGGTATGTCAAATACCCTATGTATGCCTCTGGTTTTCATTTAAAAGCAAGTTTAAGACATGAGATCCTGTTTGGTTGGTTTGTAAAAGAAACAGCAGGTAAACCTTTTTTAACTTATAAGCTAAAAAACCTGCAACTAGGATAATGAAACAAACTATGTTAAAGTGCAACGGTGTATAATTGAACTAATCTGTCAAGGAACAATAAATCCAATTTTTATCAGAGGCAAGGAGTCGTGGGCTACATTCCTAATATTGTGTATGCGGGTAACTGATTAGATTAATTATGTAAGTTTAGGTCATACTACATCTATATCATATTTTATATGTACCACTGTGGTGTACATAGTGTGTGCTTATCTCTCAGATGATAACAGCTATGAGCTTAAATAGAAAATCCCATGTTTTGAATCCCTTTCACAGTCAGGGCTCCATCTTTAAAATGCCTCATGAAGAAATTATGGCTTCTGTCCATACAGAAGACATTATGTCGAAGAGATACTACTATCTTTCACGAACGTAGTGCATTACAATCAAGCTGTCTCTAAAACAGCCTTCTGTGTCTTGCCTAGGATTAGACCACAGTTCAGTCAGCAGTTGTTCCTCTATCTACCTGGCTTAGCAATACAAACACATTAACCACATACTTGTTCTGGACAGCATATTCTTTTTGTGTTTTCCACCTCTGTATACCTCTGTCTCAAATTTTATGGGATAGAACAAATCTAAATATTTATCCCATCATCATTGAGGATATCAATTTGCAAATGATGTTTTGATGATTTTTCCAGGTCAGTTATTTTGGAATCCCTTTTTCATGTTGGTTGTCAACACTGTAAAACTCCTACTTGATAAGCTACTTAGTCCAGTGTATCCTGGTTTGCCATCATCTCCAGCCTTGAGTGTCCCATTACACTCACTTGCAAGTGCAACCAATGGCCAAAGGGTGCTTGTTATTATCAGCATGTCCTTTGATGCTGTTGTACTACGACTGCTTGTGATCTCTAGGAGTACAGTGTTCCTCTGTGGCTCTTCCGTTAATTAGCACGAGTGTCAAATACACTATTAAAATCAACCTTTATTCAAACCTATGGTTTATTAAATCATAGTCACTACCCTTCTAACATGTTGCAAGTTAATACTATTGCAGAAACTAGGTTTGCTGAATGTGCTATTCCTACTTTCGTGTAGGTAGTTTCTAAGCAGTAGCTCCTGAATTTGACCCATTAATCATTCCAATGACATCCCCAACACATATGGCATTTTATTTAGTATTCATCAAGCATGCCACATGACCCACAAACACTTGGTATCCATTAATCACCAATACAGCACCCACACACTGATTTCACACATATTATTGATGGGATGCTGTGGCATCACACATAAGAGGCCACAAATAGAGACATTAGCATTGTGTGTGGTGGTGTTAGTTTTATTAACTGAATTCTGTATTTTTTCTCGACACCCTCATGGTAGGGAAGTTGGTATTTTGTAGTGCATTAACATTATTATACCTAAACAAGGCATCTGCACTGGGAAGACAAGGTAGCTGCTTTGGTCATGTGAATAAAGTGCTTGTGTCCTATTGTTTTGCATATAAATGTTTCTTATGTAGATTGATTAAGCAATCTAAAAATAGCAGAAAGATCAGTTCAACAGACAACCTCTAACACAATGATCTTGGTATACTACCGAGAATAATTTATTTTAAGGTTCCTCCATTCAGACGTTCCACTCATATTATGTTCCATTCAAATGTTTACTGGTAATTTGTCCTTTGCCAATGATACATTTAAATATTATACCAATAATCAGTGTAGCCACAGCTAAAACTACAGCCAAACCACGCCAAACAATCAACTGCTTCACTGTAAGAACATCTCCAACAATGTTTTCCTGTGCAGTTGTGGAATCTTCTTTCTGAGCGGACATATCTTCATACTCCCCGGCAGATTCATTGTCTGATAAAATAGGATGTTCATCTGTACTGACGTGTTGCTTTATATTACATTCTAGCTCAATGGACTGAATGTTACCTGTGATAAGCAGAAAAGAATGCTTTGTTATATGAACAAAAATCGGTACAGTTATGCAGAAATTATGCCTAATTGCACATTAACATAATCCTGTTTGTTTACTTAAAGGGTCTCGGGAATTGACACAATTAAATAAAGCATTGTCAATAACCATGTTGTAAATAAGCACCCATAACTTGTGTTAACCTTTATAAAATTTTCATTTAAATTGTTGTTAAAGATTTATCAAGTTACATCATAATCTAGTTAAAACGTGGAAAAGCCTGAGCCAATATTGCAAATGACGACGAGAAACAGAAACATTGTTCCATTTCTAGAACCAGAGTAAATAAATAAAAAAAAAACATCATTTCATTTCTAGAACAAAAGCAAAAAAAACAAACCCCATTATCCCATTTCTAGAGCGAAAGCAAAAACAAAAAAAGTTCCCTGCACACTATTCCAAATCCCAGTGCACAAATAAATAACAAAAGGTTTTTAGTACCACTTGAATAGACATCAAATTGCAAGCTCATCAGCCTTACCAAGGCCAATCTCTTAGGGGTGTCCTATAATCCTTTAAGAGATATTTTTTATTTTGGTTTTATAAAAGGGGTATTTTTTTACTTTATTTTTATTAAAGGGGTATTTTTTTTTTTTTTACAAAACCCTACACACCATATTAACCCCTTCAGGACGGAGTCAATAGTACACGTTCTGATCAAAACAAAACGAAAACAAAAACTGGAATTTGCGCTATATGTCTGTTCAACCGTAATTCACCGCTGTCACATTAAGTGCACCCACTCTTATTATATATCATTTTGTTCAGGAGAAACAGGGCTTTAATTTATCATTAAAGGATTATTATTCATATATGGAACATAATTTATTATGAATAAAATTTTAAAAAATGTGAGAAAATAAGATTTTTTCTCTAGATTTGTATTTCCGTCTGACATTTTAGCTGTTAATGTCATAATACTGTTAGGTTTTACTGCAAAAAAATGCCCATATTTGTAATCAGCGATGTCTCACAAGTACAACAGTACCCCCATTAACAGGTTTTATGGTGTTTTGGAAAGTTACAGGGTCAAACATAGAACGTTCCATTTTCAAATTGAAATTTGCCAGATTAGTAATGTTACCTTTGAGATGGTGTGGTAGCTCAGGAATGAGAATTACCCCCATAATGGCATACCATTTGAAAAAGTAGACAACCCAAGGTATTGAAAGTGGGGTATGTTTAGTCTTTATTTGTAGCCACTTAGTCACAAACACTGGCCAAAGTTAGAGTTCATATTTGTTTTTGTGTGAAAAAAGCAAAAAACTAATATTTTGCCAGTATTGGTGACTAAGTGGCTACTAAGAAAGACTGGACATACCCCACTTGCAATACCTTGGGTTGTCTACTTTTGCAAATGGTATGCCATCATGGGGGTAATTTTCATTCTTGGGCTACCATACGCTCTCAAAGGCAACATAACCAATCTGGCAAATTTCAATGTCAAAAAAATGAAATGCAAGTCTTATATGTGACTCTCTAACTTTCCAAAACACCATAAAACCTGTACATGGGGGGGTACTGTTATTATCGGGAGACTTCACTAAACACAAATATTAGTGTTTTAAAACAGTAAAACATCTTACAACAATAATATAGTCCATAAAAGTGCAGTTTGTTTGTAAAAAATGCAAAAAACTTCACTTTTACTTAAAATATCATCGTTGTAATATATTTTATCATTTTGAAACACTAATATTTGAGTTCAGCGAAGTCTCCTGAGTAAAGCAGTACCCCCTATGTACAGGTTTTATGGTGTCTTGAAGAGTTAAAGGGTCAAATATACAGGGAGTGCAGAATTATTAGGCAAATGAGTATTTTGACCACATCATCCTCTTTATGCATGTTGTCTTACTCCAAGCTGTATAGGCTCGAAAGCCTACTACCAATTAAGCATATTAGGTGATGTGCATCTCTGTAATGAGAAGGGGTGTGGTCTAATGACATCAACACCCTATATCAGGTGTGCATAATTATTAGGCAACTTCCTTTCCTTTGGCAAAATGGGTCAAAAGAAGGACTTGACAGGCTCAGAAAAGTCAAAAATAGTGAGATATCTTGCAGAGGGATGCAGCACTCTTAAAATTGCAAAGCTTCTGAAGCGTGATCATCGAACAATCAAGCGTTTCATTCAAAATAGTCAACAGGGTCGCAAGAAGCGTGTGGAAAAACCAAGGCGCAAAATAACTGCCCATGAACTGAGAAAAGTCAAGCGTGCAGCTGCCACGATGCCACTTGCCACCAGTTTGGCCATATTTCAGAGCTGCAACATCACTGGAGTGCCCAAAAGCACAAGGTGTGCAATACTCAGAGACATGGCCAAGGTAAGAAAGGCTGAAAGACGACCACCACTGAACAAGACACACAAGCTGAAACGTCAAGACTGGGCCAAGAAATATCTCAAGACTGATTTTTCTAAGGTTTTATGGACTGATGAAATGAGAGTGAGTCTTGATGGGCCAGATGGATGGGCCCGTGGCTGGATTGGTAAAGGGCAGAGAGCTCCAGTCCGACTCAGACGCCAGCAAGGTGGAGGTGGAGTACTGGTTTGGGCTGGTATCATCAAAGATGAGCTTGTGGGGCCTTTTCGGGTTGAGGATGGAGTCAAGCTCAACTCCCAGTCCTACTGCCAGTTCCTGGAAGACACCTTCTTCAAGCAGTGGTACAGGAAGAAGTCTGCATCCTTCAAGAAAAACATGATTTTCATGCAGGACAATGCTCCATCACACGCGTCCAAGTACTCCACAGCGTGGCTGGCAAGAAAGGGTATAAAAGAAGAAAATCTAATGACATGGCCTCCTTGTTCACCTGATCTGAACCCCATTGAGAACCTGTGGTCCATCATCAAATGTGAGATTTACAAGGAGGGAAAACAGTACACCTCTCTGAACAGTGTCTGGGAGGCTGTGGTTGCTGCTGCACGCAATGTTGATGGTGAACAGATCAAAACACTGACAGAATCCATGGATGGCAGGCTTTTGAGTGTCCTTGCAAAGAAAGGTGGCTATATTGGTCACTGATTTGTTTTTGTTTTGTTTTTGAATGTCAGAAATGTATATTTGTGAATGTTGAGATGTTATATTGGTTTCACTGGTAATAATAAATAATTGAAATGGGTATATATTTGTTTTTTGTTAAGTTGCCTAATAATTATGCACAGTAATAGTCACCTGCACACACAGATATCCCCCTAACATAGCTATAACTAAAAACAAAC